ATTCAGTGTATCACAGGCGGAGGACCGAGATTGATCAATATTGAAAGCAAATCACCTTAAAATAGCTTCAAATACCTTATTGCTTGAACAAATTAATTCTATATCATTGTTGTAGTATTAGAATAACAATAAGAAATGCTGTTCTAATTGATATCATTTGTTTTCAAAAGAAGAATTGTTATCATCTAAAGTAAAGTACATAAGTATGTAACATTAGTTATTTGTTCATATTGTTAAAAATGGAAAGTAGCAAAAACTATGATCATGAAAGTATTTAAATTCATATATATTAAGGTGTCAAATATCATCTATAAACTATTGTGAGGTCAATGACTGAATATAATGATAATTTGGTGGTCCAATTTGGTACATTTCCCTTGCACTTCATGGGACATAGTGCAGCATTGATTACTTAAGCGAAAATGTCAAACTGGTGTGTAGCAAAATTGTAAGCAGTCTTTTCACAAACGATGCTGTATCAAAAATTATGATTGCCAGCAAATATTTATAGGAAAAAAATTTGAAGTTCTAGGGAATTCAGATTTTTCTCCAGACCAGATTCATAAAGAATGAAGCACTGCCATTTTGTAGGTCACGATAATATGTACTTAACATGGGCAACAGGTTATCACAAAGTAAAATGAGATCTTTTAAAATCCAGCACTGAATAAATCCTGTTCAGGACTAAATAAAGAGTGTACCAACACACATTTTGTAAGGGAAACCTTACTTTTACAAGTTAGATTAACCTTTACATCAACATGAAAGAAATAAGTCGAAAAAATATTTAAAAAAATTTAGTCATGTGACTCACAAAATTTAGCTGGCCACATTTCATTCTTACTATCCTGTAAGATATTTAACAAGTGGTAGAAAGAATTCTGGGATATCTACAAATTTAATGTATATCTATTGTACATGTACATTGTAGTATCCATGAATAATGAAGAAAATTTGACACAAACATATCTTGTAAAAAATCTATTTACAAGTTAGAACCGACATGAAAATTCTTTTCATAAATACAAGCTTAAATAGTTGGAAAATGGCACCACACAAACTAGTATCAAATTAGAAAATATATTACAATGTAACAGGTAATCCTATGTGCTAGGTACCTAGTAAACAACAATGTAAAACAGTGTACAGTATCACAGGTGTCATATATAAACATGTGCATGTAGGGTTCTAATAAAATGTTGTCACTTAAAAATTTTTAATGCAATTTCTACTCTAAAAATCTTTTATATCCCTCAAAACTAAGGTTTTGGAGAATACATTTATGTACTTAAAAAAAAAAAAAAAAAACCCCCACAGATAGAACCAAAACCTGTCTCTTAATGCACTTATTAAATTTGATTTTAATTGAAATAAAAACCATAATTTAGCAGAAAAGTGGACTATACCTGAGGTCAAAAGGCGAAGTAATATCAGAACCAGAAAATCACAGTTGAATGCAGTGTCACACATGGTTATTCACATCTCTACATGACCCCTGGTGCCGTAGCTTATGTTTAAAAGATAAAACACAAAGTGCTAATTCAGGAACAGTATTGGTCTTAAGTGAAAATTTCAATAGCACATATCAGATCTAAATTAGAGCAACATTACAGATTTGATCTACAACAGATGCTTCACATTGAAATTTTATCACATTTCTATATGGCACAAAAATATTAAGTATTATCTAAATTCAGATTGTTTTGTGATCATTGGGTCAGAAATAAAAAATTTTCAACATTCAAAATACAATGTTAAAGATTCCAGTCCCCATGTTTAAGCTGGAAGTCTGTGTTTATTCTCCTGGTATAATGAATAAAAATTAATACAACTTCACTGAACAGAATGCCATCTTTGTGCAATATAAAGGAAAGGACAGGCGGCGCTGTAGTCTGTTGATCAGTTATTACCCAATGGAGAGCAGCAATATAGAAATACTATACTCTAATACAGCAGTGGATGGAATCTAAAAATAGATACCTTTCATGCCTTTTGTTATGGTTAATATCAAATTTAATAGTTCTAAGAATAAATAATAGAATTACTGGTCTTAAAAATTTTAAATATTTTCACCAAGTTATTTAATTTGAAGTTAAAATTGTTATAGATTGATTCATTGTACAAACTAATATTTATAGTATAAAATAATAGATGGAAATGATATGAATGAAAATGTTAACTTTTCTTAAACAACCCTATCATAAACTATGGAATGATGATAAGTGTAGAAAACAAAAAAGATAAAAAAAATTGGAGATTGTTTCAATATCGTCACAAACTAGGGACAACAATATGATAATAATGTCTTTCAAGAAACGACAAAAACATCAGTTGAATATAACTAACAAATGGACGGATTTATTATAACTTGGACGGGAACTGTAATACACAATGTATTTCTTGGGTTTGACTATAAGTGTGTAATATACATGTAAATAAATGATATTTTAACAAAACAAATACCTGTCTAATGTAAACAGGTATATGGGACGGATGATTAAAATTCGGCCGGATGGCTAATAAATATAGAAATTACGGTAAAATCCTTTAATTTCAACATATCCTACACACATAAGTCAACAATAATGGACATTAGGCTAGCCTGATGTAAGTCCAACATTCTACCCTGAATATTTTTCCTCAGGGAATGTCTTTCAAATACTTACTGGTGAAAAATTGATTCATATATATATATATATATATGAAAAAAAAAAAAACAAAACAAAACAAAACAAAACAAAAAAACAGTAAGATATAATTTGTTTAAATTCTAAGTGAATATTCAATGCTACTTTACATGTTCATGATAGTTCAACTTTTTCCTTGTGAGTGCATTCAAGGATCAAAGAAGCATACATCTCATGAAATACAGGAAATCTTAAAGCTCTTCTGTAAAATCAGATATTTCCGTGGGGCTCAATTTTCACGGTCTTTTGGACAAAATACTATTTTTTGCGGACACTTGATTCCGTATATATAGCTAAATAAATCTACTTATAATAAAGCCGAACAGTTCATGGACGGATGAATTTGTGGATTAAAAGTACTCATGAAATTCAATTCTCCATGAAAATTTATGATTTTACAATACTTAACAGCCATTTATGGTATAGTATTTCACAACTCTCACTTTACGTCGTTAAGACGAAAACAATACAGAGAAGACCAAAGAATATGAATATGAGAGAATATGTTAATGTGTAAGAGAGGTTAACTAGTATTACCTGGTCTAAAAAATCTATAGTTCAACCAGTCAATGGTCTTTCCCTTGTGATCATAGTCTTACATTCCAATACAGATCTCATGCAACCAGATATCTGGATCTCTCCAATATGACTGACTATTTATCTAAAACCAATAAATCTGACTTAAACATTCAGCATTATTTGGAAGTGTTCAGCATTCATTCAAAATATTTAAATCAACTTCATATCAATTTCAAAAATTTAAAATATAATGTATGCATAAACTTTGAGGGTAACAAGTTTTCTCAAAACAATTGCCTTGGATGTTTTTAACTGCCAGTGTACACTAAAAAGATGGCCATTTTATTTATCAGCTTACATTACTTAACAAGCTGGAAAAAGGAAATTGTTCTCCTCTAATGATTTGTTAGCACCGAACAGAAGTGACCAGGTACAGCAGTAAACATTGCATAAGAGGATATGACCCAGCCTTATTCCCACTTGAAGGAACGACAACTCCTCTACATTGTAAATCTACTTTATCAATGTAATTCATAAATTAAGTTATCTTCACAAAGACTTGTTCCTGTTGATCATGTACTATTAATTTTCTTGCTCTGGGTTTTAATTTATGGTATTATCAATTAGAGACAGATGTCCTTGTTTATTTGATGTGAATAAATATTCATCCAATATCTAAATCTGTGATACACCACTAATATATTTTTTTGTTGGTATGACTATATAAAAATATCAGAGTACCTTTTCTAATGATCCAAGTTCTGAAATAGACTTTTACGGGGTCAACTGAAAGAACTTATCCAGTGAAAAAAGATTTTCGCTTTATTTTTTCATTTAAAAATCTTGACACAAAAGGTGAAATCAGTTGATATGGAGTATTCCAGAAAATTCACATCAGTAACAATCTTATAACAAACTGTAGTCCACCTTTCTAGTCTCGTGCAGGACACTTGTCTGTGTATAAAGTGTATCACAGTGTCGTCTGTGCATCTCTGGCAAACAAATAATCCCTACAAGAAAGGTAGACTAGGCCATATTCCACGAAATTGAATACACATCGAAAACATCATATTTTACAAATATGACTTTATCATCCACTGACTGCCCACAGCTATTCACTATAATGTATTCTGGACTTCCTATATAAATTAGCTTTCTCTACAATACACATTTACTTCTTACATGGTAGTAAGGCTAAAAAGTGTCTCAAAACAATTGCCTTGGAGGTTTTTAACTCCTCGTCTGTTGTACACCAAAAAGATGAAAATCCTTGATCAGCTTAAAGAACAAGCTGAAAAAACAGTTCATTGCTAATTTAATCTCTATTTTTTTATTTACCCAACACTGCAGGTACATTAACAATGTTGTAAGGAAAATAGAAAATTCCATTCCTTTCAATTATTTCACACTTTCACTAATTTCATCCAAAATCTTATAATAACTAATAAGCCTTTTTCACACTTAGTTCAGTGGTAATCTAACAGATTTACAGTACCACACGCAGTTTTGTGGTAATCTTACCAACTTAACTTCTTTTTAATTGATTCAAATATGAAGGTGCTAACAAGGTCTGTAAACAAACCTAAGAGACTCCAGGTCAGATCATCTCAGTTCTTAGTTTTTGGTTACAACAGACAATGATCACCAGCTGGTACTAGGTTTAATGATGATTAGTAATGATTTCATGTAATTGGAGATGAAAGGGTGTACAAGGGCAGATCTTAGCAAATACGTTACTCAGACACAGAGTGCGAAAAAGTTGTGAAGGTGTGGTGATCAAGGAAGTGGGCGTGGTTATGATGAGCTGTTGGATCGGCCTGTGTGTGGACGTGACCGACGAGAGGGAGAAGGGCTCTTGTGGTGACGACTCGATAAGGAGCTATCTCGACTCCGCCCACTCATGGGAAGGGGTGGCTTAGCACTGGTAGGAATCATCCTGGAACTGCGACTGTCCTATGAAACAAACAAGAGTGTCTGTAAGTTCTCAATTCCATATTTTAAAAAGTGGATAGAATAAAATAATTTAGATAGAACAAATTATGTCTTTTATGATTAATTTATTGTTTACAAATGAAAAGAAGCTTTGCTCTTCTTGTTAAAAATTTTCAAATCACAACTCTCTCCAAAAAGTATTTTTGCCCACATCTTAAAAATCCTGAATCTTAAAGCAGATGTACATCAGGAAAAAATAACCATCATTGAATACTGTGTTTATCCTGCTTAGTGGACAACCACTTGACCTCTCATCTTAACGAAGAGGGTGGGCTTATTACAGGACAGCGATTTAGTAATTTGCTGGTAATGCCTCTGAGTAGCAACAGTTTTGAATAGCCTTATAGTCAAATAGATATGAACTTCCATACTAAAGCAGGTGAAAATAGCATAACAAATACATCAATTAATATATACTGGATTTTGTATATGCTTCCACAAGTCAAATGAACAACCACTTTCCGCAAAATGGACAAAAGTCTTCGGCTTACAAGACAATTGTGAAATATACCTACATAAAAATTTTCCTGCAACTACAATATGAGATCATGTTGTAAACTGTATAAATTTTACAATAAACTACAATTGTTAAAATATTGTTAATTATTCATTGTAATGACATTGTCTCATGATCTTGTGTTGTAACTATTAACAGTGTTACATTGTAACTAAGTGTAACAATGTCACTAAGTGTAACATTATAACACTGTCACTAGTGTAATATTGTAACAGTGTAACTAAGTGTAATATTGTAACAGTGTAACTAAGTGTAATATTGTAACAGTGTAACTAAGTGTAATATTGTAACAATGTAACTAAGTGTAATATTGTAACAATATAACTAAGTGTAATATTGTAACAATGTAACTAAGTGTAATATTGTAACAATATAACTAAGTGTAATATTTCAATATAACTAAGTGTAATATTGTAACAATGTAACTAAGTGTAATATTGTAACAATATAACTAAGTGTAATATTGTAACAATGTAACTAAGTGTAATATTGTAACAATATAACTAAGTGTAATATTTCAATATAACTAAGTGTAATATTGTAACAATGTAACTAAGTGTAATATTGTAACAATGTAACTAAGTGTAATATTGTAACAATGTAACTAAGTGTAATATTGTAACAATGTAACTAAGTGTAATATTGTAACAATGTAACTAAGTGTAATATTGTAACAATATAACTAAGTGTAATATTGTAACAGTGTTAGGTATAATGCAGTTAAGTGTAACAATATTATATCTAATAAGTTATATTGCAACTAAGTGTAATATCGTAAGTAAGAGTGACATTTTAACTAAATGTAATACTGTAAACAAGTATAACATTGTATCTAAGAGTAATGTTGTAACTAAGTATAATAGTATTAGCAATACTGACAGTGAAATGATATAGTTTGAAGTGAATCACTATTCCTACTCCAATTAACTAGTGCCTGTTACTCCATAACTCGCTTGAACTTTTCCCTTGATAATACTGTCCCATAACCCATCCACTGTGACTATCTATCCAAGCTTGTCCTGTTCAGGGACTCTAATGATTCGCAGAGTTACATTTATGTTAAAAAAATAGTCACTACCTCTGGCAAAGTACTTGGTATACAGTGTATACACATAGAGATAATTGAAACTCCTGTTATCTTCACCAAAACATTGGCACATCACAAATACCGCCTCTGTTTGTTAGACCCTTAGAATGAGCTCTAACTCAGTGTAGCAATACATGTAGGAATGATGACAAAATCTAACTCCTTTGACTCAATGCCTTTGACCTTTTGCCATTTTTGAGAATAAATGAAATAATTCAATCTTTTCACACTGATATTTACTTCCATTAAGTCATTCTGGTCTTAAAAATATTTCTTCCGTGTCTAAATTGCAGTTTGATATACAAAACTAAACAATTGGTCAAAATCTGTTTTAATACCATTACATCAACCCAATGACAATAACCTTTGATATCCAGATGTTAATGTTAGTGTCATTTTCCTTGTGTAATGCCTAGCAACTATTAGGAATGGTAGCAATCAAATTATGATGAAAATAACAAATTTGTAATAGAGTTTTTCCATGTAATGGTAAATGGCATGGCATAAATATCTGCAGCAAACATTCATTGTCAAAAAAATTTTAACACTCAAAATTTCATTATTTCATGATTAAGCATAAATAAAATATCTATTTGGCAAATGTTTTGTTGCTAAAGGTAAGATTGTAAATTACAAGATCTTCAAACCCTTTATCTAGCTAAAGGTAAGATTGTAAATTACAAGATCTTCAAACCCTTTATCTAGCAAAAGGTAAGATTGTAAATTACAAGATCTTCAAACCCTTTATCTAGCTAAAGGTAAGATTGTAAATTACAAGATCTTCAAACCCTTTATCTAGCAAAAGGTAAGATTGTAAATTACAAGATCTTCAAACCCTTTATCTAGCAAAAGGTAAGATTGTAAATTACAAGATCTTCAAACCCTTTATCTAGCTAAAGGTAAGATTGTGAATTACAAGATCTTCAAACCCTTTATCTAGCTAAAGGTAAGATTGTAAATTACAAGATCTTCAAACCCTTTATCTAGCAAAAGGTAAGATTGTAAATTACAAGATCTTCAAACCCTTTATCTATAACAAGAACTGTCAGGGTTTTGATAAATAGGTCCAAAGGCTCCATATTGTGTGTTAGTGATACAACAATATACACCAGTACCCCTACAAGTTTGTACTATATCCACAAAGCACCATTAGTACAAAGAGCGCAGGATCAGGGGAAAAAGCTGTACCAAACTTCTACACAACAAAAATCATGGATATGAAAAATATTCATGAAAACATAAATTGCATGGTTTACTAATTTTAAGAGATCTGTTTGAACAACAGAACAAAGTGTAAATATAATGAACTGATACCATATCACCCTTTTAAGTATATCAAGACCATCAACATGATAAAAATGTTTCTCAGAATGATTTAAAATCAATGTTTATTGTGTGTATGATACATATAAACATTCTGCCATTTTTTGTTAATTTTTTTTTTTATCCACATAATAAAATTATAAGCCACACATCCGACCCACTAGGAAAACAAGGAAAAAAATTACGGCTTATAAACTGGAAAATGCTGTACTTTTTTAGACACTTCTCAAATACCCATAAAATCACCATTAATGAAAGCATGAATTATAGCACTTTCTCCATTTTTCCGTCTATTGTGAATCAGGAAAATGCCTTCCCATCATTAGCTTCATAAACATGTTATCAACAAAAACATGTCAGTAATATTAACACAAAAGACCTATCTATGATACATACATTTTTGTGCTTTACTCTCTGGGCCTTGAAGGCAAGTTCCACATATTTTAATAAGCATGAAGATTTTTTTTCAAAGAATTGAATATATAATGGAGTCAAAATTAATTACTAGCACTTATTCTGTTAGTGGTTAATTTTCTAACTTTGCTCTCCCCGGCAAAATGCATTAACTGTAAGAGAGCTGAATGTCTGAAACTGAAGTCCATAAATCACTTGCTAAAAACACTGGTAACAATTGCACATCAACAAGGTTGGACTGTACAACTGTGTACAAAACCATTACACAATTCTGACCTTTATTATTTTATACTCAGGATGTGATATAATAATGATTTTGCCAGTAGGAAGTAAAGATTGTCTAGATACCATGTACAATGATAGAATGTGAAGTATTCAGAGCGTCCCACAAAGCAACACCAAACATGTGATATTTTACAACAAACTATATGACATGCTGTCAGATTATCTATAAAGTTACATACCAGTGCTTCATCAGGATATCACACAAAGACACAAATGTACACACTGATGAACAGCCCTTATCATAACAATCAGTCACAAAATTCTTATCTACAATCATCACTCATGATCACTCTCTAAAGAAAGGCAAAAGGAAGTTCAATGTTTTTTGACTATATGTATGCTGTGTGCATCAATGTTTATGTCAAATATTACCCTTACATATAAAATAATTAAGAGATATTCATGTAAACAAAACTTAAAACTCCTTTTTCAGATACATAAACTTCCTTATTTATACAAATATTTCACTCTCAGATACCTTATTCCTGAGACAGACCATGGGACGTAAATAGCTCATCTGAATTAACCTACTTTTGACTGGGATGCAATACACATTAAATAAATACATAATACAGTGAATGATTTCCTACAAGAGTCTATAATGGAAATACTCCCAGCCTTTCCCTAGTTTGTTCCTCACTCAGAAGATCGGGATCTATTATTTATCTCATATTCATGCCAAACACAGTCAAAATTCTTTCTAGACCAGGAGAAATTTACAGGAAATGATGACTGTTGGAAAGAAGAATTGTAACAACAGACATCACAACACAACATAACGATAAGTCTTGCCAGATGAGTTAAAAAATGAATTCAATTTGGTTGACATTTGAAGTCACTTTCTCTACCTGCAAACACACATGCATAAAGACAATTGTTGGATACTACTTCACTACTGACCAGAAAACAGATGATTTCGGGATGTCATGCAGTACGACAGTGAAACATTACAATGTATAGGCCACAGCCACTTATACCTTTACATGTGTGTTTGTGTCGTAAACCAAAAAACAGGGACATGCAATTTATGCAGACATGAGATTGAGATTTTGTACTTACATCTACACGTACTTTACAGTTTGCGCTTGTTGAGCTGATGGAGAAACAGATTTTATGATAGTGGCCTATCTAAATAGTGTAACTCAATGACATGTTTATCTACTTCTTAGGTAGAAAGAAAACTAGTTATTTTAATCAGCTACTCTTGCTTTTCAAAACCTCAGACTACCATAGAACTATTGTGGATCAATTTTCAATTCACAACAGAAATCCTGCTTCCCAGAGTAATCATGGCAGATTCTGACTTCATTCATGAATATTGAAATCCCTTCACAGAATAAAAACATTAAAACTAAAAAAAAAAAAAAAAAATGCTCTAATAAAAACAGACATTTAGAGTTCAACATTACGCCTTTACCTGTGGGATTGACTGGGAGACAAGCGGCCTGCTCGGACGTGAGTTACCTCCCCTGAACCCTTGCGGTGGAGGTATGAGTGGTCCTACATTCTCTTCCTCGTCTATAACATCTTGTCTGTTATGGTCTCTGTGATCACCATGATCCCTATAGTGATCTCTCTGGTCCCGATGATCTCTAAAGTCTTGATGGTCGTGAGAGTCTCGTCGGTCGTGAGGGTCCTGTTGGTCACCATGGTCATGTTGGTCATGATGGTCGCTGTGGTCCCTGTTCTCACTAGGCTCATCTTCATGGTCAGGATCATCCTCATATTCTTCACTCTCCATTGGCTGCAATCGACTTTGCCCTGGTCGAGCTGATCTAGCTGGCCCCTCCCTCATTGGCACAGCATAACCATTGACAACCGGAGGATCTTTGCTGCTGCTTTCCTCCTCCTTACTGTGTTCATCATCCATGTTTTCATCTACGTATCTGTCAACCATAATAAATAGTTACCAGTGTCAACCGTATCAAAAACCATCAATATAGAAGGTTATCCATACATCAAATAAGTATTGATATTAAAATCAGCAAAAAGATTCAATATCCTGTACAAGAGATCCCATAAGGATGTTGGCACCCACCATAATTGTACATTGATTTGTTCTCCATAGGTTGTATCATTTCTTTTCATTCCTCTTATTTGCTCTTAATTACACAAAATTTTTAAATACTTCTCAAGGAATACAAATAATAATCTTTAGCTGTCAAAAATGCTTGCTTGTTGACCATTATTTTTTCTGATCAGTTCCATGATTGTCGACACACAATTAGGCTTGGAACGAGATAAAATCTTTATTCAATAAGATTTAGGAATGATCCATCCCGTACTTCTCCACAAATATCTAAACAAATATTCATTGTCAAATCCAAGATGGCTGATAAATGGCCACTTTTTATCAATCCCAAAATTGATGCAACTAGGAGCTAACTATGACAGTGTTGGCATACCTGGACTCATGTCGTTGTGGTGGTTGTTTGGAGAAGCGTGGAGCTGGTATGCCAGACTGAGCCCTCTGCTGTCGGACTGTAGCTGAGGGAGGAGGATGAAGTGGTGCAGCATATCCCCTGGGAGGCTCCAAGTCCATAGGAGGAGATTTCAAGTCTGCTTCTCGTTCTTTTTCCTTTTCTTTTTCTCGTTCCCTCTTCTTTCTTTTCTTCTTTTTCTCTCTTTTCTCTATCTTAGATATTGATGGAGGAACTGGAGCATTCTCTAGGGGCACTAGCATCGGAGGTGGAATCCGCCTACCTTCAACCACACCTACAGAGATAGAAGGTCATCAAGATGATTTTAAAAGAGACTGACCTCTAACCTCTAATGATCCTTTAAACATAGAAGGACTAATGTGCTGTAGAAAAAATTCTACAAAACATGCAAGTCTCAGCCAATTGAGGCACTAGTAAAACAGAAACAGGGTGCTAAAACTGTAAAGTCACATACCTGGTGGCTTGGAACCTGAATTTGGGCGGTTCGGGTCCTGTGTTGGGGGTGGGGTTGGTCTCATCTGGTCTGTTGATGGCGGACTCTGTAACTGTTCCCTTGTCCCTGAGCTTGGTCGAGCTGGTGAGGGGGTGGGGCGAGGAGGAGGAGGCCTCGGAGGCGTGTTACGTAGTGGTTGTGGCTGACGAGGTGCTGGTCGGGGGCGACTTGGTGGGAAGCTCTCCGATGGGTTCATGGACTGGTTAAAGTGAGGGGAGATCACTCTTGTGTTGGTACTTAGAGGGTACTTCGGAGGAGAAGGAGGCTGTTGTTGCTGTCGTTGTGCTTCTCTGTAATCTCTATTCTCCTGAGGGTCACGATAATCACGGCCGATATTCCCGTCCTGCGGGAATCCCTGGTTAGTCCTCCTATTATACTGAGGTTCCTGAAACAAGGCAAAATATGGGACATACAACAATACCTATCCTCAGAAAAGATACAATCTAATGTTGACAGAACATTACATAGCAGAAGTTTTCTACAGATAAACTATAATTCATTTAACATAAAATGCCTTCAATGAAAAGCTACAATGTTCATCATTGATCTAATGGACACACTTACTAGTGGTTGAGCATATAAAGGTTTGGAGGAGTGCTGTTGCTGGTGTTGCTGTTGCCGTGGTGGTGGTCGTGGTTGGATTTGTTCGCGAGAGGCACTGTCCTGTCGATTGGGAATTCTGGAGGTGCGAGGTGGGGCTTCTTCATCCTCATCCTCTATATCGGACACATCCATTCCTCCAGCACTCACATCATCTATCTCCTCCTCTACTGTCAAACAAGTAAACAATCAATAAACTCAACCAGACAGTAGTTTAGAGTCCATAAAGTGATCAGGGGCTAACATTAACCCCTTATCACTGAATCACTGTGACCTTTAACCTTTAAATCTACACTGATGATCAGCACATTATATTCATGTGTGGAGCTGGATGCTATGATAATGTGATATGAATACAAACATGAGATATCTTGGATCTCTTGGTTATGATGACATAATGTACAGAAAGATGGATGTATTTACCTGTATACACATAAAGTGCTTTTTATATAATCCCTTTAATAAGTGGCTGGGTAAAGGTAGTTATAATTAACTCCCCAAGTACACAATCCCAGACAAAACCAATGAAAACATTTCAAATTAATTGCGACCAGATAAGTAAAAAAATTCTGAAAGATTTCTCAAAACAATTTCTGCTGAATAAATGTATTAATTCTTGAACTTTTGAAGAGGCACTAAGCAATTATCACAATAACAAAACTTTAATAAATTCAAGTTAATATTTAAAACCTAATTTTTGTATTTTCTGATAAACTGAGGTTTTTGTATTTTCTTAATATTCAGGAAAACACTGACATAGAAGTAAAACCATAATCTAACTCAGCTGTTCTTTCATCTCAACAAGACAATTATGTACTACATATATAAAAACATGAATGTAAAATCATAGAAACCCGACATCATAACATTGTCTTGGTCATAAAAATGTGTCCTTAAACGATATAAGAATCTTACCCTTCAGTCCATTTAATACTAAATTTATTTAATTGAAGAGTAATTTCATGTTATTTCAATGATTTTTATCACAAATTCAATACTTCAAGTTGCATTTGCAATGTATACCCTTCTTTATAACAGATAGATGAAGAAAATGTTGATCTAATCCATTCATAATGATATTAAATGACAAATGACACTATAACTTCATATTCCGATACCAGCAACTGTTTAAAGTTGACAAGAGACAAAAAACATACCATGATGATCATCAGTTATCATTGGAACATCTTCTCTGTTGTTGTGAACAGGAAGTATGTCTGGTGTGTTTCTGGTATCCACAGTCACCTGTAAATAATCAAATCTCTAATTAACAAATGAATCATTATCTACTACACAGTTACCGCCTACAAATATGAAAATATTTATTTAATAAGAAAAATAGAGCCAGCGTCAAAATCAAGTGGTTTCTTCAATGAGGCAATCAACTTGAGCTTGGATACTAAAGGTATGCAGGGCGATTAATGAAATAATAAATATGAGACCTTAGAGATTAATTGCAACAAGAATAAGTGTACTTAACTAAATTATCTACTACTTTCGCCTTTTCATATTTATGGTGTAATATACAGATGTATTTATCTTCTATTAACAAGTAACAGCAGTAGCATTATCACTGCCAAACAATTTTTCAGACTATTCATACACTCGCTCCCCTTTGCCATTTTACTCAAGCTCAACAATTACTTACATCCAGTCGTTCCTTGCGTCGGTTTAGATCCCCCCCAGCACTGGAAGTGTAGCGATCATCAGGGGGTTGCACAAAAGATGGCTCCCTCTCTGGGGCGCTCACTAGACTTGTTGAGCGCCGCAAGGGTGTACGAACACTCCGCCTCTCAGTTCGAGGCCGTTTAGGAGGGTGGGGTGGTGTTATGGGCATGCTTTCAAAACTACCTCTTGTGTTCTGTAATATAATAGAGACTGTTATAGTTCTAAGAAATAATAATCAAATAACAAAGCAAAATATTTAAAAGATATATAAGATAGTTTAGACAATTAAGTTTATATCCATTATCTAAATATCCACAAAAATGTTCCTTTGTAATTTAAGATGAACTTTTTCATTCCATTTAACTGATTAAAAAAATTGATGAAAAAAAGACTTTGAAGCCAAAAATAAAATTTATCCTTATCCTGTGATTATAACTTAAAGTATAGGAATACATACAAAGAAAACAAACCAAGAAAATGATTGGATTGTCATAATTTCATTTTATGTTTAAAACTCTTTTTAATCTTTGATTTTGAATTGAACATTAACAGACTAGTCTCTGCTGTCAAAGGATAAAGCATTAAAAGAGAATTTATGTTTGCACTTTTGACATATTTGGAAAGTGAATAAGTTTACAAAGCAGTATCATCTGATTAAACTCAGTGTAAACAGATGCTTGAAAACACTACAAGTAGATATCTACTGAACAGTACAAGTATTTCTCCTTTCAGACTTCTTTTATCATGTAAGACAAGTTAAATGTGGTCCTTTAGACAAGAATATCACTTACAATCATATGTTCATATTCATTTCCATTGTGGTCCCCATTCATGGAGTCAAGAGTACCCATAAAACCATTGGTGGACATGAGAGTGAGGCCGAGCCCATTAGGGATAGGGGAAGTCGGATTACTCTGGAGGCGCTGTCGCTGATGGGACATAATAATTAGCTGCACATAGTGAAGCTGACGATTCTTGGCATAGTCCCAAGCATTGGCATTGAACTTGTCTACCGCTGACAAATCAGCTACAAGGAAAACATTTCATCAAGTATTTTGTCAAATATTTCAGTGATCTATCAGTATGTTAAAACACTGCCCTTTCCTCTATGTTTAAGTCTATGGTTGATTTTATAACTAGCAGTACAATAACATCCGATACACAAGTATATCACTACACATGTGTGATATGACCTCACTGAGGCATGATTGACTGACAGTTCCTACTGTTACTATTGTGACCTCATAACCTCAGGGCATCTACAAAAGATATATGGAGAGAGAATATCGCTAATTCACATACGGTTTTCTCCAATATTTACAAAAGTATCAAAGTTATGTAATAAACAGGATTGAATATCCATTTTCAGTTCCTACTTAATTTGTACTTTCTTTGTTTGACTTTGCTAAAGTCTTGGTAAAATGACAAATAGTAAGACTCGTTTTGTCTCTCTCATATGAATATAAACCTCAGGTAAGACTCTCCTTATATCCTTACCCCTTCACTTCAGTGATGAAATGTCAAGAAGGTTTAAATCTAAGGTGATACTATCCCATTAGTTTGTAGCATTAAAGACAATGGCAAGTTTTCATACTTAAGAATGGCTATACTAGCGCTGTACAAAATGTTTAGGAATATGTCATTGATAACAGCTAATTGGATACTTTATAATTTATCACATTCTGTCAAAGACTGTGAAGTTTCTTCTTACATTAGTTTTTAAAAAGAGTGGTTTCCAGTAATATACATATCTTAACTTAATGATCCAATTCTAAAAAAAAATCACTGTACCCTCTCCCCTTCCGTGGTACAGCAGTTGACAATATCCCTAAACCTCTCCACTCCCATATTACAGCAATTGAAAAAATCACTGTACTCTCTCCCCTCCTATGGTTCTGAAGTTGATAATGTCATGCACCCTCTCATCTCCAATGGTACAATAGTTGAAAATGTCATGCACCCTCACACCACCCATGGTACAATAGTTGAAAATGTTATGCACCTCTCACGGTACAATAGTTGAAAATGTCATGCACCTCTCACCTCTCATGGTACAATAGTTGAAAATGTCATGCACCTCTCACGGTACAATAGTTGACAATGTCATGCACCCTCTCACGGTACAATAGTTGACAATGTCATGAACCCTCTCATCTCCCATGGTACAATAATTGACAATGTCATGCACCCTCTCATCTCCCATGACACTGTTATTAAAAAAAATCACTGTACCCTCTCGCCACCCATGGTACAATAGTAGACAATGTCATGCACCCTCTCACCACCCATGGTACAATAGTAGAAAATGTCATGCACCCTCTCACCACCCATGGTACAATAGTAGACAATGTAACTGTTCCCTCTCATCTCCCATGGTACAGAAGTTGACAATGTCACGCACCCTCTCACCTCTATGGTACAGCAGTTGACAATGTAACTGTTCCCTCTCACCTCACATGGTACAATAGTAGACAATGTCATGCACCCTCTCACCTCCATGGTACAGCAGATGCCTAAGCTACTGTTTTCACTCACCTCGTTGATCCAGTAGGTAATTGACGATATCCCCATGTCCCCCTATGGAGGCTAGATGGAGTGCTGTTCTGTCCTGAGTATCTCTATCATATACACAATCTGTTCCCCCAATTTCTACAATGATCTTACATGCCAGCAGTGAGCCTGTGAAAATCAAAGACACATTCTTCATACCTGTCAGCCTGTTAAATCAATGACATTATCAGATATCTCGGGCATACCTGTAGAATGTCTATAGAATTTGAAGCTATAGTTCAACTTTTGTATACCTGCTAATGTAATTTTAGAAGCTCTTTTAATTGGAAGCCAAACAAGATTATATCAACAACAGTCTTTAAAAAGCTAAAATGAAATTTCTTAACACACCCACTTCTGAGTCAATCAGAATCATTAATATAAATGTACTTCAAAACATCTTGAACCATCATGATGAAAATAACTTCATTTATTTATTGATAGAAGAGTAGAGCAGTATCAATGTACATCTGTTAATTAAAAAATTACCCATTTCAGCAGCTAAAAGTAGCACTGTCTTGCCATCTTCATCCTTTATGGTTGCCGTCTCTTGTGTCAACAAGGTCTGAAGAGAAAAAGTAAAATAACTTATGCGATGTGGTTTAAAGAATTATTGTATCAACCGACTCAATTTTAAATTAATCGCAAAAAACAAATCATTCTATTCACTCAATTCTGACAATTCTTATCAGAAGTGAACAATAGTTTTTAACCCATTCTGAATCATTTCTTTTATCTCATTTGAAAGCGAAAATGAGTGAAATTCAACCCAAAAAGTCTGATGTGATAAATTTCAATGATTAGTGCAAAAGTTTATTTTACATTTTATATCAATCCTCACAAAAAAAAGTGTTGTATATCTCCATAACAGTGGGTTTGAAAATGGAATAAACTTCACTGACTAAAATAGACTCACAAACTATTTTTTAATTAGTAACACAATAGATTGCAGACATTCTGGTCAAAATTCCCCCCCCCCCCCCCGGTAAATTTTCATTTCAAAGTTTTAAAAAAAAATGACAGTTCAGCCAATGAATTACAAACAGATATTCCATTGAAACATAAAACTTTGACATAGTCCTTTATAGAATACTATTTTGATTATGATAATAAATTATACTATTATACTAATGAACTAAAGTAAATGTGGGCGGGCTCATTACCAGTACTTATTACCGGATACAGATGTTATAGAGCACAAAGTTTCCTGTATTATGCATCACTACTAAACTTTATGTTTACCAAAACTGTAAACCCTTTTTTAAATTCATATTTTTGAAGATTAACAGGTTCTGATAATAGATACATACCTGTAAACATTCTAAAGGCTCTGATCTCCTTATGGACCAGTGCATCCAGGTGCGACCGTTGTTGTCCCTCTCTATCCCATCTGCATCGTCCACTTGAAAGTTGGAGGAAGAGCTAAGAAGCTCGAAGTGTTTAATATGGTCTAGACGACAAGCCCACATACAGGGAGATAACCCATCCTTGTCTCGTGCATTTACATCTGCATTGTGACCAATCAGGTACTGTAATCAACAAAATAAGAATTAGACAACAGTATATCTTTTATAACTAATGCCCTCCTATTAGACAAACTCGGCTAGTCAATTAGCATCAATGCATTTGTAACAAAGAAAATCTACATTAGCCAACCTCGGCTAGTCAATTAACATCAACATATTGGTAACAAAGACAATCTACATTAGCCAACCTCGGTTAGTCAGTTAGCATCAACGCATTGGTAACAAAGACAATCTACATTAGCCAACCTTGGCTAGTCAATTAACATCAACACATTGGTAGCAAAGACAATCTACATTAGCCAACCTTGGCTAGTCAGTTAGCATCAACATATTGGTAACAAAGACAATCTACATTAGCCAACCTCGGCTAGTCAATTAACATCAACGCATTGGTAACAAAGACAATCTACATCTTTCAATAGTAGGGGTATCAAGATAAACCAATATATCAGTATACTGTGATGTAAAACCTAGCTGAGTTGTACCGTAATACAGATTCAACAACATGATGAAGGACAGATCTGGTATGTCTTTTTTTCTTTCCAACACAACAGAACATTCTGAGAAAGCACAATTTTAACTTAAAACAGATTATTACAATCATTAATGTACATAAAATTCATGGAATAAAACAGTGGAGGCGAACATTTTTTGACGCTCTTGGGATCTGCACACCTTGTCAGGGGTCGAAATTAACTGTTTCCTAGTGCCTAAAATTTCCACTAGCAAAAATGACGAACAAACTAGTAATTTTTTGGTGAATAGGTTTGACTTTTATTTACTGTTATACTGAGTTTTTCAGGAACTGAGTGATATTGGAAAAGTTATCCAAGACATTGGATAAGAATGGCTGATTGCTACCTGTATCAACATTTTAAATCTATATAACTTTGAATTTATCAGTTTTCTTTTTTTCATGTATGAGCTACATCTAATCTGACTGTCATATGATCAGATCCATTTATAAATGTAACTGTACCCAAATTTATATTATTTAAAAAATTGTTCACATTAACGATCATTTCAATAAATTATTATCAAGACAACTATCTTCCGTGTTCTCGGCAGTCATTGCGCCATACTGTATTAACAACATCGTTACTAGATGATTTATTGTATCCTAGAATAATATTCAATTCTTTTTCTCATTTCCGTGCCGTTTTTAACGTGGCCGTATATGCACGTTGTTGTGGCGGTGATTTTATATCAGCAGCGTCAGGAGAAACGCTCTCCGATTTCGTCGATTTTTTTTTCAGAAGGGCCAGGCTGTGGCTGTTGACTATTGTCTTGGTCATCGCAAGCACTGTCAGATGCTTTCCTTTTGAAAAAGTTTGTTATCATAGCTGATATGTCGCATTTCACATGATGAGCAGACAGAAATCGTAGAGTTTTCCAAGACAACTTTTTATTGGGTTTACACATAACTATCAAGGGAAAAACTGGAGGAATTCCGAATGTATTGATGATCTATGTCACTTTAGCGTTTGTAACCTATTTACTCATTTAAAGGCAGACGGAGAAAGGCATTTTGTGGCAGATGTTTCGTCAAAAATAGTGATTAGGTATAGTTCATTTCCACTCGCAGAATTTTGCTAGTTCATTATTTTCCAGCTAGCAATTACCAGAGTTTAGCTGGAATTTTGCTAGTTGTATATAGTTAATTTCGAACCCTGCTTGTATTGCAGTACTGTATAACATTGATTTTTTCAAATGCATGTATCCCTTGCAAAGAATTCTGAAAGCAAATATTGGAATTATGAAATATATTGTCACGACACAAGCTAGTTCATGTAGGATGATTCCCTTTACTGATGTACATATACACACTGCAGTGAACATTACACATACATTGCAATGACTACAAGCCATCTGACAATGATATGAGAACATCATTGACAACTAAATATATACATTACCATCAATATGATATTTATAACCAAGAAACAGTTGTTTTTTTATAACCATTGTATCTACGATAACCCATGTAACCAAGCATCAGGAAAATTAAAGCTAATACTTGTGTAACAGACCAAGATCATGTTATGATATATGGTAAGTGTGTGTTGGATGAGCAAAGGGTCCAAATAAAAATGATGAATCCTTTTTTTTCAAACCAAAATTTTCAGAATATGATGTTAATAACAATGAACATAATATCACTTAATTGTGTACCTTAATCACATTAAATTATAACAGAATTATAACAGTTATTATAACAGAACTTTTGATGTTACAAATTTAAGCGAACTACGAGAACATGGTAATTGGGTTTATACAGCAGTACTGTTACAGTTACTTCAAATGAAATCAAATAACAAGATGATGAATCATTCAGCATCACTGATACAAGACACAACATAAAATTAGTCATCACTGCTGACGTCAACACTGGAATGGGTTTCAGTGATTGAAATCAATACTAGCATTGACAACGTACCTGTTATCATTATAATGTTTTGTACTTGACAATATGTTTTGGTGGTAGACGGAGATAAGTCAATGTACAAGAAATTAAAGTTGACATCTTACATCCTTGCCTTATTTGTGGATAGATATGGTACTGCAGAACAATTTCATGAGATCTTGGTTACCACTACTGTATTATCTTTATTGGTTCTATATATGTTGAAACTCTTTTTTCTTCTTTTTTCAATAATATGTTTAAAAAAAGTGAATTAATCATTGTTAAATCAATCAAGGAAAACCTAAATGATATTAAGAAAGTGAGCCTCAACAGTCATCCAAGTTATATAAAAACTGTTGTTTTTGTAATAAGCTATGTCATAGAAATAATCTTGTTCATCAATTAACTGAAGTTACCTATGTTTGAATTATTTCAATGGAAATTAAACAAATTATGCTTGAAACTGTAAGTTTCCTTTAAACTTTAGATTGAAAAGGTACCACTAAATAGGGACCAAGCTGAACATTAATTTAAATTGGAAAAAGATTCATAACTTCTCAAGAAATAACACTTTCTTAGTAAAATAAAAATCTAAGATGGCCATTTGTTTGCTATTTTGATTTTTTTTCTGATCAGTCTCAAAATTCAAACAGAACCACTGAAGACCAAAAGCTGGAGGAACCTATATGAGATTTGAGAAATATCTATCCATAAGACTCATTGCCAAAATCTAAGCTATATCCATCTCTCAGTCATTTTCGCGTTTCTAAGGTCAGTCTACAAGAGAGTACAGCAAGGGATCAACAGGAATCTTCATATAAATTGAAGTAAATCAATCCTGCACATTTCAAGAAATTAAAGATGACAAGAATTGCTTAAGAATAGATAGACCAAAGACACAGGGTGATTTAAACATCTGATGACGGTTTGTATTAAATCCAAGAAGAAAAGTAGAAGTTTATTTTAAATGTTAATTGAACTTATTTCCTTGAAAGAGGAAATATTTGCTAAAGCAGCCATATATAGATATATATGTATATGTATTGACATGAAATTAATCATTAATGATAATTTCCGATAGAGAAAACTTACCTGGTTATGTAATTTACAATTAGGACAAAGTACCGACAGGTATATGTATATGCTGTTTCTGATGATAATTATAGGGAGCTTGAATGAGTAAATGCTTAACAATCATGTGTGAAATTATCTTTAAAACTCTTCAATGGTGCTGAACCATGGCTGATAATGTCTGTTATTACCACATTCAACCATGGTCAATACACTGTATACCATTCAACCCAGTCTACTGGTAAAACTGGTGGCTCAATAATCTGTTTTGGGTTTATATTCAGAAAGGACTCCATACACAGTGAACCAAATCTCACAATTCATGTATGAGTATACTATACAATTACTAATATCCAATGGTGAGAAGTGAAAATAGTACTAATGGACAATTGGATGTATTCTTATCCAACAGGTAACCCTACAACACTGGACATTTACTGATATCGTATGTAAATATATTTTTCATTTGACATTTTATCTGTATTGTTCAGAAACATACTGATTTAAGATTTGTTGTGCAAACCACACTGAATGAGCTGAAATCTACTTTCTACTGCAGAAAATATATATGTATCAAAACCAAGCTTGAACATATTATATAATACAGATCTGAATTTTTTATACTGCTGTAAGACATTCCTTGATTTTTTTTAGATGTTGTGTTACTTTATATAGTTATACTAAATACTACATTCTGTCTTTAACTATGATACTAAGTTAGAGCCAAGTCAAAATCCAATCTTGGTGATATCTCCCAGGACACCTCAAGTCAGGTTTTAGGATCAGAGACCATAGTAAATTTACTGTTTTAATGTTGAGTAGTTGCTGTTTCTTTTACATATACTCATCAAAAAAAAAATGCACAATTAAATCATGCAATAGCCTATAATTATTTTGGAAAATTTGTACAAAATTTTTTTATCATTGTGAAGGGACAAGTCTACTCTTTACTGTAGAAGACTGTGTGACATCACTTGTGTTGTCAGTACTTACTCAAAAAGGGATACCCGTGAAAAAACAAAATGACACCTCTTGAAGGAATCCCAGCACAGATTCTCATATGCATTCAATTCATGATGAGAACATTAATTTGCATTCAGGGAATGTTGTTCCATTCTTGTGTTAATGTTGCAATCAACTGGACACGGGGTTTTTTTTTGCTAATATACCTGTCCAGCTCATCCCACAGATGCTCAATAGGAGACATGTTGGGGCTATATGGGGGGGGGGGCATTCCAGGGGCTGAAAATTGTTTGCTGTGAGAAAATGATGACAGACTCTGGAAACATGTGGTCAAGCATTGTCTTACTGGAAAATTAGGTTATGTCCTCCAAGAAGTGGAAGGACATGTGGTTGGAGGATCTGGTCTATGTATCAAACAGCATTGAAATTTGGATCCAGGACCACTAAGGGGGATTTTAATCCATGGGAGATGCCTCCCCAAACCATTACATAAGCCCCACCATATCTATCGCATTCAAACACGCATGTTGACTTGTTGACTAGACTCTAGGCTCCACCAACGCATCCCAAACATATTCAGGCCATTTCTGTGCATCCATTAAAGATGCACTTTCTGCCTCTGTAGTGTCAGAGGTGACCCAACATAAGATTGGTACCCAACGATTCTCTCGGCACGCATTTTGAGCACTTATGGGTCTGCCATGAGTGCCTAAGGTATGTGACACAGTCTTTACAGCAGTCTAGAATCTGTTGCACAAGTTCTACAATTGAATCGCCCTGTCTTGTCATGCGGTTGTTACAATGCGGATTACCGCTTCTGGGACAATTGCAAACTAACCCAGTAGCATGGAAACATGTGTAGAGTTGGTTACTTGTACACGAGGCAATGCCAAATTGCAACGCGACTGCAGTTTGGCTATGACCATCCATCAACATCGCAAATCAAAATGCCAATGTTGAAATTATTTGCTTGAAAAAATCTGTCTTGGCTTAATCATGCTGCATAATTTGGACTAAAGAAGCTCACTAAGTTAGACAATGACATTGTTATGCTTGGCTGTTTATGGTAGATTGTCAAGAAGGGAGATCATTCTGGATGTAATAATGACCAAACATTCCATTATTTCCTTACAGCTATGGTGTACTGATACAACAGATATGTGGATGAAGGAGGATTGTTTCTTTAACAGACAAGTTGATGAAGGAGGGTTGTTTCTTTAACAGACATGTTGATGAAGGAAGGTTGTTTCTTCACCAGATATGTTGATGAAGGAGGGTTGTTTCTTCACCAGATATGTTGATGAAGGAGGGTTGTTTCTTCACCAGATATGTTGATGAAGGAGGGTTGTTTCTTCACCAGATATGTTGATGAAGGAGGGTTGTTTCTTTAACAGACATGTTGATGAAGGAAGGTTGTTTCTTCACCAGATATGTTGATGAAGGAGGGTTGTTTCTTCACCAGATATGTTGATGAAGGAGGGTTGTTTCTTTAACAGACATGTTGATGAAGGAAGGTTGTTTCTTCACCAGATATGTTGATGAAGGAGGGTTGTTTCTTCACCAGATATGTTGATGAAGGAGGGTTGTTTCTTCACCAAATATGTTGATGAAGGAGGGTTGTTTCTTTAACAGACATGTTGATGAAGGAAGGTTGTTTCTTCACCAGATATGTTGATGAAGGAGGGTTGTTTCTTCACCAGATATGTTGATGAAGGAGGGTTGTTTCTTTAACAGACATGTTGATGAAGGAGGGTTGTTTCTAAAACAGACATATTGATGAAGGAGTGTGTTTCTATAACAGACATGCTGATGAAGGAGGATTGTTTCTTCACCAGATATGTTGATGAAGGAGGGTTGTTTCTTTAACAGACATGTTGATGAAGGAGGGTTGTTTCTAAAACAGACATATTGATGAAGGAGTGTGTTTCTATAACAGACATGCTGATGAAGGAGGATTGTTTCTTTAACAGACATATTGATGAAGGAGGGTTGTTTCTATAACAGACATATTGATGAAGGAGTGTGTTTCTATAACAGACATGCTGATGAAGGAGGATTGTTTCTTTAACAGACATATTGATGAAGGAGGGTTGTTTCTATAACAGACATGCTGATGAAGGAGGATTGTTTCTTTAACAGACAAGTTGATGAAGGAGGGTTGTTTCTTTAACAGACAAGTTGATGAAGGAGGGTTGTTTCTTTAACAGACATGTTGATGAAGGAGGGTTTTTTCTATAACAGACATGTTGATGAAGGAGGATTGTTTCTTTAACAGATATGTGGATGAAGGAGGATTGATTCTTTAACAGACATGCTGATGAAGGAGGGTTGTTTCTTCACCAGACATGTTGATGGAGGATGCTTGTTGCTTTAAAGGCATTTTCTGCCTAAATTGCAAAATTTTCTGTACCTTTTAAGAACTCATTCTTATGACTTTTAAAACTATTTCTTGCATCAAACTTTCTCTTCTGTAGTCACTTTGGACATACAAAGTTGGTGGGAATTGTTCTAGTAAATATGAATTTAACTATTTAAATAGAGCGTATCAAGAAATCCGCTCCTGAAGGATCTCTGGACACTAGATTTTAGGCAGAGTATGGGGGAAATACATAAGTTTGTATGCTGTTCACTAATATTTTTGCTTGTGGTGCAATTTTATTTATTTCATTAGTTTTATTTTCTGTTGATTTTTATGATTTACACAACTATTTCATTCTTCACAGCTAATAACATCACAAATTTGTTATGATGCAATCAGATCCAAGTGATAGTTTGTTAATTGATCTAGTTAGATCTCTAAAGAATTCCCACAAATGAGATGTTTATTTAACATTCTAATGTTTCTTCAACAGATATGTTGATCGTTTCTTTAACAGATATAACAATAAAGAAATTGCGCAAGTAGGGTTCATCGTTTCTTTAACAGACATAACAATAAAGAAATTGAGGAAGAAGGGTTCATCGTTTCTTTAATAGATATAATAAAGAAATTGAGGAAGTAGGGTTCATCGTTTCTTTAATAGATATAATAAATAAATTGAGGAAGTAGGGTTCATCGTTTCTTTAATAGATATAATAAAGAAATTGAGGAAGTAGGGTTCATCGTTTCTTTAATAGATATAATAAAGAAATTGAGGAAGTAGGGTTCATCGTTTCTTTAATAGATATAATAAAGAAATTGAGGAAGTAGGGTTCATCGTTTCTTTAACAGACATCGATGAGGTGTTTGTTTTATATATTTTTTTTATGTCAAATTTTCACAGTTTTTTACTAAAAAGCTTCAACATGTTTTCAGGTTAGTCAAAAAATGGCCAATGGGTCTATTCTAGATCTATTTTCAGAGATTTTATTTCATCCTTGAAAATTGTGAAAAAATGAGCCCCTAAAAAATAATAACCTGCAGTGTATTTCTACTCTGTAATATAAATCATATAAAAGAACAACAATAGAATTTGGGAATAGATCTTTCCACAGGGCTGATCCCATGTAACAACTATGTATCTGATAACACTTACCTTGAGGCACTCGGTACTCCTGGTAGTGACAGCCCAGTGAATAGGTGCACGCCCTTGTGTGTCCTGCATTGTGAAATCCCCACCATACTGCAGCAACATGCTGAGGGCTTTATAGTTGGCATCATGGCAAGCTTGGTGTAGTGCTGTAGATCCATCTGTAATAAGGCAAGTAATATACAACCTTAAATACAGTAAAGACTGTGTTAAAGACTTCCAGCATCACATATAAAACTAGTACAGTCAGGGTAAAGGATCTCATATTTGGTATAAATAATACTTCCCAAATTCACATGAAAATTCAATATATCTTCAGCTGAATTTGTGTGTTTTAAATGGGTAAATCTTTTAAACTTGATCTATTTTCATCAACAAGAAGTAGTGTTGTCCCTGTCAGTAACTGTAATCATACATCATACTTACCATGGGCTGTGGCATTGACCTCAGCTCCACTCTCCAAAAGGCACTTCAAAATGTCTAACTCATGAAAGTGTACTGCGTATATTAATGCTGTCCGTCCAATTCCATCTTGTTCCTCGATACAAGAAATATCTACCAATCAAAACACGAATACATTACTATCCAAAAGATTTTTTAATCTACAATGCAACATATCAAAATATGAAAGTCTTTGAACTAAATACCAATCCCATTTTCATTGTTTGTTAATACTTTAACATTTACATTACACTCTATTGGGTAAGATACAATACATTCTATTGTTTGAAATTTGATAATTAAAAGAACCATTCCACATTTTTGTTTCATCTTTTTTCTGATCATGAATAATACTGCAGTAATATAATGAAAGTAAACATTATTGTATTGTAAATGTTAACAACTAGAATTTTCTTCTTGTTTTTTTTTTTTGGCCTCTTTGGATTTTTTTCTTTCTCTTTTTCCAAGATTTAAAAGATTTAATTATTCTTTTATCTACCTAAAAGGAAATATAGAGATTGGTAAGATATCCAAACCAGAAAACATAAAAAAAAAATTGTGATCAGTTATCAGAATGAATCAGATACAATCACACTTGAACTTACAGGTGGCAAGCTAAGTGATATATGGCATTAAAGTCATGGATTTCAAAGTACATATATATGCACAAACATTATACAAGATTTTGGGTCCAAAAGGGTAAAACAGTGCAATAATTTTCACATTTAAAACATAAAGTTACGGTAGTTCTTTTTTAATCTTTGGTAACTCTGTGCAGTTTTTTAAACATTTCCCTGCTCATCTAGATATACTCTACCAATAGGGTTTATTCATTAAAGCCAAAATCAAGCTAAAGGTACTGGGATTGTGTCCATGGATGATATTGGGACATGACCATTCCAAAGCCAATTTTAGTGCCATCAAACTTATTGTAATGTGAAATTCAAGGACCATATGACTATGGACTTCTTACCATTCTGAATTAACTCAACACACATGTCGAAGTTGCTTTCCTTGACTGCCTGAATGATTGATGGTAACCTAGTTAGGTTAATACTTTCTTCATTACTAATTCCTGTTAAGCTTCGTAATGAATCTAAGTTTATCCATCGCCATTGAAACTTATCTGGTGCGTCAACAAAAGGAGTCATAGGACTCAGTCCCCTGGCAGTAAGTGACAATGATGTCGATGTTGCTTGAGCATTCTTTTCATGAATGCGATTCTGCAACAATCGATAATACTTCTGCAATTGCAGAAGAGCAAGGTTTAAAGTATCTCTTAACTCTGCACATTCTGAATCTTCATTCAACTTCAGCAGAAATTCATGCAGAAATGCAGCTGCCTTTTGAAAGTCTGAAACCAAAAATAAAAATCATACAATACAAATTCATTCACTATAAACTAACACTGTATTTTCCACATTGTGAACAATTCCAGATGTAAATATATTTTATAGATAAATAAACATTTTTATAAATAAACCGTCTGCTCCAAATAGTTGCAGCAACAGATAGATTTAATGATTAAAGCAAATTCAATTTGCAGTAAATTATTAAAATTTGTATGCAAATTACTTCTGTAAACATTCATATCTATAATCATAAATAGTATACTATATATTATTTAGGGATTGCTTTTATGCTCTGTACCTGAACTGAATGATAAGAGTATATTTGCATTGGGATGAACTACATAAATTGCTTAGTACATTTTTTAAGTAAATGTAATTGTTTGTCTCAACTAAATACAATATTTTGATAAAAATTGCATTGTGTTCACAATTAATGTAAGTCAGAAATGTGAAGAATATTATCAATTAATAATCATTTTGAGGTGATGTAAATTACATTGGCATATTAATAAATGTCAGCATGTACATGTGTCTGTTTGACACTAAATATATCCCAACTTGGTCATCTCTGATAAGAAGCAAATGCAACAACGGTTAGAAATCACAGAAAATAAATACCAATACAATAGTAAGCAATAAAAGTTATGCCTTTTACACATGCATAAAAAAGGAGAGAGATCCAATGCCTAAGTCGGCTTCTTGATTCTAATGAGTTCTACATATGAATCAGGAATTTAAAAAAAAATCGTACATTTCAATTTAGATATGGATAATATCTATAGTACTCAATTTCTGATTGCCTTCCTGATTTGTATTTTTTGTGTCGCTGACAATTTCTGTTTATCCCAAGATGGGATTGCAGAAGCTGTGGCACTATGATAAGAAATACTGTACTATAGTACACACAATCAAAGGCAATTTTGGGAGTTTGCAAGAAAAGGTGCAAGGAAAGACATGACAATAGTAACATATTTTTTCCAGATAAATGACATCATTAAAGCACTTATCCAAGATAAAATATTAGATTATGACTAAAAACCTTGCAAAAATAATTTCCAAATTCCAGATTAGAACAAAAGCAAAACAAAAACAGAAAATTACTTGAATAAGCATCAGTTGTTGAAAAAAAAAAACCATTTTTAAGTAACTTTAAAGGTTGTTTATCATCTTATGTCTTAAATTTTGAATGTCCATAAACGCAAACTTTGATTAGCTGCTGATTGCTTGAGCAATCCATTCTAATGTTCAAACAAACTTTTAATGAAATATCAGTATGAACCTTTCGATAAAGTGTTATGCATCTATCCTTTGGGGAACCTCAAAGATGCTTGATAGTTGACATAGTTGTCATGGTGACAGATATCATTTGTGGAAAATCATTCACGTTCGCATAAAAAGTTCAACTCTCATCAGTATGACAAGCAAATGATAACTGAGAACATACACATTTTCTTCAACCGTCGCAAAGCACAGTAACACATGTGCGACAAAACCTTCTATTCAGAGGAACATACGGTTGAAGTAATGAACTGTCAAATTTGGGTCAATGAAGGTGAAACCGTGTTTTGTAACATTTATTATCGAAGGAAACTGTCCGTTAAATTCGTATTCAGTATCATGCTAATCGCCAAACTGATATGAACGCGATGCGATACATAAGATCAGCAGTTCTGTTGACATTAATAAAAGCGGGCACCACAGTATAACATGTTTGTATCGGTTTGTTTATGTTCTGAACATGGCCGACGTTCAACTCACCTTTGCGTTTTACAGCCATTTTCTTATAAACATCAATCGCAAATTAGAGTATTTGGTTAAACATTGAACATAATCGTTATTGGTTTGCGGCGCATCCTGCAAACCCTCAAACGGGTTTGCTAGCCGCCAGTACATTCTGATTCCATGTCAGGTACCCGCGGCCATTACAATTTCATTCTCCCAGAATGCAACAATCTGATATAAAAATATTCAAAGACATAAGTTCATTCATTGCACTTAATTTGAGTTAAGATACAGTGCTCCGGTATCTTGTATGATTTTATTTTTGTTTAAAAGTATGTTAAATCACATCATGAGTAACTTTTTAAATAAATTTGAGATGTAGTCCCTAATATTTGATGTATCCATGAACCGTGTCACAACATTTATAAGCCAATATCACTCCGCCTTCGAAACGGCCGCCATCTTAATCTAGAAGCAGGACTAAGGAAGGGGGGCATCTGTTTAATCTGCCATCATCCTTTTAATTTTCATATTTTAAACGTTTATTCTACATTTATCGTATTCCCCAAGCACTTGTGTGATGGCAGATACAGATAAATTGAATATAGACAGCATTATAGCTAGGTTGTTGGAAGGTAAGTCCGCTGTTTACTGCAAAAATTTCGAAATTCTTCATCGAAGTCATTATTATTCTGGCGAAGCCGCTGCCTTCTTTCCTGTACTGATATGAAAGCATCATTATAAATCGGAACAATGGTGTTTTGTGCGATTGCCATTGGTTTTCTCTAATAAATAACGACACGTTCAAAACGATTGATTTCTAAATCAGTGCTACCATTAGCGTCGAAGTTTTTTCGTTTTATGCGGTGACTTTGAATTTCCTTTTGAAGGCATCGTATAATGTGATTGTTAGAGGATCAATATGTCATTATTTTATGTGTTTATTGTCTCTTTTCAACATCAAAAGTAGGTATGAATGTTCTTTGTTTCACATTGATGCAAATGTTATGACATTGTTTATCTCTGTCGATGTCATTTTATGTTTACACTAGCAAGATTTATCAGTCTGTCGTGAGTCATCTCGTTCAAAGCTGACGACATATATTTGATAGCTAAAATGTTATCTTCTTCAGGACTGTTCAATTTCACTGTCAAATTTGCGATGTTGATCCAAGTAAACCTTAACCCACGGTCTGACAAATCTATACGCAACGGTGCCCTTTTTGGGGGGAGGGGGCGTTGTAATAAATAATTGAGGAGTATTTTCATGTAGAATGAAATTTAAAAATATAAAGGAAGTAAAATGACTGATAATCTGAACAGACTATACCCGGTGTAATGGTAACCAGCTGACTGGAAGCTCGAGGTCCATTTCTGCTTATATTATGTCCTTCTGTCTCGCATATTAACAAATTTTCAGTTCTCTTTCCATTAAACTTGTACTCCTGATATCATTTGTTACTTTTAGTAATGGGAGCTTCTGGTGAACTTATCATCCAACCAAATATATGAAAAGACCAAGCCTACAGTTTCCAACTTATTGGAAATAATCAATATCTAAAAACAATTTTTAAAATGATGCTGGTGTTAATATGTTATTCTCATTTGCATTTGCAGTTCGTGGATCTCGCCCCGGAAAGAATGTTCAGCTTACTGAATCTGAAATAAGGGGACTGTGTTTGAAGTCTAGAGAAATCTTTCTCAGTCAGCCAATTCTTTTAGAATTAGAAGCTCCTTTGAAGATATGTGGTAAGATAAAAGTTCAACATTGGGAAACATTTTGGTTTTCTTGTATGGATAGCCTATTTAGGTACCTAAATACAATGATTATATGAGTACACAGTGTAGAAGTGATTATTGAAATGAATGTCCCTTGTCCAGCTGCACAGATTTCTTTGATTTTCAATGTCCTTTATTATCAATGCATTGTTTCTGTTTGATTGATATTAAGCCCATCATCATGCTACTGTGGAATATGATAAAGCAGCATGTCACAATTCATGCTCAAGGCTAAGAATAATATATATGGTCGTAAGTAAATTCTATTTTCGTTATTTATTTTGTTTCCATGCTAAAGAAAAAATGTTACCACTCATAAATGAAGAAAACTTTGGGTTTTTTTTTACCTGTCACAGCCTTTTTATTTTACTATAAATATCTAAAAGTAAATGAAAACTGAACGAGTCAATAACAGTGAAAAAAAAAGTTAAAACTTGTCCTAGTTACAGTGGTTTTTATATAACGCCATTGAGTACACCTTATTTAGTACACTTAGTATCCTATCTATATCATAACAAGTGGGGGTCTCTGTAAACCCGCAATTGTCGACCTTCAAAAATGTTGAAACTTCCTAATAGGGATTTATAATGATTATTCGGAAAAAAATATCTTTGATATGTTTTATGTGCCTAAAGTTGCTACCTTAAATTGTCACATATGTAGGTTCCCCTTGGTCACTAGTTGTTTCCGATTTCAGGGCTGATGAGACAGCCATTTTGGATTTTGACTTTGCAAGTTTGTTATTGCTATTTCTTGTGAAATACTGGATGGATCTTTCTTAAATGTCATATGTAGGTTCCCCTTTGTTCCTAGTTGCGCTCGTTTGATTTTGGGACTTGTCAGAAGAAACAAAATGATTTCCAGGCAGCTATTTTGGATTTGACATTGAAAGATTCTCATTGCTATTTCTACAAAGGAATGATCAAACGTCTTATCATTAAGATCAAAAACAGATAAGAGAATAGAAGGGAAAAGATCCAACTTTCAAAGAGCATATAAAGATCAAATCATGGTGGGCATTGGATCCCTCTGGGATCTCATTTTTTCCCCCCTTTTTTTAGACACCTTTTAATGAACTTATTAGTGTGTTTGATTATTCATATGCATTGTAGCAATTACTGGCCAAATCTAGGGTGATCATGAATGCAGCCAATGGGTTAAATGATAGTGTTGGGAAACGTAGGAAAAGTCGCCTAAATGATAATTCAATGTTTCGGATCACAAAACTTTTTTAAGCAGGGCAGTAATTTGGCAGTTGAAATCTCTTGTTTTGTTTTCTTGTACATTTGCAAGCCATAATCTTATATTGCCAACATTATACACAGTAACCATACCTCTTTAAGGATGGACATGTTCAATATCTAGATATGAAAGCATGATGACCTGCCATTATCAGGTTTGTACTTTTCAATCAATCAGGGTGATGAACTGAAATATAGCCATCAACCTTTGTTATTGCAGGTGATATACATGGACAGTATTATGACCTTTTGAGACTCTTTGAGTATGGAGGATTTCCACCCGAGAGCAACTACCTCTTTCTTGGTGACTATGTAGACAGGGGGAAGCAGTCATTGGAAACAATATGTCTCTTGCTGGCATACAAGATCAAGTACCCAGAAAACTTCTTCTTACTTCGAGGAAACCATGAATGTGCCAGCATCAACAGAATTTACGGATTTTATGATGAATGTAAGGATTACTTTAAACTTGTCTGAAACTTTTTTGAGCTTATGGGCATTTGAGCTTGGGACCTATTCTTAACTTGACAAGAGTATTTGGAAACACAAATTGTGAGAATAAGCACGGAAGATTTGGGAGTGTTTACAAATATCAACATTTTGTCCACTTTACAGATTAAACTGGTAATTAATGATTAGAATTGAAAAGTTAAAGGAGGGAGAATGATGTCTATTGAAATTACAATTCCATGAAAATCACTTATTATTTAAAAGAATTATATTTTTGTTGGCAAAGCCATTCAATAAAAGATCTCTCATTTACAGGCAAGCGGCGATACAACATAAAGTTATGGAAAACATTTACAGATTGCTTTAACTGTCTACCTATAGCAGCCATCATTGACGAAAAGATTTTCTGTTGTCATGGAGGTAAATGATCATATTCCAATACACAATGTACTTGCATTGTTTTATAAAATGTAAAGTTATTGAAACATGGATCTATTATTTCAAAGAAGAGCATAGCCCTAGGTTTTTTTTATACCCACACTTGGTGAAAGGGGAAGGTTACATGATAATCAGTTTGTAGAATCTTGTGTGCAACAGATCTCATGAAACCCTTCCAACATATTTTATATTAAAACCTGCAGTTTTACAACCAGTGGATTTGGTTGTCATTGCAACATTAAAGGGATAATAATCACACTTGACCACCTTGGGAAATTGTTTATAGCATTACCCAATCAGAGGAAGTAGATGAATGCAATACTTCGTTAAGTTTCCTTGGACTAGCTTATCTTGATATCTTGGACATCTATGTTCTTATAATTTGATGTGGGTCATGGATAATGTCACAATTTATAGAGGGCCAGTGGTTCAAAATATGATCCATTCAAGGCAACATGTAAGTGCAAGATTTCATTAATGGTATATCAAGATATTCATAAATATTACGTATAAAGCTAACACTGGTTTTTTACTTTTAAGGTTTGAGTCCTGATTTGCAGTCCATGGAACAGATTAGGAGGATCATGAGGCCAACAGATGTACCAGATCAGGGATTACTGTGCGATTTATTATGGTCAGATCCTGACAAGGAAACTATGGGATGGGGAGAGAATGATAGAGGAGTGTCTTTCACATTTGGTGCAGAGGTTGTGGCCAAATTTCTACACAAACATGACTTGGATCTTATATGTCGAGCTCATCAGGTACTACACAACATAAAATCTGGAATCATTTTAGATATTTTGCTAGAATCTTCATTTAATTTAAACAAGAAACTCAGAACTTCCAAAAACACTTATTGTAATTGTAAAGATGTATATATCAATTTTTTGAATGTGAATTCATTCCTTAATCTAGCACCAATTTGTTTTGTATAGTTTCAAGTAATTCTGTTCAGTTTAGGTACACTGGGCTAGCTTATTATTGTATATATGAAAATTGTGTGGTCTTTACATACTGGAAACTCTCTCCAGTGTTAGATATCTTATCTCTAATGAAATGAATTAAAAAGGGTTGTTGCAATTATGTTTTTATCTCTACTTAAAGGTAGTAGAAGATGGATACGAGTTCTTCGCCAAAAGACAATTGGTGACATTGTTTTCTGCTCCAAATTACTGTGGGGAATTTGACAATGCTGGTGCTATGATGAGTGTGGATGAAACTTTAATGTGCTCATTCCAGGTAATACTACAGTGTATTGGCTGATCTAGAAATTTTTAAGAAAAAAAGCCAAAACAAATCTTGATATTGAATCCCATGAAGTCATTCTTTTTGTACAAGTTTTCAAACATTTAAATTATTATGAAAATGTTAAATGTATTCTACAACACAGATTCCCAATTTCTATTTTTGTTTTTATATTGAATTATTTTTTACATTCCATGTTTATTTTTTATAGATACTGAAACCTGCAGACAAGAAAAAATTCCCATATGGTGGACTCAATGCAGGCAGACCTGTAACACCACCTAGAGGTCAAACAAAGGGGAAGGCAAAAGTATGATAAGTGAAACAAAAATCTTTTGGAAGGTTAGAATTGGACACAAAGTTGACGATGATCATTCATGCGTCAGTCGCAAACATTAATAGTTTGACTTCTTGAGACATTTAATTCTCTGGACATTAACAAATGCCAGTGAAGAATATGCTTGTGTGTTGCGGCTGATGTGATTGACTGAAACAAAGTACTGTACTGCAAACAGTACATATGTTGTCTTTAGGATGAAGTGGATCTGAAGATATAGAATGAAGGAGCACATAAGTTTGATTTTTGCCATAGGGACTCCATCCTGAAAGGACAACATAATTAAACATTTAACGACAGAGATGAAGTAGTATTGGTGTTTACAAGTCCTGTTACATCAGTTAATGTTGTACATTTAATTTAAAATAGATTGTTGTAAATGTAATTTTTATTCTAGCTCCTGTACATGTCAACATGAACTGTGTTCAGAACTGGAGCTGTGTATAACAAGACAATATTTTATGGCTTGGTCTGGTTTTCATCAATCTGTAAACAGTCCAGGCAAAATCATGAGACGACAAAATTTTATTAAATCCACATGCATACAACAAATTGTGTTGCGATCAAAATGTAAAATAACAAGCGAGTGTTAATCTAAGTTTGTCTGCCTTGTGCAATTTTGCATATGAACCCTTGTTCTGCTTTTGTAGAACATAATATTTCTCTGAACAATGTTAATTTCACATTTGATATGCAGTCATAAAACGGTCATACAGAAAATGTAGGAAATAGATTTTAATGTGATATAGCATGGTGTTGCACCATACATGTCCTACCTATTTAGTTCACCCTCCGCATTATAGCATACAGAGAACTTTTTCTCAATTGCTACTAAGTCATGAAGTGAAAGCTAGTCCCTGTACAGCTTGAATAGGAATGGTTCTGGAAAAAACATGCTGGTACATGTTGCAATCTTTCCTTGCATATTTACTGAATCACCATTATGACGCAAATGATAAACACTCGTTCAATGTATGTACATATGTCATGATTTGCCGACATGAGATTTTAATTTTAACTTATCTCATTTCATGTATATAATTCTGTACATTTGTATTTTAGTTTTGTCTAAATTTCTGTTTGATAGAATGAACCATAAGAAGTAGGCTTAATATATCAGGACCACCAACATAACAAGTACTATGTCATTACGAACTGCCCATTTGTGCTATAACAACACATCAGTGTATATGCTGATAACTACAGAAGTATGGGATATACAGGAAAGAACATAATTATAACAAGCAAGGTTTTTTAAGTCACTAATGTTTTTGTTTTTCTTAATTTATGGTGTATAATATGTAGATGAAATGTAAACTGATCGATGATCATGTAAATCTAATACATTATTTGTTGTATAGAAAACTGATGACCGAATAAAAAAGATGTTTTGTAAGAATGCATTGGTGTGATTTTTGTAAATACAGTGTAGTATGAAAAGATCTACTTGTAGTTGAATATATGACAGATACACTATGTCTATATCATTTTTCTTCTTTAAAAAAGTGAAGATTAATTCCTGGCAAAATGCCAATTCATTTTGTGCTTGTAACTATGTAATTTGGAACAAATTCTTATTAATCAAAGTAATTTGGTAGGCTGCTGGAGAACATTGTTGCTGAGGGCTATTCTAGTAAATCATCTTTTATCCCCCGCTTTCACCGAAATGGGTAATATTAAGTTGGGTGTGTCCGTCTGTCACACTTTCATTTCCACGTTCTAATTTCCCCAAATATCATCCGATTTGGGTGAAACTTTGTCAATAGTGCATCTTTGGGTCATTAAGACCGAGTTTAACTATCAGTGTCATCTGTTAATAATTATGCATACTAATGAGGTATCCTTTGATTTCATTGGTTGGTTCATTTCCGTGCTCTAATTTCCCTAAATATCCAATTTGGATGGAACTTTGTCAATAGATGCATCTTTGGGTCATTCAGACAGTTCAGCAATCATCATCATCTGTTTTTATCTATGCATGCTAATTAGGTATCCATTCATTTCATTGGTCGGTCAGTTTTTGAGCTCTAACTTTCCTAAATATAATCTGATTTAGATGTAACTTGAACTCCCACAAATATTATCCAGTCTCCTGTACTGATCATCATATTGTGTAGACTACTCTACCTGCTGATGACCATGGATCTGCCTAGCACCATTATAGTTACCAGTGTGCAAGTTTTCTTCCATTAGTTCACTTTATTGGTTGATATGTCCAACAAAACATCTACTCTCTATAATCTTTAACATCTTTCTTTGGCTTTAAAGCAATACATCATAGCTCAAGAGAATAGAGCATTCTACATAGCATTATGACATGTTTACTCCTAACCTCTAAAATATTTACTTACAATATGTTTGGAAAACAGGGGATATAAATTCCATTAATTTGCTTGTTGTACCTGTGCTCCAAAATAGAAGACCTCTATCACAGAATAACACTTAAATTCCATAGGTTGTATCCTTATACAAAACTTGGAGTCCTGGGTTGGGAATAGATGTTTTACTGGAACAGACCTTTGCATAAACTGACACAGTCTATATGTTGCATGTATTATACAGGGTGTAGATTGATCAATACTCCGACAATTATTCTTAAGGTTATATTCTCGCAAGTCTCTGAGGAGTAAGGATTTTTGGGAATTATTATTTACCCAGGCAGGGGAAAAAAATTTTACTAGCAAAAATATTTGACTAAATTTTCATGACAAAATGTTACATAATGTATACATGAATGTGTACTACAAAATATGTTGAATTTTAGTAGACGATTAAAACTAGATGGTTTTGAATGATTTCATTGACATTTTAGTTGTTAGGCAAGTGATCTCTAACAAAGACTCATTTCTAATTATGTCTCTTAAATTCTTGAAGTACTGGACACCACCTGTCACAACTACTGGATGGATCATTCTCAAATTTCATATTGTTGATGCCTAGCCAGTTGTCTTCAATTATGGGGCTAATTGGGAAGTATGAGAGAGAAAAAAATCGTAGTACAAAAGCAGTTAGGGAAGGAAAAGGGTTTGTACTTTTAAACAAAGAAGGAAAGTTTGCAGTGGAGAGTTATGAATTTTAGGGTTTTTTTTGTCCACTACTTTGAAGGTGGAAAATAAAGTATCTTGCTTGGATGTTGATGTAATATGGAAGTTAATGAACAATTTCAACAATTCGATATGTCATGAGCCTTTTGGTCAGTGGCATATCAAATTATCTAACAAGATAATTTCAATATTACATTGACGCACGTGTAAAATTCTATATATCATATAAGCTGTATTTCTGAAAAAAGCAAAAAGGCCAAATGAATTTCACGTCATGACTATTTGACGTCAAGTTTTTCACTCTCAAGGCAAACGTGATGTCCTCAAGGCGTCACGATAGTGTTATTACATGTTTCTTGAGACACGACACAACATACAAGTCATGTAATATGTCATGTAAAGAGTTCACTTTATTTATCCCGTATGTAATCACAGGTTAACTCAAAGGTTTTCATTACAGCTAGTTACTTCTTTCTGCAAATTGAAATCGTGCACTTTTGGTTAATTTCACCTTCCAGATGACAAGTTAAAAGCTTTACCGGGTGATAGGCATCAACCTCATTGACCAATATATCAAGAGATGTCTAGTAAAAACTTAAAGGAACATTTCTCAATAACTATGTTACATGAACATTCCACATTGTATTATTTACAGCAACAGATTATAGGGAAAATCAATCATTCTTGAAGGAAGTCCTCGGGGACCTTGCTAGTTGTAATGAAAGATTTAAGTTAATCTTGATACCACTCTTAAACTGGAAGTCATACCGTGTCGGTCTGTGTATTAGAGACAAAACTTGGGAGTAATGTTTGGTCCTAACTGAAACTTGGACAATAGCCACGGTAAAGATGGACACACTCTCATATCATTTTATTGCTGCTTATCCTGAATGCAAAATCGTATCAAGACTTTCATGTAAAGAGTTATGTTATATTTGGACATGACAACCATTTTAAAAAATTTACCACTACTTTTTTTGTTTTTTTGTTTTTTTGTTTGGAATGTTTCATGGAATATATTGGCCAGTTAGAAATAAAGATAAAATACTAAAAACATTCTGGAAAAACAAACATGTCAACCTAATGATATTCCAAACTCTTATTTAATAAAACAAGGACAAAATATTAACAAAAGAAAAAAATCCTGAAAAAGTACAAGGAGCCTAAGAGCCGGTGTTCCAGGAAAAGGTAAGCGTCTTCTGCATCATAAAGGACACCTGCCATGCAAATCTTTGACAATCTTAGTAATGCCATCTTGCTTCCTTTGAAACCCATTGGTAACAAGTTCGTCTGTCAGTTGACAACTTCTTGCACAATATCTAGGATAATGGGAATAGGCTCTTGATTATAGAACTGCAATATGTAAACACCATAGGTTGAGGATGTAGGGGTTTTGCTATCAAGAAATGGAAAATTCACAAGTGAATTTTTAAATAATTTCACTAGTGAAACAGTTTGATAGAAAGGTGTCCTTGTTGGTTTTGTTGTTAGACAAGATTGAGATAAGCGGCTGATATAGAAGAGCCTGTTGTGTTCTTGATTTTCAAGTTTGGTGGGTATATACATACAATGGATGTGCCCAATAAATCATCTTAATTACAGACAAGGCATCATCAGTATATCTGAAAGTGAAATTAAATGATATTGCACTGTCTTTGTGGCCTGTTTTATCAGCTCTTCCGCAAATTCAGCCTCGTATGAAAACAAAAACAGATCAGCCAACAGAAAGGGCACAGTTAGTTCCCTTAGGTATATGCCAATAGTCTGTTTTAAGTTCTTACCACTGTACTCGACAAAAAAGGGCTCTCAACCAGAAATTCAATCATTTTTTTTATTTTGCCATTGAACATTTATTTTTGCATATTTTTTTTCACCAAATACGCTGCAGTATAGTCTACAACCATATATTACTTCCCTTTTGACCTGAGTGGTATGTGGGAAAAATATAAAAATGTTGAAATGGCTTTTAAGCCCACCATCAACTTTTCTTATTTCAACCATTCCTTGGTCTCCACTGTTCATTCAATATTAAATCCACTTCACCTAATGATGTACCTGGCGAAACCATTAATTTCTTCAGAAGTAGAATTCTGAAATTCTGAATAATTTGAATTTTGCTAAATTTCTTATTGGTTCTTAATCTATCTACATTGTTAAAAAAGAAGGCTTCTTCCACAGGATGCATACTTCTGACCAGATTAATAAACATCCTCCAAGTTGTTTACGTTGATGAATTATGTCTTTAGAAATAGTGATCATGTCATTTCATTCTCAAATCCAAGATGTCGCTTTCAGCCATTTTTTTATCAGTCCCAAAATCAAAAGAATAAGACAGAGGACAGAGTGAACACACCTATGAAATATGAGCATTCCACCTCTCGAAAAATAGCATTACAAAGTTTTTTTATTCATATTCCAAGATGGCCGTTTTTCAACCATTTTGTTTCTCTGGTCAGTCCCAAAAACACCAAAAGGGCTCATAGAAGGCCAATATGGAGTTCACATACAGTACGAGAATTATCCATTCTTTAATTTTTTAAGAAAAAAAAAAGACATTTGTCAATGAAATTCCAAGATGGCTGTCTGTAAGCCATTTTGTTTTTGTGAATAACTCCAGAATTCCCACGATGAATGTGAATTTTGATATTGGTGAAGATTTGCGAGTGTGTATAATTGTGTTTCTAAGGGGTCTAGTGATAAACTATGTTTGGAGCATTGAAGAAAAAATTCTGACAATATCCTATCACTTTACGATCACTTTTTTAACAAATATATCTTGTAAAGTAGACAAATATATATAATCGGCTCAATTTCCCTCATCCTCAATACTCCAGGATCTACGGTCACTTTCACTCTGCACTCCTGGAACATGTCATTGTAAGAGCGACTGTTCAGTGTGCGAAACTGTATGAACAAGACGAAAAGGACAGTTTGATCCTCTGATGTTCATCAAACGAATCTTGAGGTTGCATAAGGGTATTTTGTACTCAGGACTCTCAAACTGCCAGATTTGGGGCCGAATCCCAATGCAAAATACTATCTTTTTTTACCCAATTTAGACCCCAAGTTTTCCCCAATTCTAAGGAGAACACCATTATTTTTCCCCAATTCTAAGGGCCCTGGTCCCAAAATGGGGTGTGAGAGTCCTGGTACTGGATTTGATGTTGGACATCTCTCTTTCGTAACTACAAAAGGAGCATATCCGCCTGTCATTGGTCAGTTTTTTCTCCTGGAACCAATCAAATCACTTGTGCCTTCAATTTTACGATGACATGTTCCAGGGGTGATGAGAGCGAAAGTATCGTGGATGGATTTCACCTGCATGTACATTATAAATGTATCCACAAAATATTTCTTTTATCAGATGCATTGTAAAAAGGCTTAATGAAAGTGTGAAAGAACTGGGGTTTTTCTTTACTGTTATCACCTATATCCTTATTGTTTTCTGCATTTTCTCTTAAAAAATCACAAACAAACATTGTCACTTCTCCCAACTTCTTTATGTGGTGGATAAGAACTTTACATATAATTTAGAAGATCATTTCATGAGGATACTGTTTGTTCCCTAGAGAAAACATCGCACCAAGGTATCCAAAAAGAAGTTTCTTCTCCTTGTTCTTTCGGATAACTTCAAGGACCTGTTTGTCTACATCCACCTGGTCTTGTTTACGATCATCACTGACTTGGTACACCTGAAAGTTATATGGTGTTTCAGAGATATGTGTCTACAATTACATTAAATCATCACGAAAATGGATAAATGATGTGAATATGGCAGTATACCTATACAGTGCTCTCTTGACCTATTGCCATCCCATAATACCCCCATCTCGCATATCACCACCTTTACCTTATAGGAATATCCTCAATCTATAATTCTCTCTATAAGTTTGACCCCCATCACTTACTGCCATTTGTCTTGAAATAGACAAGCTTTTTATCACTATTTTGTCTGATATTATTGTCAGTTTGGTTCTTGCGGAGCTCTCTATTGTTCTATTTATAAACAAGAAAAGAAAACATTGTAGGTGGAATATAACTGCAGTCCAATATAAATAAGTAATTTTGAAAGTACTATGACAAAATACAGCTTTCAGCCCTAAGATTTGCTTACAGCAAATAAAACAGATTTTGTAAGGAACCATTATTCTACCAGTGCTTTCTCTACATTTAATTAAAAGTTCATTTGAAAGTAGTGTATTTAAAGTATCATTGGGATATCAATGAAGTCATAGATAACTTCACACATGATTCATGAACTATACATATTGCATTTGACACATACCATTTCAGATACATTTTTTTCAATATTTAACCATTTTACTCACTTCTTTCTTTGTATCAAAGATTTCCCCTTCAGTGTGTCTGGGACGCCTGAGCTTTTGTCTCTTAAAATAAGCATCATTCAGTCTGTCAGGCAGGTTCACACCACTGATGTCGATCTTTGTTTTGGTTGCAATTACATAGATCTGATTGATCCTGCGCAGAGGGCACCCATTGAGATGGAAGGGACCTGGAATATTCATTCATCAAAATTAAATAAAAATGAAACTGACACTTCATAACGATAGAAATATGTCAAAATCAGAGATGCCAACCTATGGTCATTTACAGATCATCTTTGTACGACTGCATCTGTATATCTTTGCTATAGCTAAATCTGGGAACATGCGCTGAATCAAAAACCACTAAAGGAAGGTTGTTTTCCACTATAAACTTCATGAAAAGCACCTCTGTCTTGAACATTGTGTGGTCAGATGTTTTGCAGAATACGTAAGTAATTTTCAGATCCTGAGTTGTGCGTTTTTCAAGTTCTCAAAATGTTTTGATAATGTCACTTACACCTAAACATGAAATTTGTACCACCAACTGTGCAGAAGGCATGGTGTACACTAATCTTTGATGTCACAACAGAAGTTATTTTTTTCACCGTGTATTCCTTTTTGAAACTTTGCCCATGCTGTGTTTTCAATTTCTTGTTTGGCTGTCCAGTTGATTGCCTTCCTTGTTTTCTGCCATCTTTGCACATTTGTACACATGGTAATTAAACATTTGATACCCCTTTTACTCTAGCATACAATCCAAGAGCAATCCAAGGTGAATGCTAAAAAGGGATAAATTCAACTCACCTGTTACCAAAAGGAGGCCGGAGTTCAGCTGCTTCAGAAACACTACTCTCTGAAATAGAATAGAAATGTTAATGATCATTCCAGTTCTACATTATATAAATCCAGACATAAATTGTATTGGAAGCAAGAAAAAGCTACTGAAAAATGGAGATTATATATTTTTTTTACCTTTCCCTTGTGTCGTCCAGCCACAATAATCAAGACGGTTCCTGGTGTGATAGATGGTCGAATTGAGTGCTTGTGAGCAGAGAAAGGAATTTTGTTGGATCTTAGCTTTCTTGGCCTGTCTTCAGTTGGGTAGTACCGGGACTGAAATAGAAGCAAAACAAAGCATGATTCCACCAGCTCATGTCAGGCAAGTATGTTCTTATTTCAAGCTCAGTAAACAGTTTCAATATCCATTACAAAATTTCAAATTGTATACTGTGGATTCATTTATTTTCGTTGGGTTCAATTTTCGTTGTTTCTACAAATTAGACAGTTTCGTGGACTCATAAATTCGTGGATTTTTGATTCTGTGGGAAAAAATAAAAAAGTTAGAATTTTCTCTTTTTGCTTCCAGTCGATTTTTTTTCTGTTTGTATTAAGGCTATGTTCACAGGAATTAACACTAATGACAAGAATAAAAGAACGTTTTTTTTTCAAGATGGCGTCCTGCGTTTTTATAACGCTGTTTACAACAGTCTCGCATTAATATCAAACCACAAATCAGTATATATCCTGGCGTGTAATCAATCGGTAATTATCAGAAACAATTGTTTTCAGTGGATAAACATTGTGTGCTGATCAGTCGGTGTACCGCAGTCATATGAAAACACCACGCGTATCGATGGGACCATGTGTGTAAACAGGTGTGTAAACAAGATCTGCATTATTAATAATTATTGTGAACCTGTAGTCGGATAGAAATACGGATCCAATCTTCAATCGACAGGATGGTCCGATCAAGCCTAGTGTCCACAATGTCGCTAACGACTGCGATCCCATCATACTTAGCATCACAATGGGTACTTACCCTTTGTTATGTTTAATAATATATAATTATATATCGTTGACACCAATTTAGCGTATCCATGTCGAGCCTCAGACTACCCGACTCCCGACTAATTACGGGGCTTCTGTCATTACCGGTGGACGTTTCCGGTGTCGGCAAAGATTACTTGGTCAAATTCCAAAATTACTTTAGTAAGTAGTTCATATTTCGTTGTGTTTTTAAATTCGTGGATTTGCTCATCCACGAAAACAACGAAAATTGGACCCCCACGAAATAAAATGAATCCACAGTATTTCATTATAGACTGGATTTCAAACTCTTTTCAAGATTGAGAATACATACATCTGTAAATTCTTATATTTGGCATTGCTCTGCTAGTGGTTGCTTGATCATTACTAAATAAAAACTGAATGCAAATTACTTCATACTAAGTACTTTTTATAAAACAGACCCTAATGATTTGCTACATACAACCATGGATGCTTTGTATCGTTCCAGTTTGGTTATCCCCAATAAAACTGTTTCTTGAACAAAACATTTTGCATTGTTTATTTTGCATTCAGCATTTCACATAAAGCATTTAACTGGCTTTCCATATTAAATAAGATAATTAAGAAAATAAAGGCCAGCCAGCAAAATAGATAATTGGGAATCTAGATGGAAAGTGTTGATTGTGGTTGCTAAATCAATCTTAAGAATGTCATAATTTTACAATTTACTACTGTACTTAAAAATGATCAGAACTGCCTCCTACCATGCGGTTGATCCTGACTGTTCTTTTTCCGCCATTTTTATCACCACCAATGTCCTTGGTGATCATGCGGGTGGGGGTCTTGGTGACCTTCTTACGAGGAGCCATCTACAAAAGAGAAAGAAATTATAACATTGTTTATCAGCTGTTATAGATCATGTTGAATGACACTAGTTACTGATTGACATCTAAAGTAATTAAAGCTTGAGCTATAATCAAGTTTTTGGCTAATTAAGACTATATTTCACATCTTTTTAAAATGAAAATTATGGTTTTGGGATGTAACAGAATGAATGACATTTCCTTTTGGACAATCCCCTACTGTCAGACCTGTGGATTCTAATAACAAATATCCTGTTCAACTCTGACCACTATTCTACTGACCACTACCCAACATAACACTCCTGAAACCATTAAATTGTTAATCTTTTATGATGCAACTCTGAACACCTTTACTGTTGCTTACAATTAATGATCAAACATATTTTATCAATCTACAAGTCCAACAGTCAAGTCAGTGTTGAAGTGTTGTTACTATAAATCTTTGCCACCTTGCCAGTTTACTACCCTTATGATCACCTTTAGCTATTACACCTTTTCTTCCATAAAGCAACAAATGTCTGTATATCACTGCAATTGTTGCTGTAGTTAGAATTGGTCCAGAATGATGAAGGCAGTAAACAAGAAAATTCCTATTTGTACATTATAAGTAAAATGTCATAAGAACAGATTTTGACCAGGGGTCAAAAATTTTAGCAAGTCACCAATAACCATGTACAAAATTTTACCCAACATGAACATCTCTGTTCAATGAGATATTGTATTACTTCATATGGGAAAAGACAGAACACGATAATATACGTTGCCTTAGTGGGATTTCGATTACCCCAATGTCAGTGTAATGTAATCAATTGGGGGTGTCCTGTGGATGCTTCAAAGTATATTTTGGTGTGGCAGCAAGGAATATTGCTGCCATCCACAAACAAATACCTCGCAAACATAAGAATGTCGCCCTTAAATGGCAAAAGACTTTGGTAAGACGTTAAATAATGTAAAACCAAATCAATCCTACACTAATATAGACTGGAGAACTTCAGTATTTCTCTTAAACTAGGTCAATGTAAAAATGGACCTATAGTCTCGCTGTTGACTATTTCTAGAGGTATCATAATCGTCCAAAATGTACCAGGCCTAGGTCTTCTCTTAACTGACCCGAAAAAAGGAACATCTAGGTGATGTACATTGTACTGGAACACAGGCCTGTGTTAGCAGCTACCCGTCTAACTGACATCACCCTTATTACAATTTCAGGCACGTTTCCGTTTCTAACACGGTAAAAACGGTGCAATATAGCAAGCTTTGTCATCGGCTAATTCGCACATGCCATTTAACACAAAATATGACAGCGTCCACAGCCGTTTATTTCATTAAACGAGCAGACAACATAACATGTAAACATGTTCACATGGGGTAAATAGGTAGGATCATTGGATAAATTAAAACGTATCGTACACTTCATGGGTAATATCGATACGTTTTGAGATATATTAGATATCCGTGCATACTTTTATGTAAGTAAAAGTTTTTGATGTGCTGTGATAGATTAGATTTATTCGGATTTACTTCTAAGATTTGCTTTTCAGATCCACTTACTTTGCCCTACCGGAAGTAAAAGAGAGCACAGAAGTTGATGACATCACGAGTTTAGACGATGTTATCCACACTTCCGGTTTAAATGTAGGAAATGTTTTGACAGTTTGATACGATGTATGCCTCGTTAAAGAAAGGAAACGCACAATTTCAATATCGTTTATGATAAAGATTTCACGATTATATAGTATGTTTTTATGTAGATAAACGTCAACTGATTTAGCCTGTTTTGTTACCTAGATCATCGAGACTGAACTAGAAGACTGAGTGTCAGATGACAGGTGTCTCCCGTGACAGTTGCAGGTCATCACGGAATACAAAAAATAATCCCAGAAACAAGAGATTGTTATGCAGTAAACAGTCATTATAAGCTGTATCTGCAAGAAGCAGAATAATGGCATCTTCAATCAAAAGTCATGCAGTCATTCCGAAACCAAAGATAGTAAGGTAAACAAATTGAACACTTAAACTGACTATACACTGATACAGATCGTGCTCTCAGGCATGGTTCGTGTGCACATCGTACATGCAGGGAATTCAGATTCCCGCAAATGAGCTTTGACTCTTTAAGTTTGAAGGTATATGTTCGATCCTTCAGATTTGGGATTTGACTTTAGAAGTTACCAAATGTCAAGGGTCAGCTGATATGAATGTTCAACATGTGCACATCGAGCGTACAGTTCCTGATCTTGAAATCCAGTAATTTGGTCATATGATATTATCTTTCCTCTGTTTTCTATGATCACAGACTCTTAGGAATTCAAAATTAATACATCTTAACTATACATCGGTTGAAGCTACTATGATCTTGATATCTTCCTCACTTTTCATTTTATCATATTTAAAATGATTTTTTTGTTCAAATTGTTTGAGTAATTTATATGAAATTATTTAAATATACATATAATATACAGTAAGAAATATAAAAATCAGGTAGTTCCCGAGATTTCCTTTTGATCAAATTTCTAAATGCGATCTTTAAGGTTGTATATGTGCACCTGGAATGTGGGTACAACAGACCCTCCTAGTGATATGACAGAACTTCTTGGACTGGACAAACCTTATGAAATGCTACCCGATATATATGGCATAGGGTAAGTATATTTGTTATGTCAAAAGTACCAGACTTTATTGTATTGTGCTGCATATGTTTTGTATTTCTGATTACATAAGTGGTGGCTTCTGTGTGATATTACTCTCCCTAATACAGCCATAATGTAAGAATTTAAGCTGCTATGCTTTAGCTTGCTGAGTTCTGAAGAACTATTTTGTAATTATTCGTAAGTGTTTCTTGTTTGGTCATGGGAAACATTACATTCTCAGTGCACATACAAAACAAAGGGGTAAATACTTGTGATCAGAACTCGTCAGGACTTTTACATAAGTGGTTGAGAATTAAGACTGGTTGAGTCAGAATGAAAAAACAAAACATACAGATTGAGGCAGAGACTGAATAGTGAAATTTTTGGCATATTCACTTTGAAAGAGTGAGCCATTCCCATCCAAAACTAAACTTGCTGTATGTAAATATATTGACCAATCTTAAGTTTTCAGTAAATAGTTCAAATAAGATACGGTAATATAATGATAACCAATACACGTTTTAACAGAACACATTTTATCATTCAGGTTCATTGTTTTGTATTCAACTGGGAATTATAAAACTGTGCATTTTTTACCCTACACATATTGTTGCTCTCATTCAGTATATGTATGTTGATATTCTGTGATGCTAGAACCATCTCAAGCTGGTTATGTGAAGGTTTAGCTATATGTTTATTATAAGTACTGTGTAGTTTGTTGATTGGCAAATTTAATTTCTTACTTATATCAAAGTTTGTCATTGTTGTCAGACTTTGATTTTCCTGTGCTTTTATAGACAAAAATAAACAGAAAAGGGGAGTGTTCTTACATAGTTTAAAAAAGAAAATCAGTATGACTTTGAGATGTATCATTTGGATATAAAAATTCAACTACGGTATCTAAACTGTACATACTCTTGATTTAACTTACTAATGGCTTCTATCTTCACCCTCCATGATGAAATTATTTATAAAGTGATACTAATACTAAAATGTTTTACATCAAACATTAATTTTCAACTCAGATATATGGTAATACCTAGCCAGCTTGACAACTAGATCTTTATTGAAATCATACTCTGCTTTTTATGTACTTCAGAATTTTTACATTAACTTTCAATTTGCATACCTAGATACAGAATCTGTATGATACAGAATATATAGGCATTTGTTCAGTTTCTGAAACATGGACAGAGGTCTGACCCCTAGGTTACTACTTATAATACTCTGCCTTACCAATATGTCGCTTATTTTTCATCAGTTTACAAGAAGTGAGTACAGGTGATGCAGATGCAGAAGAAAACAAGTGGACCAAAGCCTTAACACATGTTCTTGGGAAAACAGGATTTGTTCGAGTGAGTATCAGACAAGCCCATTAAATGCAGCATTCTCAGATATTCCATTGAAATCTGAGATTGATGTTTACATCTTTATGATCATTTTATAGAAAGATGCTACTATGCATGTACATGTATTTTGTTATCAATTCTATAGTACTGTGAGATTACAGGCATACGATGGTGTACTGTATCAGTCTCCAGCAAATCTATTTTGTTTCGTCGAATACAATGTATATAGGGGGTTGTTTTCTCTAAGGAGGAGGTTAGAAGATGCAGAGAAGTTCTGAAGTTATTGATTGACAAAGTATTATGGGCTGAGTAATTTGTGATATTGACAAAGTTGTAGGTTGCAGAGTGGTGTGTAGTACTGATAAAGTCTTAGAGTACAGAATAATTTATAATCTAGACAAAGTTGGAGGGTTCAGAGTAATGTGTGATACTGACAAACCCTGAGGGTTATTGACAAAGTCAGAGGGTTCAGAGTAATGTGTGATACTGACAAACCCTGAGGGTTATTGACAAAGTCGGAGGGTTCAGAGTAATGTGTGATACTGACAAACCCTGAGGGTTATTGACAAAGTCGGAGGGTTCAGAGTAATGTGTGATACTGACAAACCCTGAGGTTTATTGACAAAGTCTGAGGGTACAGAGTAACTTGTGATATTGACAAGACCTAAGGGTATAGAGTTATGTGTGTTATTGACAAAGTCGGAGGGTTCAGAGTAATGTGTGATACTGACAAACCCTGAGGGTTATTGACAAAGTATGAGGGTTCAGAGTAATGTGTGATACTGACAAACCCTGAGGGTTATTCACAAAGTTGAAGGGTTCAGAGTAATGTGTAATACTGACAAACTCTGAGGGTTATTGACAAAGTCGGAGGGTTCCGAGTAATGTGTGATACTGACAAACCCAGAGGGTTATTGACAAAGTCGGAGGGTTCAGAGTAATGTGTGATACTGACAAGACCTAAGGGTATAGAGTTATGTGTGTTATTGACAAAGTCGAAGGGTTCAGAGTAATGTGTGATACTGACAAACCCTGAGGGTTATTGACAAAGTCGAAGGGTTCAGAGTAATGTGTGATACTGACAAACCCTGAGGGTTATGGACAAAGTCTGAGGGTACAGAGTAACTTGTGATATTGACAAGACCTAAGGGTATAGAGTTATGTGTGTTATTGACAAAGTCGAAGGGTTCAGAGTAATGTGTGATACTGACAAACCCTGAGGGTTATTGACAAAGTCGAAGGGTTCAGAGTAATGTGTGATACTGACAAACCCTGAGGTTTATTGACAAAGTCTGAGGGTACAGAGTAACTTGTGATATTGACAAGACCTAAGGGTATAGAGTTATGTGTGTTATTGACAAAGTCGAAGGGTTCAGAGTAATGTGTGATACTGACAAACCCTGAGGGTTATTGACAAAGTCGGAAGGTTCAGAGTAATGTGTGATACTGACAAACCCTGAGGGTTATTGACAAAGTCGGAGGGTTCAGAGTAATGTGTGATACTGACAAACCCTGAGGGTTATTGACAAAGTCGAAGGATTCAGAGTAATGTGTAATACTGACAAACCCTGTGGGTTATTGACAAAGTCTGAGGGTTCAGAGTAATGTGTGATACTGACAAACCCTGAGGGTTATTGACAAAGTCGGAGGGTTCAGAGTAATGTGTGATACTGACAAACCCTGAGGGTTATTGACAAAGTCTGAGGGTTCAGAGTAATGTGTAATACTGACAAACCCTGAGGGTTATTGACAAAGTCGGAGGGTTCAGAGTAATGTGTAATACTGACAAACCCTGAGGGTTATTGACAAAGTCGGAGGGTTCAGAGTAATGTGTGATACTGACAAACCCTGAGGGTTATTGACAAAGTCTGAGGGTTCAGAGTAATGTGTAATACTGACAAACCTTGAGGGTTATTGACAAAGTCGAAGGATTCAGAGTAATGTGTAATACTGACAAACCCTGAGGGTTATTGACAAAGTCTGAGGGTTCAGAGTAATGTGTAATACTGACAAACCTTGAGGGTTATTGACAAAGTCGGAGGGTTCAGAGTAATGTGTAATACTGAAAAACCCTGAGGGTTATTGACAAAGTCGGAGGGTTCAGAGTAATGTGTGATATTGACAAACCCTGAGGGTGTAAAGTTGTGTGTGACATTGAGACAGTCTGAGGGTATAGAGTAATGTGAGATTTGCAATTGATCCTCTGGATTTCGAGGATGACAAAATTCCAAAATATGATCAAGTAAATGCGTTGAGGTAGAAAAATTCTGTATTCATGTTGAAAAGCATCAAAATTCTGAGGTGTCTTTTAAATGTACAAAATATGTGATAACTCAAAATAGCATTTGAAATTCTTCTTATGCTCATAGGTAAAAGTTGTAAGAATGCAGGGGTTATTATCATTAGCCTTTGTGAAGAGAGGAGACCTGTTAAGCTATGAACACATTGAGTCTGAGAGGTCTAAGGCTGGTATGGGTGGCTGGTGGGTAAGTAGATTCTCTCAGTAAATTATTTACACATGAACTCATTGTAGGGAGACTATTTTAAACATCAATGTTAAAAGTTCTTTTTTATGAAATAACTCTTTGTATTGCAGTTCTTCCTGTAAATATATTTACAAAAAAATTTAATGGTAATTTATTTCAAAGGGTTGTGATATTGGAAACTCTTACTAAATGTATTTGTGACCAAAGTATATCAATTGTGTTGCTTTCTTACTGATAATTACATCTTATCTTCCTACATAGGGCAATAAAGGAGGTGTAAGCATCAGATTTGATGTCAATGGTGTCAATCTAATCATGGTCAACGCCCACTTGGCAGCTCATATGAACAATGCTATGGAACGAATTGAGGTACTATCAGAAATTGCATTCTACTTCATCAAGAAATTGTACGGTATTTGATTTGTCAATGAAAATAAATTGTGACAGTATTACACAGACTGATGTAGCTTAAAATGGTTTATTTTTGATGTTGTAGGATTTTTTCACTATACTAGACACACAGAATTTCCGAGACAAGGATGTTGATAATATCCTAGACCACGAGTAAGTTTATATTAGAATTTGTTTATTTGATAAGTTCAAAAAGGACTTATTTACCCTTGTTAGCTTGAACTTGGATAACTTGAAGAACTTTTTTCAGCAATATTTCTTTGGTTTCTGCAAAAATCCCCTTTATCTTAGCAATAAGAATTTGGATAATTAAAAAATGGTGGTTGTAACAGTAAAACTCTTACATTTCTGTATATCAAAGCTTCATGGACATTACCCCAATAGTATTTCATCTGACTGTTATTTTCTTAATCCCTGGAAAATTAACATTAAATCCAGTCTGCAATAAATTATTTTTCCTGACATAATGTTGAAACAGTGAGCTATGTACCTGATGATGATAACACCATAACTGCTAATGTAACTATAGAAAAAACGGAAAGTACAGACCAATATTTACGCCTGATCAAAAAATCATCACTTTATTTAATATTTAGTAGACATAAGGCAATTGGTCTTAAAATGTCAGGAGAGCGGTCTATGACAAATTAATGAAGGGAGTTAATGATGTGAATTTTATTTAGTTGAAAAGAAAGAGATGATATCAAGTTATGCTTTTAACACTTGATGGCCAAATGAAATATTTAGGAGAGTCTTACCGGAGAAAACTCACATGATTGGGGGTATGTGAACATGTAACTTTGGCTGAAAAAAAATCTTGTTCTTAAATTTCTCAGTTATGTGTTTTGGATGGGAGATCTGAATTTTCGTTTGGATGACTTGAAAAGAGCGGAAGTCGAAAGAGAAATAGCAGCCAAAAATTATAGTGCCTTACTCAAGAACGATCAGGTAAGTTATGTACAAGTTGTTCTAAACAAATTCACTCGTATAATTTATCGTATCTCTTTATGGTGACGTTTTGTGTGATTTTTGGTTTCATTGTTACAGTCCTTCATATCTTATACGAGGTTTCATAGTTCATATGAAATTCATGAAGAATGTCCCAAGAAATTTTGTAACAAGTTTCCCAAATCGTGTTTGAAATGAAAATGAATTAAGATCTTTTTGATCACATGATCAAATATTTTGGCAAATATTGTAGAAATCAATTCTTTTCATTGTTAAGCTGGAAGTCATCTTGACACTATTTCTAAAATCTTGATAATGATTTCATAATGAAATCTGACAATTTGTGGCCTCATTTCATTAATGATATGAAATCCTGATATCTCAGTAAGTCTGATTTATAACATCAGTTCACTGAGGTATTAAATATATTACAAGGTTATGTTGACTATAAACATTGAAAATCATGTGATTGATAGAACTTTGATCAAATATGTAACATAAAGATGAACATCTTCACAAAGTATGATAAAGAATTTTTATAATATGGGGTTCGTTTCAGTTGTTAAAATGTAAAGAAGAGGGAATGATATTCACTGATTTTGAAGAGGGACCAATCACATTTGCACCAACCTACAAGTTTGATCCTGGCACAGACATCTATGACACAAGGTAGGTAATTGTCATATGATACTAAGTCAATACATGTTACATGACGCTAAGTAAATATCTGTCACCAAGTAAAAAGTAGGGACATGTCATAATGTTTATAAAGATTTGAAAGTTTATAGATACAAGTTGTATACTGGTTTAATGAATGTTTGAGTATACTCCCTATAAATGTGTTTGTATTGATCGTCCACAGTGAGAAGCAGCGGGTACCGGCCTGGTGTGATCGAATTCTGTGGATGGTCCATGAAGACTCGTTCCAGAACTTGGATCTTAGTGTGAAACAATTTTACTACAAATCTCTTCCTTCCTACACCACAAGTGACCACAAACCTGTCATCTCAGAGTTTCAATTTCCGGTGTGTACATCACAAAAGTGACCACAAACCTGTCATATGTCACAAAAGTGACCGCAAACCTGTCATATGTCACAAAAGTGACCGCAATCCTGTCATCTCAGAGTTTCAATTTCTGGTGTGTACATCACAAAAGTGACCACAAACCTGTCATATGTCACAAAAGTGACCAAAAACCTGTCATATGTCACAAAAGTGACCGCAAACCTGTCATCTCAGAGTTTCAATTTCCGGTGTATATGTCACAAACGTGACCTCAAACCTGTCATATGTCACAAAAGTGACCGCAATCCTGTCATCTCAGAGTTTCAATTTCTGGTGTGTACATCACAAAAGTGACCACAAACCTGTCATATGTCACAAAAGTGACCAAAAACCTGTCATATGTCACAAAAGTGACCGCAAACCTGTCATCTCAGAGTTTCAATTTCCGGTGTATATGTCACAAACGTGACCTCAAACCTGTCATATGTCACAAAAGTGACCGCAATCCTGTCATCTCAGAGTTTCAATTTCTGGTGTGTACATCACAAAAGTGACCACAAACCTGTCATATGTCACAAAAGTGACCAAAAACCTGTCATATGTCACAAAAGTGACCGCAAACCTGTCATCTCAGAGTTTCAATTTCCGGTGTATATGTCACAAACGTGACCACAAACCTGTCATATGTCACAAAAGTGACCAAAAACCTGTCATATGTCACAAAAGTGACCAAAAACCTGTCATATGTCACAAAAGTGACCACAAGTTTGGGATGCTGAGATCCTAAAGTTTACAAAGTTTTGTATTGTGCTCAGTTTCTCTGTAAGTACAAGAGTTACTGTTATTCTAATGAATCTTGGAACATTGTTGTAGTATGGATATCAGAACCCACCAAAAAAATTATAACAAATGTTTTTTCGGACAAAATTATGATTTTCAGAAATGACCACATAGAGAATATTTAATAGCATCTTCAGAAATATACACTTGTAAAAGATACAAACAGAATTTAGACATACAAGTGAAATATATATTTATTAAGGAAGACACTATTGAATATTCAATGTGTTACATTTTCACAGACAAAACTAGTGAAATACTGTTGTACTTAGGACAGATATAAAATGACAAAGCTTACTTCACTACTCGCTTATCACAGCTTCATAGTGTGCAACAAAATAAAGTTTTTAAAAAATTTAGTAAAAGTATATAAACACAAAAACAATTTCCAATGTAAATTAAAGTTCTTATATGTGAATATTGTGGATATTTTGTTGTGAGTCCAGAGAAACTTTTCTAAAACTTTGATGAGTACACTTTCAAAGAGATAAAAGGGTTCTCAAAATTTAAGCGAGTCCCAAAAGAAAGGCTTAAGTCCAGGACTCATGTATTCAAGTCCCAAAAATTCACTGTCATAGAAACAGTTGCTTATTCATGTCAGTAATAAACAAATTTGCTGTAAAATGTTCAGGGAGAGTGTAACAATAAAGGGGTGTAAGAAGTAAGTTACACAACTGAAAATATGGTGGCAACCTTGGTAATTGCTGGCAATAATACAAATGCTCTTGAAATGTCAACTTCCACTTTCAAGATGTTCAGTTTTGGAGATTTGGACCTCTGACAAAGTAATTTAAGTTGCTGGCTTGCATTGTTCGCTGACTTCCACGGAAATGGAAATTTACCAAGGAATCACAGATTGTGTTACATGTACATACTACAGATGTTTGGTTATGTTTTTGTACCTGGCTTTATGATGTCAATTTTTTAAAATGACCTGTGTTCTCTATCTTCATTGGTATAAATTTACAAAATTGGTAAATAAGAAAAATATGAAAAATAAAACTTTAATAATGTGATATTTCTCTATATAATTTCACTGGTTTAAAATGTAATAAAAAGTCATTCTACTCAAATCAGATTTAGTTTATATTCGAGTTTTCCTCTCTCTCCTTAATACATTAATACAGGCTTTAAAAGACTTTGTTGAAGCAGGTCTGTCCTTATTTCACGAATGAAAATCCCAGGTCTAACTGGCAATCAGTGAACAAAATTGTCCTTAGTTTCAGGTATACATTACTAAAGACATCATTAGTACTGTAACACCTATATCTAAAAATTCTCATTTTCAGGTGTTTCCCCATCCACCCAGCCAACCTGTTGTGACACTTCAGGTCCCATCGACATGGAAGCTTGGTAAGGATGTGGATGTTACATACATGTACAGGAACAACCCTGATCTGACTTCCTCCTCCTGGGACTGGATAGGCCTGTACAGAGTAAGGAGCCCATGGTTTGCATCTACATTACACTGGCATGTAGTTCTAAACTAGAGCTCGTTAGACACTTTAAAAGATATTTTTCTATTAATACTACAGATTTGTTTAATTCAGTGTCTCAATATGTATATTTAATATAACCTGGAAAGTTGATATCTAGTAGATCATATGTTAAGTTCTTCAGCCATTAAATTTGCTGTTAGTCTAGGTCATAGGATGTAGCCATGTGGCATAACTGGTCAGGATATTTGGGGTGTTAAAATTTTTTCTGACATTACTGGCAAGGATTTTAAAATGTGATTGATTCTGTTAAAGTTTTACTCTTTAGTTTTCGTTATAAGGATGTAGAGAAATCACTGTAAATTTAACTTGGACTCTCTCAAACTTCATGTACAGTTATTCGAAGAAGTATTTATATAAATTTCTATCCTTGATGTGCCAGAATGACTTTTCAACCCTGAATGACTACATCAGTTACAAGTATGCAGAGAGTAAGGTAGAGGGAAGGGACCAACCGAATATCACCTTGACCTGGAAGGGAAGAGACCTGCCAACGAAACCAGGAATGTATGTGTTGTGTTACATCAGCAAGGTCAAGGACACATTAATGGGAATGAGCAGTGAGTTCCAGGTAAGTTAACATTACAGTAATGAGTTCCTGGTAAATCAATGTTAAAGTGGTGAGTTCCTGGTAAATCAATGTTAAAGTGGTGAGTTCCTGGTAAATCAATGTTAAAGTGGTGAGTTCCTGGTAAATCAATGTTAAAGTAGTGAGTTCCTGGTAAATCAATGTTAAAGTGGTGAGTTCCTGGTAAATCAATGTTAAAGTAGTGAGTTCCTGATAAATCAATGTTAAAGTAGTGAGTTCCTGATAAATCAATGTTAAAGTAGTGAGTTTCTGGTAAAATAACATTACAGCAGTGAGTTCCAGGTATATTGATATTAAGAGTAGTGAGTTCCTGGTAAATCAATGTTAAAGTAGTGAGTTCCAGGTAAATCAGTGTTAAAGAAATGAGTTCCTGGTAAATCAATGTTAAAGTAGTGAGTTCCTGGTAAATCAATGTTAAAGTAATGACTTCCTGATAAATTAACGTTAAAGCAGGGAGTTCCTGGTAAATCAATGTTAAAGTAGTGAGTTCCAGGGAAATCAATGTTAAAGTAGTGAGTTCCTGGTAAATCAATGTTAAAGTAGTGAGTTCCTGGTAAATCAATGTTAAAGTAGTGAGTTCCTGGTAAAATAACATTAAAGCAGTGAGTTCCTGGTAAATCAATGTTAAAGTAGTGAGTTCCTGGTAAATTAACATTAAAAGCAGTGAGTTCCTGGTAAATCAATGTTAAAGTAATGAGTTCCTGATAAATTAACGTTAAAGCAGTGAGTTCCTGGTAAATTAACGTTAAAGAACTGAGTTCCAGGTAAATCAATGTTAAAGTAGTGAGATCCTGGTAAATCAATGTTAAAGTAGTGAGTTCCTGGTAAATCAATGTTAAAGTAGTGTGTTCCTGGTAAATTAACGTTAAAGCAGTGAGTTCCTGGTAAATCAATGTTAAAGTAAAGAGTTCCTGATAAATCAATGTTAAAGTAGTGAGTTCCTGGTAAATCAATGTTAAAGTAGTGAGTTCCTGGTTAAATAACATTAGAGTAGTGAGTTCCTGGTAAATCAATGTTAAAGTAGTGTGTTCCTGGTAAATTAACGTTAAAGCAGTGAGTTCCTGGTAAATCAATGTTAAAGTAAAGAGTTCCTGATAAATCAATGTTAAAGTAGTGAGTTCCTGGTAAATCAATGTTAAAGTAGTGAGTTCCTGGTTAAATAACATTAGAGTAATGAGTTCCTGGTTAAATAACATTAGAGTAATGAGTTCCTGGTAAAATAATGTTAAAGTAGTGAGTTCCATGTAAAATAATGTTACAGTAGTGAGTTCCTGGTAAATCAATGTTAAAGTAAAGAGTTCCTGATAAATCAATGTTAAAGTAGTGAGTTCCTGGTAAATCAATGTTAAAGTAGTGAGTTCCTGGTTAAATAACATTAGAGTAATGAGTTCCTGGTTAAATAACATTAGAGTAATGAGTTCCTGGTAAAATAATGTTAAAGTAGTGAGTTCCATGTAAAATAATGTTACAGTAGTGAGTTCCTGGTAAATCAATGTTAAAGTAGTGAGTTCCTGGTAAATCAATGTTAAAGTAGTGAGTTCCTTGTAAATCAATGTTAAAGTAGTGAGTTCCTGGTAAATCAATGTTAAAGTAATGACTTCCTGATAAATTAACGTTAATGCAGGGAGTTCCTGGTAAATCAATGTTAAAGAAGTGAGTTCCTGGTAAATCAATGTTAAAGTAGTGAGTTCCTGGTAAATCAATGTTAAAGTAGTGAGTTCCTGGTAAATCAATGTTAAAGTAGTGAGTTCCTGGTAAATCAATGTTAAAGTAGTGAGTTCCTGGTAAATCAGTGTTAAAGAAATGAGTTCCTGGTAAATCAATGTTAAAGCAGTGAGTTCCTGGTAAATTAACATTAAAAGCAGTGAGTTCCTGGTAAATCAATGTTAAAGTAATGAGTTCCTGATAAATTAACGTTAAAGCAGTGAGTTCCTGGTAAATTAACGTTAAAGAACTGAGTTCCAGGTAAATCAATGTTAAAGTAGTGAGATCCTGGTAAATCAATGTTAAAGTAGTGAGTTCCTGGTAAATCAATGTTAAAGTAGTGAGTTCCTGGTAAATTAACGTTAAAGTAGTGAGTTCCTGGTAAATCAATGTTAAAGTAGTGTGTTCCTGGTAAATTAACGTTAAAGCAGTGAGTTCCTGGTAAATCAATGTTAAAGTAAAGAGTTCCTGATAAATCAATGTTAAAGTAGTGAGTTCCTGGTAAATCAATGTTAAAGTAGTGAGTTCCTGGTTAAATAACATTAGAGTAGTGAGTTCCTGGTAAATCAATGTTAAAGTAGTGTGTTCCTGGTAAATTAACGTTAAAGCAGTGAGTTCCTGGTAAATCAATGTTAAAGTAAAGAGTTCCTGATAAATCAATGTTAAAGTAGTGAGTTCCTGGTAAATCAATGTTAAAGTAGTGAGTTCCTGGTTAAATAACATTAGAGTAATGAGTTCCTGGTTAAATAACATTAGAGTAATGAGTTCCTGGTAAAATAATGTTAAAGTAGTGAGTTCCTGGTAAATCAATGTTAAAGTAGTGAGTTCCTGGTAAATCAATGTTAAAGTAGTGAGTTCCTTGTAAATCAATGTTAAAGTAGTGAGTTCCTGGTAAATCAATGTTAAAGTAATGACTTCCTGATAAATTAACGTTAATGCAGGGAGTTCCTGGTAAATCAATGTTAAAGAAGTGAGTTCCTGGTAAATCAATGTTAAAGTAGTGAGTTCCTGGTAAATCAATGTTAAAGTAGTGAGTTCCTGGTAAATCAATGTTAAAGTAGTGAGTTCCTGGTAAATCAATGTTAAAGTAGTGAGTTCCTGGTAAATCAGTGTTAAAGAAATGAGTTCCTGGTAAATCAATGTTAAAGCAGTGAGTTCCTGGTAAATTAACGTTAATGTAGTTAGTTCCTGGTAAATCAATGTTAAAGTAGTGAGTTCCTGGTAAATCAATGTTAAAGTAGTGAGTTCCTGGTAAATCAATGTTAAAGTAGTGAGTTCCTGGTAAATCAGTGTTAAAGAAATGAGTTCCTGGTAAATCAATGTTAAAGCAGTGAGTTCCTGGTAAATTAACGTTAATGTAGTTAGTTCCTGGTAAATCAATGTTAAAGTAGTGAGTTCCTGATAAATCAATGTTAAAGTAGTGAGTTCCTGGTAAAAATAACATTACAGCAGTGAGTTCCAGGGATATTAATATTAAGAGTAGTGAGTACCTGGTAAATCAATTTTAAAGTAGTGAGTTCCTGGTAAATCAGTGTTAAAGAAATGAGTTCCTGGTAAATCAATGTTAAGGTAGTGAGTTCCTGGTAAAATAACATTAAAGCAGTGAGTTCCTGGTAAATCAATGTTAAAGTAGTGAGTTCCAGGTAAAATAATGTTAAAGTAATGAGTTCCAGGTAAATTAAAGTTAAAGTAGTGAGTTCCTGGTAAATTAACGTTAGAGCAGTGAGATTATGTAAGTTAACATTACAGTAGTGAGTTCCATGTTAGTGAACGTTTCACCTGTAACATGTATATGATCATGACTTATGTCACAATTTAAGGAAGAATAGTTATAGATGTCTGGTCAGTAGATAACGTTCAAATAACAGACCTTGACACAAATATGCTTGTAAATTTTGGAAATCATACAGAAAAATGGATGATATGTAATTTTTCATTATGTTTTAGGTTGTGCAGTGAGTGATAGATGGAATAATAAAGGTCTGATCATTACAAAGTGCCTACTTACAACAAGTCCTTAATCCTATATTTACAGCTGTCAGATCTGGAGTTTAATACTCGGAGAATTTACACATGATGGTCAGATAACTTCTCTTTTTATATATGTTTTTATTTCTGTTATGAATTTGATCCTCAAGTATAAAAATCTGATAAAATCCTGTCTACTTTTATACAGGTGAGATGTTTTTTTGTGTGATTTGAGAGGTGCTCAAGTCCACTTCCCCTTGTATCCATACAACCAATCTGTGAATCGTATAGTTTTACTGTGATTTTAAATGTTGCTCAGCGAATCTAATGTACAAGTTGGATTCCATTGTCTTGATGTGTTAAGTCTTCTCTGTTCCATATCTTTTAAAGGTTTATCTTTTTTGAGCCTGACATGTACAACTTCGAACCAATTTTCACTTTTGAAAAATATACTTTATGATACCATACTATACCAATTTCACTTCCTAAACAAATGTTCAAACCGCTATCTAAAAAAACATTAACCAAACATTTAAACCAAAGTCCTTATCAAAACACCACAAAAAACTCCTCTCAGAGTACATCTTCATAGTGCTTTATTTTCATTAAAGATTTTAAAATTTCCAACGGATAGTATCAAAATCTTAGAAAATATTGAAAAGACATCTTGGCGATCATGGAACTCAAATAGATGATAAAGAAAGTTCTAATTAAAAGTTGTTTTTTTTTTTTTTTTATACTATCGGTAAATACAAGAATGTGACTTTTATAAATCTTTATTGAGAATACAAATGAGCAAATTTGAAAACAGAAACAGACAAGTTTGGAATACAGATTAAAAATTGTGAAGATTGAGACTTTTGCAAAATACTGTTGGATCATTTGATCATTTGAAAACAACAAACAAATAATTTGGAAAGAGTGAATGAAACAATTTTAAATATTAAAATATTGATTATGAAATCTTTGATGAACATTTCTTGTCATCAGATTATTTTTAACCATTTAAGGAATTATAACTTGGAGATTATTTTGTTTTGAATTGTGTTTTAACCTCAACAACTTGAACCAATAAGATAAGGATCAGTTAGAAGTCTTCAGATTAAAGAATTATGCAAAATATTGCTCAAATCCATGGACAGTATTGTCAGATTTATCAATGTAATTTGGAGAAAGCTGTCGATTACCATATCACATTGATAAATCTTGTTTATTGTTGATGAATATAATATATAATTATATGTAACTTACAAAGCTTTTTTTAAAATTGCAAATAATATTTAATGGACTGTCCAATCACAGCAGTCTGTGGACCATTTATTTTTTTAAAAAATTTATATTTTTGTTCAGATAATTTTTTTTAAGGCATTCTGTTAATGGAATTGTGCAAATGTTAAGAATGTACTGGTTTGTGGGTCAGGAAAGTTACATTATCCTGGCTACCAATTAAAGGAATGAAAACTTTATAGATCTTTCATGTTAGTTAAAGTAAGTAGGAATGAAGGTTATTTTATTTTCTGATATCTGGGTTGTAATCAATGTTGGAAAATTCTCGGCCAGCTTGTATATACTTTAATTTGTACCTCTACTCTTCACATACAATCTATGTAAAATCTTGTTGTAAATGCTTGTTTCTATGAACCAATATGGTGGGTATTATGAAAAAAAAAATTTGGTATTTCTAATAATCTCTTTTAACACATGTATTATTCTTTCAAATATTCTGGTGTAATTATCCATTCAGAACCGGTGCCTCTGAATACTAGTGCAGTGCTCTACAAACTCAGGGCAAGTCCTACTAGTCAAATCAGTAAACAATCAACTAGATGCGTCACCTTGTGAATTTTGGATTTGAGGATATCCTTATAGTTGAATCAACATCTGACTAAGAGTTAACCTGTATTTTGAAAAGGTAAATACCATGACAGATTTTTTTACATTTTGTCTTTATGAGGATGGTCTAATATTAAGACTATATTTTTTAATATTCTAACTTTTGCATGTTGATTGATGTATCAATGTCTACTTTTTGTTTGAATTTTTTTTTCTCTTTAAAGAAAATGTGATGGAATCAGTTATAAGAAAACCAAAACCTCTTTTCTGTTTTACACAGATCTATGACATACCATTTAATATCATGTTGAATAACCCCTGGTGTTTGCTGTATTCTATGTACTGTAAACACACTCAATATCTTGTAATCTAATTTTAGCACTTTGTCATTTTTGGGTAAATTAGTGCAATAATGAATTCACCCATCCAGAATGATTCCTATACATAATTAGTGTGAAAAAACTGCAATTATGAGTCCTTTATCTGGAACAGGAGGGAACTATAGTTTTGCATGGTGTTTGTCCATTTTTTTTGTGTGTGTCCTTCTGTCCTTCCTTGTCCAGTCTCTATCTTGTACAAAACTAATCATGGGAACATAACACTTTGGACATGGGGTTCACCTTGGTGAGACCATGTCACTCATCAAAAGTATGTCACTCTGACATACATTTTGACCTTTGACCTACATCAAGGAAAATATTTGTCTGTGCCCTTTCTTCTACACTAGCAATCATTGGAACTGTATACTTGGGTTATGGGTTCACCGAGGTGAGACAGTGTGCCATATATCAAAAGTAGATCATTGACCTACAGCGAAGAAAAAGTTTGTCAAAGCCCTATCCTCTACACTACCTAATCCTTGGAATTTAAAACTAGAAATATGATTTCACCATAGTGAAACAAATGTGTTGTGTATCAAAAAAAGGTCATTGTAACCTATATTTTGACCTTTGACCCACATAAAAGAAAAAGTTTGTCTGATCCTTATCTCCAACAGTACTAGGGGACTTAAATTTGCTGAATTATCATTAGTGCAGTCATATTTTAGTACAATCTTTTCAGCATGAGAAATACTAAAATTAGATTACCAGTAAAATATGTGTTTACGGTACAGCTATAAGGAAAGTCTGTTATTTTTTTTGTTGTGTATTTATTCAAACTGTTTCATCATTGTCAATGTATTACTCTACAGTTCAATCATAGTTTGATGTGCATTGTTTTCTTTGAAGGAATATTGATTGTGCTTTTTATCATTATTTTTTTGTTGGGAAAAACTTGAACATTAACAGAATAAATGTTTAATTTTTGCGAAATTTCATTACATGCATGATGTAAAATTAGTTATGTGTGAAAGTAGCAAAAGTCATTTTCTTAACCAAATTAATTTCAAATTTCTTGCAAAATATGTATTCATAATGTTTTACAATTATGTTGTTAGATTTTTAAATGTTGTCTTTTTACGGAGCCCATTAACTGACATGCTCCATACTTATTTTATTTCGTTTTTTCGAAATAATAATTCGTTTTTTCGAAATAATATTTCGTTTTTTCAGTTAACGTTCTCCGTATCTTTTCAAGTAAGTTATTGTTGATACTTTTAAAATTTTCTTTCTACATATGGAAGTTTACTTGGAAACTTTAAGTCCTCAAACACCTGAGTGTTTAAAAGCAGTAAGAAACCTATCTACAGGTGTAAAATTTATCTTGGTCTCTGTTGTCATGTGATTTCTGTTGATTGCTCAGTTGTGTTATAGTGTGACCAGGATGAGCTTTTCGCTTGATGTATGACGTCATATGACAAACAAACAGAACAGTTGTGTTCTCTCAGCTATCTCGGTATAGTAGACACATGTTTACTTGAGCCATGACGTCATATGACAAACAAATCACAAGTGTTATCTCTGGTAGGTACATGTAAATGTAATATTATATGGCAAACTGTTTGTTGGAGGTGAGATGTCATACCACCAGATCAGTAGTGTTATCTCTATACAATTAATATGTGTATTTGAGTTGCAATGTGGTAAGTGAAAACAGCAGATCAGCACATCCATATCAATATTAGTGATAGGTAGCATTACAGTGTACTTTAAGATATATCAGTGTTGTTGTGTACCATTTTCTCTGGTATTCTTTATTTGTTTATTGTCTGATCTCAAAAATTCCATTTTTTCTTAGTTTATCCAACATACATTTGTACATCTATTTATAAGATTGCATAAATATTCATATTTTCATATATCTATATACCGGTATAGCTACAAGTTATTTTTGCATTACCTGCATGAAGAGAAAAACAAGATTAATATATATTTGCCAAAGACTTAATTTTATATATAATGTAATGTAAATTTTGTAATGATTGTTAATTGTTATACTCTCTGGATATGATACCATTGTAGTCTCTGTGATATACCTGAAGTCCACTATCCTCTTATGTTATATTGTCGTGCTTTACCCTTAAAAACAGGTTTACGAGCAGAATATGTACTAGATTGAAAAATGTTTACACTGAAGCTCATTGTGGATGAGTTTGTGTCTAATACAAATTCGCTGTTCAGCCCAGTTTTATTTTACATAATTATATAATTCATCTTTATCTTCAATTTCTTTATTTACACCTTTGTCTTGTTGATAGGAGTAAATAATCACCTTCAAAGGGCATAATGACTGATTCTCCCTCTCTTTCATTTATTGTCCCTAATTGGCTTCAAAACTCTTTGTTCCTACCGCAGCCACATCACGTAACCCTCCCCTTCCCTCACCTTCACCTTTTTTTTTCCTCATTCATATATCAGTTAAATACCAGAAATATTTTGTCTACAATTATAGTAAGAATGATCAAATAAATCGTATATTGCATGGACCAATATGTATTTACACATATTTCATAATTTTAGAATTAAGATGTCATAATATTATTTTATTTTAATAGTTATTGTAATATCATTCGTTATTTTGTACTTAAGGTCTTATAGTATCTGAGTATTTTCCAGAGTACCTAATGATATCTGTATATCTAACATAGAAAACAGAATCTTTTTCTCATGACTAAGAAAGATTTCCACATCAGATATGTGAAGCAGATACTGTATAAAAATTTTTGTTTCTTTTTGTTTTGTTTAAATCTTGATCCAAAGTTGTTCTATTGATTTTATTTTCATTTTCATTATTTTTTTTATATTTTAATTTTATTTCATTCTCTGAAAATTAAAGAAAAGAACTCCTAAATAAAAACCTTATTATACATGAAAGTGTGTTTCAGTTTAATCATTGATTGTCATCCATTTCATGTAATTTTTACATACAGTGAATTGATTTCGACAGCAAAATTTTCCGAGAGAAAATCTGAATAAACAATTATCCATATATATATACAGGTTTAAGGACGATGTCTATCGACCATATCAAAAGAAAGTGATTCAGTCTTGCTTTGTTTTTGAAATATTAGTTATAGAGCTAATGGAAATACCTTGCCTTTGATTGTATCTTGATGGAGAGTACATCATTTAGAAACATATGGAGCTAGTACATAATGGGACCGAAGCTAAAAATGCCAGTGCAATCATGTTAATCATTTAAATTGCACTCTGTTTTTAATATGATCTAAATGCATAACCTATTTTTATTGTGTGTTTGTAGTGACAAGAAATCTTACTTTTAATGTCTTCGATTTTGTTTTGTTGTAATCCTGCAGCATTATTGAAATTATGAAAGTTTCAATTACAAATGATTGACTAAACAGTGCTATTTTTTGTAACTAACCAATTAATTAAAATATTGAAACAAGCCTGATGTATTTTCCTGTTCTTGACTTTATTGAGAAAACAGATCATTACAGATAAAGAAAACCATTCAGCCGTTTATTCCTTATAACAAAATTAAAGGGACATGTTCACTATGTTGTTGCTTTACATCTCATAAACAGCCTGAGTTATTTAAGGAAGTGCCAGGTTTGGATGGTGGAGCAAAACTACTGCTCTGCTGCCAGTACCTGGCTGGTGCCTAACATAGACCTGAGACCTGTGACCCAGAGGTGTAGGGGTAGGGATAAAGGCAGTCAGATACCGCACTGCAGCCAGTACCTGCCTGGTGCCTAACATAGACCTCGGCCCTGTGACCCAGAGGTGTAGGGGTAGGGATAAAGGCAGTCAGATACCGCACTGCAGCCAGTAACTGGCTGGTGCCTAACATAGACCTCGGACCTGTGACCCAGAGGTGTAGGGGTAGGGATAAAGGCAGTCAGATATCTTCATTTCTCGGCCACCAAGAAATGTTAGATTTTATCAATCATATTTCATATTTATCTTCAGCAGCATAATGACTGCTTACCCTGTATATAACAAATCTTCTGAAATATACCTTATCATTTTCTAATATTGTTATACAAATACTGTACTAGTTATTATTTGCTGTAAAAGGAACAGAACAAGAACCCTGATGATGTCCTTATAGATATATCTTTATCAATATCAATTTTCACATTTAACTGTAACGTGTGTTGTGCTGTATGAAAAAAAAAGAATAGCCACAGACCTTGTCAGCCATTTTATTTCAATTACAATGTGCTAATCTATACAGCTTATTTTACTTTGATATGATTGCGTGGTTCAATGCATTTGTTATCAACATAATTACGAGGTTAAACACAAAAAATGCTAAGTTAAGTAATTCTCGAAATCTTAGGGTAGAACCAGTTCCCTGAAGTCATAATAAATCACCTCATTAGTTATTGAAAATCATCTAATTAAGATGGAATGTTTCTTACAGGAATCTTAATAGATCACCTCATTAGTTATTAAAAAAAACTAATTAAGATGGAATGTTTCTTACAGGAATCTTAATAGATCACCTCATTAGTTATTAAAAAAAACTAATTAAGATGGAATGTTTCTTACAGGAATCTTAATAGATCACCTCATTAGTTATTAAAAAAAACTAATTAAGATGGAATGTTTCTTACAGGAATCTTAATAGATCACCTCATTAGTTATTAAAAAAAAAACTAATTAAGATGGAATGTTTCTTACAGGAATCTTAATAGATCACCTCATTAGTTATTAAAAAAAACTAATTAAGATGGAATGTTTCTTACAGGAATCTTAATAGATCACCTCATTAGTTATTAAAAAAAACTAATTAAGATGGAATGTTTCTTACAGGAATCTTAATAGATCACCTCATTAGTTATTAAAAAAACTAATTAAGATGGAATGTTTCTTACAGGAATCTTAATAGATCACCTCATTAGTTATTAAAAAAAAAAAATAATTAAGATGGAATGTTTCTTACAGGAATCTTAATAGATCACCTCATTAGTTATTAAAAAAAACTAATTAAGATGGAATGTTTCTTACAGGAATCTTAATAGATCACCTCATTAGTTATTAAAAAAAAAACTAATTAAGATGGAATGTTTCTTACAGGAATCTTAATAGATCACCTCATTAGTTATTAAAAAAAACTAATTAAGATGGAATGTTTCTTACAGGAATCTTAATAGATCACCTCATTAGTTATTAAAAAAAACTAATTAAGATGGAATGTTTCTTACAGGAATCTTAATAGATCACCTCATTAGTTATTAAAAAAACTAATTAAGATGGAATGTTTCCATCATGAGTCATAATAAATCACCTCATTAGTTATTAATAAAAACTAATTAAGATGGAATGTTTCCATCAGGAGTCATAATAAATCACCTCATTAGTTATTAAAAAAAACTAATTAAGATGGAATGTTTCCATCAGGAGTCATAATAAATCACCTCATTAGTTATTAAAAAAAACTAATTAAGATGGAATGTTTCCATCAGGAGTCATAATAAATCACCTCATTAGTTATTAAAAAAAACTAATTAAGATGGAACGTTTCTTACAGGAATCTTAATAGATCACCTCATTAGTTATTAAAAAAACTAATTAAGATGGAATGTTTCCATCAGGAGTCATAATAAATCACCTCATTAGTTATTAATAAAAACTAATTAAGATGGAATGTTTCCATCAGGAGTCATAATAAATCACCTCATTAGTTATTAAAAAAAACTAATTAAGATGGAATGTTTCCATCAGGAGTCATAATAAATCACCTCATTAGTTATTAAAAAAAACTAATTAAGATGGAATGTTTCCATCAGGAGTCATAATAAATCACCTCATTAGTTATTAAAAAAAACTAATTAAGATGGAATGTTTCCATCAGGAGTCATAATAAATCACCTCATTAGTTATTAAAAAAAACTAATTAAGATGGAACGTTTCTTACAGGAATCTTAATAGATCACCTCATTAGTTATTAAAAAAACTAATTAAGATGGAATGTTTCCATCAGGAGTCATAATAAATCACCTCATTAGTTATTAATAAAAACTAATTAAGATGGAATGTTTCCATCAGGAGTCATAATAAATCACCTCATTAGTTATTAAAAAAAACTAATTAAGATGGAATGTTTCCATCAGGAGTCATAATAAATCACCTCATTAGTTATTAAAAAAAACTAATTAAGATGGAATGTTTCCATCAGGAGTCATAATAAATCACCTCATTAGTTATTAAATACAACATCAAATTATGATAGAATGTTTCATACAGGAATCTTAATAGAACACCTCTTCAGTTGTTAAAAACCCTAATAAAGATGGGATATTTCCTTCACAAGTCTTATTAAATTAGCTCATCAGTTCTCAAAAAATAAAACCCTGATTAATGTGAAATGTTTTCCACATTATAAAAGGCTCCAATATCCAACTGATTTTAAAACAATAGGAATTATAACAATGATACCACAGGTATACAAATAAGCATGATCACGTCAAATTTTGACCATAACGTTTCTAAAAAAAACTTGTTTCTGATAAATATTGCTTCAGGATTCAGTCAGATGCCACATAAAATATATTTTTCTTGTTTAAAGTTGTTGAAAATCAAACGCTTGTATTGTATGTAACATCTAAGGGGCGTGGTTGAGGCTATAAAACTGGATGTCACCTTTACAAAAGTTACTTACAAAATAACAGCCCTGTTGTCTTGACAGGAATATGTGTTGTTGTAATAGCCTACCACGTATCACCATGGAAGGTTTCTGCTTGTAGGGATATTAAAGTCATTCCACATGGCCTAGCACATTTATTGGGACATTGGGACTTTTTTGGGACATTGGGACAATGGGACATTTTTGGGACATTGGGATATTAGGACATTTATTTCCTAAGCTTTCTTTTGTTCCACCAGATGTCAACCATCACTAAGAAATGACCAAGCAATACCTATGTAGCACATATAATTTACGTGTAGCTATCGTTTAGCCAGTTATTTTTTGCGGGGATTGAAATTGAAAATGATAATTTTGCTATTTTGCATACATAAACATGGCCGCAAAAACATGATATATTGAGACACAGGCATGTTACACATTGTTTTACATCCAAATCAGAAATTTTAGTTTGTAGAAAGATTCTTTAATTGTATTAAAAGAAATTTCCTAAAATTTTGACCTGAGAAAATCACCAGCTGTACAGTATTTAGGCTTGCTACTGAACAATTGTGAATCAAATTACATACCAGCCTGAAAATGTCTATTCATTAAACGCTTCGACAATGGACATAAGATTATCAATTTTAAGATTCATATCGTTAAAGCAGTACTTTTGAATGTTACTTAATTTACATAATCAGAAGCTGATTCCATATAAGGAAGAGCTAATTGCCTTGAATTTCTACATGAGCATGTTGACATACATTAACACGGTCATGTACATAAATTTTCAAGGTATTTACCACAGTGGTAACATGTTAAAATTGGTTAAAAACATGACAATTTAAAATCAAATTTTAAGAAACCAGGACAAAATCAGCAAGACAATACTAACGTGAACATAATTATAATCAAAACTCACATTCAATAAAACTAGGGCAAGATATAAACAAAAGAAAGATGTACATGGAGACTACTAAAAGAACTTGAGTAGTAAGACCAGGCATTCTGGGAGAGTAAGCGTCTTATGCTTCATCGACGACACTAGTCAGATAAAGGTTGGTCAGCCGAAGTAAGTAATGTCATGTTTCTGTTTTTTGCATATATATTTCTCTAAGTCAATATGGTCAATCTTGAGGATCTCCTGTATATTTTGTGTAAGATATTATGCAAAACCAGATGTACTGGAACGCCTATTCATTTTAGAGTAACATCGGAAAGTCTGAAATGTCAGAATCATCGGTACGTACGGTTACTCTATTGTATTCTCTTCTTAACAATAAAGACTTAAATATATCTTATTATAAGACATATTTCTCAGTTGTCCTTTTAGTTAACTAAGTATGTTTCATAATTTGCTTCTGGATGTATTCCTCGAGTTTGGACTCTGACAATGATCTGGCTATCTTCATGGCATCTTCCAAATGTTTCTGTAACAAAGAAGTGGAACCAGAGAGAAGGAGTCTGATGATAGAGAGGCGGTGAGATGGTTTACATTTCTTATGTAGAACTTCTGACAAACATCGGTTGGAAACTTCTCCTCCACATCTGAGAAGACAACCAATAACTCTTACATCACCTAATCTTACAGCGCTCAACAGGGCGTCGTTCTTCTCAATTGCATCCCACTCCCTTGCCCTCAATACAAACTGTACTGCTGGAAGCCTTTCGGTTGTTTTCCACATTTTATGAATAGCGTTCTGTAGGCTTTTGTCTGTAAATTCTGCTCCTCTTTCATAAAACATGGATACGAGCTGAAAATGTCCAACTTCTAAAGACTTCTGTAAGGCATTGTCCATCTGCTGTTTATTGTACTGACGGGACTTCATCATATAAATCACTAAACCGTACGTATCATACGCCATATTTTTATCAACAATGGCGTACTCTAGACTTTGGTCACTGAACATGGCTCCGTGATCATGTAAGTAGAATATCACATCAGTATACCCCAGTTTCACAGCTTTGTCCAACGCCTTCATCAGCAAGTCATCCGACCAGTCTCTTGATTCCTGCACTAGGCTGACCATTTTCAGTCTGTTGTAGCTCTGGTAGTTCCGAGTGTTATCCATAGCATTTGATAAGCTGTCATTGTCGCATGGAATATTCATCTCGTGAGTCAGGTGTTCAACGATATCTATGCCACCTTCTTGAATTTCCTTATTCAAGACTATTGTAAGCTCATCTGTCATACCTTTGCTTTTTAGTAATCTAAATGACTTTTCCTTTAGCCCTTTGACCTCCTGTAGTTTAAGGAGTATATCACTAGTAAGTAAATTGGTTTTTATAACCTCAAGAATTTGATGGATCGCAGGAGAGTTTGTATCAGATGCAAAACGAATGGCACAAAGATGCATTTCTGGCGACCATTTATGATTTTCTAGAATGTATTTTATGACTCTGATCTGAACATGATGTTCAACATGCCATTGAAGAACATTTTGAAGACTAGAAGTATTGAACTCTGCTCCCTCAGTGTGTAAGTAATCAACAACATCAGGCCTACAAAGGACCAAAGCCTGATGTAATGCATTGCTCAGTTGGTCAACTGACCATTTTCTACACATTCTTACAAACTTCACAACATTTAGTGTGTTACATTTCCTTCCTACAGCGGTTGACAATGCGTCGTTTTGGAGTGTACCCCCCTTGTGCCTCAGGAACAATACAGTGTGTAAAGATCCTGACTCCAACGCAGCATGGATTGCTTTAGACATATCCTCTTCTGACCATTCATGATTGGAAAATACATATTCAACTGAAATGGGGATACAATATGTAAGTGATTCAAAATCAGTTGTGTTTCCTTTCAAAAACTGTAACAATGGTTCAAGAAATATCTTTCTTTCTTCTGGTGTTTTTCTGTCTATCATTTCTATCTTCGCCACCAGCGGATCATACCGCCGTTTACAAACATTCACTAATGCATCATGTGAAAACTCAGCTCCACCTTCCAATAGGACCTTAATGGTGGTATACGCACCGAAGCTTACGGCTGCATCAAGAGTCTCCGCAAGCTGTGTAGGTGTCCAGTTTGTTGCTTGCATTATCGTTTCAACAACAGTCTCAACTCCTGTGCAGTTTGTTCCTGCTTTTCTTACAAACTCGTCATGAGACGGTTTCCCACCTGCCTTAACGAGAACCTCTATGTGCTCCGACTTGTTAAGATGAATCGCTTCGGAGAGCATAGAGTTTAACTGCGCTGCATTGGTAGTTGATGAGAATAGCAGAAAACGAAACATGTCCAAATCACAGCTGTGTAACGCATGTCGAACTACTTCCCCGTCAATTTGTCCAAATATTCTTTTAATTGCAATGACATCAAGTAATCTCTTGTGTTTTGAGTCCAGCATTGCTTTAATCAGTTGAGAACAATGCTTCTTCAATTGAGGGGATTCACACATTTTTTGTAGCGTATTGAAGTCCATTTCTTGAGCAGCCATTTCCATATCTTTAATACACAGACTTTTTGCATTACTTGAGGGATTTGCGTATGATTTCTGTGTCAAATACTGACTACGTATCAATCTTACTTCGCACATTTTTGCACTGTTTTTTAGCGTTTCACGAAGATGCTTTGAATTTTTGTAGCTGTTATGCTCTTTGATTTCTGATTTTGTCCAGATGTTCATAGACAAAACAAGCTCTACCAATTTAAGTTCTTCAGATTTAAATGCTAATTCAAGATATTCGGCTGTGAGAATCGCCCCCTTTTCAAGCAGAATGGATATAGACTCCAAACGTCTATGTTTCAGAGATGTCTTTAGAGTTCCCTGTAGTGATTTTGCAAACTCCAAAATACCGTATTCTTCAACAATAAACTCATCAAGGTTGAAATTAAAGAATGCTCTTAAAAAGAACGAATTACTTGAACATTTTTCTAAGAAGCTGACAGAATGAGCGAGGAGGAAACTTCTGATATCACCTTTTGTGGTAATGTACTCGAAAAGACAATCCGCAAACTCTTGGTTACGGAATCTGGGGAATGATTCTAATGTTATGCTACCTTTCCCTTCCATAATCATCCTGTATATTCGTTTTGAAAGATGTCCGAAACAATCAACGGGAACATGCAATGTGCATAATTCTGTTTCATCATCTCCCGCAACATCAAGCTGTTCCAATATCACACGGTTGCTACACTTTTCCAAAATCAATTCTGGGTTTTCTTTTCCAAAGACAAGACTAACGCTGTCTGCAATTGATTGGTGACCAAAAGTGAACACTGTATTTTGTCTGGTTAGATATGTTCTATCTAGTGCATTCAGTCCGTCTTTGAGCATGGCCAATACATTGCCAGTATGTATGACGCCACAAACCTCTGCTAATACCTTCAAATTCTCATAATCATCTTTTTCCATTTTTAGACGATTGAGCTTTCTGCTATCTAGGGTTTGGTCATTAAGGAAACAATATACTAGCGCAAAGTACTTGTGAGGTTCAGTGAGTCTCATTCTCTCTATCTCCTCCGTGAGCATTTGGAGAGGATTTCCGAAAAACTTTTCCCCTTTCTCAAAAAATGTGTCATTGGTAAAGAAGAGATTACAAATTTGAGCAAAACCTATAGAAATATTTGACGGAAAGAGACGAATTTCATGATATGTAAGGGGCATGGTAGACATAACGCGCCCGCCAGCCTGTCGTTGATTAGAATGCTTATTGTAGATATCTAAACGTTCGTTATATGTTAATTTGTGGTCGACAGTCAAATCTACGGTTTTCTTTTCAGAGAGAATATGGTCACTTATCATTTCGCTCAATACACCTGATTCTCGCCTGGCATCTTTAAGTATATGCGTGCGAGAAGTCACTACCAAACAAACATTACCCTTGTGTAAACATTGTAATATTCTATCAAAAAATGGTGACCATCCATTCAAAAGCCCTGTCTGGTAGTTGGTTTTCCCAAATATGTCATCTACAAATACTACGATATCATCTTTGTCATTGACGACGTCACTCCAGTCCTGTGGAACTGTGATAAGTATGGGTGTCTTACGTTTGATAGATTCATCAAGGTTGCCGTCTCTTAACTTCTTACATATTTCTCTACCCAGAGTTGTCTTCCCTTCTCCCGTTACTCCAGATATGACAACCATATGGTAATCCTTTATACGTTTGACAACTGCTTTTTCCGCTGCTGTCCTCGTGACCAGTATATTGGCTGTTTCTTCAATGTGTCTTTTTAACATTGTCTCGGCATTTTCTGCAACATAGAAGACAATTGTTTGTAATAAGTAGATACCTTATAGCTCAACTGTATACAGTTTCTTGGAAATTGCAATCCGAATTCTCAATACGGATTGCATCTCATCTCAAAATTGCTCGTTTCATCCTGTATTAGAAAAACAACTTTCAGACTATCTTAGGAAGTGTAATTTAATGTTATGAATACATATATTAGTTAAACATTGACCTGCCTGCCTAATTGGTCTAAGTAATAGGCGGTACTATGCCGACCTACTTGACACCATTACGACTAAGTTTTGAATTTGTATGCAAAAGTAATAGATGTTACTAACGCTACTAAGTCAGTGAAAAGAACATTAGCTTGTCTAAGTGATGGACCTACGTAATAGACCTGAATTGTTAAAATGTAGGCGGTGGTTATGAGAAATCAATGTTGGTCAAAATAGGTGAAGAAAATAGATTTGAGAATTCAACAAACCCAATATTCAATAAATTTTTGATAATTTTCAAGTTTGAATTATTAAAAAAAGACTGTCAATTACATGTGTATTAATATAAACGATGCATGCTAGCTGCATGTCGAAATAAGTGTTTTCAAACACTTATTAGGTTATGCAAATGAACTTTTCGTGTATATATTTCAATGGCAAGAACAGTGAGTTTATAAATCTTTAATACGCTGACACAAGTGAGTTTACTTATAAAAGATGTTGATAATAGTCAACTACAACAATGACAGGTCAGCAAGGACCCTGCTATGTGATTGGAAATCCCACCACCACCACTAACCAACCCTGTGACACACACCCCAGAAGGAAACAGTATTTGGTTATTGTGATAAGTGTGAGTTGCCTCTGGGTCTGAAAAGTAATCTCTAGCAAGCACTTTCATTAAGAAAACATTGTATGAAGTGTTATTAGCTCAAGGGAACCCAAGTTATGTTACGGAAACCAAAATTCTATTCAGAGTGACAGTTATCTGGACCATTGACCATACGACCTGAAAAGCAATCCAAAGCAAGCCATTTTAGTAAGGAAGCATTTTAGGAGGAATAGTTTGACTGGCCAAAGCAAACTTATCAAAAGGAAACTAATTTTTCTATCTGTAGTAACAGTGACATTGACTTTATTTTCGAAACTGAAAGCAATGTGGAAGCATTGTATGAGGTTTGAGTTTGATTTTCAAAGCAAATTTGAGTTATCACAGGGAAACTTTTTTTTATTTATAGTAACAGTGACCTTGACATTTGATCTTCAAAACTGTAAAGCAATCATAAGCAAACACTTTAAATAAGAAATGACTGTATGAAGTTAAGGGTAGATTGGCCAAAGCACACTCCAGTTTTCACACGGAAACTGAATTTCTATTTATAGTAACAGTGACCTTGGCCTTTGACCTTTGAAGCTGAAAAGCAATTCCATGCAAACACTTTCAATAAGGAAGTCAAGTGCTGACAGATGGGCGGGCAGGCGATAACTATAGGTCTCTGCACAAAAGTTCGGGGCCCTACTAAAACGTACATTTAATTTAATAATCTATTTGTGTTGATAACCACATTATATTACGATGATGTTACCTTCAAGTGTATTTCTTTTATCACTCTTCTGATTTACTTCCTCATCCTTCTTTCTTCGTTTGAGGTTGTCACTGTCCTTAATGGTATTTTCTGAAACAAAAACAAGCATTGATTAAGTGCTGACATGAAATGGGTACAATGGGGCGACCATCAATCAAAATGATGGCCACGTTCAACGTTGCTTAACTTAGGAACATGGGAACATAACCTCACAACCACAAAAGCTGTACACACAGAAGGTAGGGTATAAGATATTCTAGTCGCGAACAAAGACAAGTCAAGAACAGTTTCTTGTTTTGAAGCTAATAGGATTTACTTGTTTAGGATTTTGTTATTTCCCCTATAGTATCATTTATATTTAACTAGCATGACATTCTGTTATGGGAAGAACAAATTCCTCAACACCTGATGGTTGTTTATCATATTTATCTAAGTCTAGCTAAAGCTAAATTAACTAACAATAGTTACATAAACAAGATAAACAACCGTTGGAGAACTTCTGTTTTACTCATAATAATTTAAGTCATTAAAAATGTTTTTTCTGTAAGGATATTTACTGTCCGAATACCATCATGATAAAGAGTTGTGATATAGAGATATTTACCCATGATGACTAATAATGAGTTGTGATATAGAGATATTTACCCATGATGACTAATAATGAGTTGTGATATAGAGATATTTACCCATGATGACTGATAAAGAGTTGTGATATAGAGATATTTACCCATGATGACTGATAAAGATTGTGATATAGAGATATTTACCCATGATGACTAATAATGAGTTGTGATATAAGGATATTTACCCATGATGACTAATAAAGAGTTGTGATATAGAGATATTTACCCATGATGACTGATAAAGAGTTGTGATATAGAGATATTTACCCATGATGACTGATAAAGAGTTGTGATATAGAGATATTTACCCATGATGACTGATAAAGAGTTGTGATATAGAGATATTTACCCATGATAACTGATAAAGAGTTGTGATATAGAGATATTTACCCATGATGACTAATAATGAGTTGTGATATAAGGATATTTACCCATGATGACTAATAAAGAGTTGTGATATAGAGATATTTACCCATGATGACTGATAAAGAGTTGTGATATAGAGATATTTACCCATGATGACTGATAAAGAGTTGTGATATAGAGATATTTACCCATGATGACTGATAAAGAGTTGTGATATAGAGATATTTACCCATGATGACTGATAAAGAGTTGTGATATAGAGATATTTACCCATGATAACTAATAAAGATTTTAGAATATTTACCCATGATGACTAATAATTTTTTACTCAGTTCGACTACCGTCATAGTAAAGAGTTGTGATATATAAATATATCAAACATTGTAAATTATAGATGTTCCAGATGTAGTTATTGGTCCTAATTTTGTAGTTTATTTTAATTTAAATATTAATTATTGAATTACCTGAATGTTTGTTCTTTACTAAATTGATTTTTTAATGGCATTTATTATCTGGTAATACACATTCCATACATAAGCGGAGGCTGACCATTAATAGTAGGAGATTGGGTCATACATTGATTAGTTGCTATTTATAGCACACTATATAAGAAAAAGTGTACACTAGTCCAGGGGTCAGAGGCATGCGGACATAATGGAGGAACAAGGATTGTACAGTCTACTTATATTCTAATTTTTTTTCCAAACATTTTAAATTGTAATTTAAATTTCTTTTCCCACCACCTCCTCTACAGCCCACATTTTGCAATGTATGACACCGCCATTTCGTCATGTCTATTGTGTTTCAACAATATTTACAATAAAAAGTGTTGTATATAACATTATTGAGATTTATTCTATTGACATATTAATGCACAATCTTTGACCTGTCAACTGTTTTTCATAACAATATTTATAACTTTTTATAGGCGTTTTCGTATCACCATCTAAGACTCGTTTGTTGAATATGTACGTCTTTATGTATATGTGGTTTAATAAAAGCGTCCATTTTCAAATCATATGTAGAATTGTTGTTTTCTATTGGATTAACAAGTTTTAAAAACTCACCACAGTGATGATACATAATGTGAATCATTTGTAATAATATTTATTCATAATGAAGTGTTGTAATATAGGGATATTAACTCATGCTGACTGCCTTCATAGTAAAGAATACAATATCGGAATACCAACTTATGCCGATTAAAGTCATAAAAAATGGTTATGATTTAGGAATATATACTCATCCCAGCTACAGGCATTATAAAGGGATATTTAGTCACGCTGAATGTAGTCACAATAAAGGGTTGATATAGGAGTATGTACGACCACCATAAAAAGGATATAGGGATGTCATGATGTTGCCGATCACCTTACATAGTCACGTGATGTTGGGTTATTTGTTACCTTCAGTCGCAGGTCTTTTTCGATTTGCATTCTCCGTTGCCATTTCATCCTGTCTTGCCTTCTTCGGTTTGGGGATTTCCTCATCGTCATCAATTTCTTTCCGTGTATATGGTCAAATATGAAATATTAATTTCATCATTTATGCATCAGCAATACCTATGAACGTGATAAATACAGTGTTTATTTATATTCTACATGTATACTGATATAAATTAACTTTTATATTTTATTTTAAAATTAACTGATTCAATTAAAGTCGTAGTCTTACTTTATTTTCAGTTGTTTATTAGTCAATCTGATTAAAATGTAGATCTTGATTTATCTCCGATAATCCTTAATGAACGGAATGCATCGGAGTGGTTAAGTAAGATATGTATTTTAATCAGAAAGCCATTTCATCCAAGCAAACTAGCTTCTTCACCTGTTCATAACTGCACACAAACCTAAAAAGCAAAGTGTGTGAAGGGAGGGGGTGGAAATGGGGTGTGGGGGTGTAATAAGGCTAATGTGTGAGGTTGAGTGATAGACCACAATCGCTGTTTCTTTGCCTACCAGAACAGGAGACAAACTCTTTTATCAAAGTTTAACAGATATAGCATTCCAGGAACTACTTGTCACTTGAACCACCTGGCCTTATTCTCCTGGTACTTTTTCAAGTTTCCATGTACCTTCATTTGTTCATATTTTTGTATTTTGATTATGTTGACATGTTGGTATTGAATTGTGATTATGTTGACATGTTGGTATTGGATTATGATTATGTTGACATGTTGGTATTGGATTATGATTATGTTGACATGTTGATATTGGATTATGATTATGTTGACATGTTGATATTGGATTATGTTGACATGTTGATATTGGATTATGTTGACATGTTGGTATTGGATTATGATTATGTTGACATGTTGATATTGGATTATGTTGACATGTTGGTATTGGATTATAATTATGTTGACATGCTGATATTGGATTATGATTATGTTGACATGTTGATATTGGATTATGATTATGTTGACATGTTGATATTGGATTATGATTATGTTGACATGTTGATATTGGATTATGATTATGTTGACTGTTGATATTGGATTATGATTATGTTGACATGTTGGTATTGGATTATGATTATGTTGACATGTTAGTATTGAATTGTGATTATGTTGACATGTTGATATTGGATTATGATTATGTTGACATGTTGATATTGGATTATGTTGACATGTTGGTATTGGATTATGATTATGTTGACATGTTCGTATTGAATTGTGATTATGTTGACATGTTGGTATTGGATTATGATTATGTTGACATGTTCGTATTGAATTGTGATTATGTTGACATGTTGGTATTGGATTATGATTATGTTGACATGTTCGTATTGAATTGTGATTATGTTGACATGTTGATATTGGATTATGATTATGTTGACATGTTGGTATTGGATTATGATTATGTTGACATGTTGATATTGGATTATGATTATGTTGACATGTTCGTATTGAATTGTGATTATGTTGACATGTTGATATTTTCTTAATGTTTTGTTGCAACTACTGTGTATGTATCTATTTGACTGAAATTTAGGAATGAAGAGACGTAGTTTTGTATCGTAAGATTACAAAAGCCTTTCACAAAATTTATATCCATTTAAATGTTGATGCATGTTTAGAGAATGCTGTTGATGACACTCGTTGATTGCAAAAATTGTATTTCATAAATCTAAACGATTTTCATGGTGAAAATAGTGACTTATGTTTCATATCATCTAAATGATTTTGAAAATTACTTGAAGAGAAAAAAGTTTAAATGATATAAACAGAGAAAGAACGCCGTCGCATTCACATTATGACACAAATTATCACATTAACTCTTATAGTATCACATTTACGCTAACATTATCACATTTACGCTGATATTATCACATTACACTGATATTATCACATTTACACTGATATTATCACATTTACTCTGATATTATCACATTTATGCTGATGTTGTCACATTTACTCTGATATTATAACATTTACTCTAATCAATCGAAAAAACATAACCTTTTCTCAATATTAACGTCGATAATTCAGTTTATTCTTAAGTTTTTAACTCTACGAACACATAGCATTATTATTTAAACCGTCCCCACTTGATTGGCCATTCCTATTTTAAGTTTAAAGAACTAAAATGCACAATGATAAATCATGAAACACAAAATTTCTAGAAGTGTTGATTTTGTTGGCGAGATTTAATCAATGATAAAGATTATACAAACCGGTATGGATAATAGTCTGTTCTCCAGTATTTACAAAGTCAGCGTGCTTCACTTTCAAATTCTTAACCTGAAGCTTTGGTTGATTGATGACCACTGAAATACACATATTTTTCAGAACTTGATAAAAATCATCATGAATTATTTATTCTTTTCTGAACATCATTTACTAAATTACATATGTTCAATGAACATTTTAGGAAGAAACGGTATTCAGCTTTAAATTGGTGCCATATAAGCCATTTGCTATTCCAGATTGAATGAATGAAAACTTAACTCATTTTCCTGCTGTTGGCATTCCTGTCACGATAAACAATTTATACTTCAAATCATTACTCAAGGTATGATAACTTATTTGTATTTTTCAGAAGAAATTGATAAGAACGAGAAGAAATATAAATCCCGCAAGAGATATTCATTTATGTTTACATTTGCACTAATCTGTAATCTGCATAGACGGGAACGAAATAATTAAGATACAATGAATGACGTTCAACACGAGACCATTGTGACATTTGTGATGTAAAACCATAGAAACGATGGTTGTTTGCCATCAAAATGAGTGCTCCACTTAACGGATTATGCTGTGGAAAGTGAAAAGTCTATTCCAAAGTAAGACAATCCATATTTGCTATAAGAAATTAATATGGATATAGAATGTACTTATAACTGTTAGATTGCAGTATTATGACATTCATGGTCTGATATATAACACACAGAGTCTGCCAGGTAACATATGCCATATTGCGCTAGTATGCTATATAGTTTTATATACAAAATTCTCTCCTTTATAAAGACCAAAAATTCCACGAGACACTTAAAAATATCAACATCGTAAAACACCATTAAATCTTGATTCAAAAATTACAAAATATGACTTCTAGATTTGATATCGTCTGCACATCTTCCCATTACAATGCGCAGACTATGTGTTGACAACTGCACGTGGCCTAATATTGGTCACGAATAGACATCGCTTTTATCATGCTATCTTGATAGGAGTTGTTCATTCTTTACCGTTGTATATATATCGTGACAGAATTGAGTAGGTGATTGATTTTTGAAGCATTCAATCTTATTTTGACGCAGAAGTTGAAAATGAAGTCAAGAAATATTCCTTAGTTGGCTAGAATATTTACCGGTCACACAGGAAGCTTAACTCTGATGTCACCAGAAGTAATTATGGACACATCAATTTAACCAAAAGCCATCAAATGCATTTTGATTACAACACACAGATCATGAGAATACATTGTATGTTATTTGGCGAAGCCATTTCTTTCGACTGTTAAAATCCAAGATGGCCGCCTTTCAGCCAATTTGTTTCAGTGATCACATTGAAACTTTTATCGGCACAAATAGGGACACACAGGAAGCTAGAAGTTTTAGAAATGTCCATCCAGTAATTCTCAGGAAACAGCAATAAAAAACTTCCCGTCAAAATCCAAAATGACCGGTGTAGTATGATAATGGTGAAGTGAACCGCGGTTCATTTCACCATAATGGTATTTTGACCCCGGTTCATTTTTCCATGCTCCACAATACCATGCTATATTGGCAGTTATTTCACTGATTGGATTAAAAAATAATGAGTGGATAACCACATTTCACAAGCAAAAAAACATCGCCTCCCTCCGACAATTAACATGCAAATGCGTTTACGACAGCTGAAAATGATTCTGTATAGAATTTTGACTATATCATTCAGGTTTTGACTAAGTGGTGTTTACAAATAAATAAATGTATATACACTTTACCTTGAAGTGAAAGATTTGATTGTGAAACTACTCCAGTGAATGGGCCAGGTCTAGCTACTGCGCCTGCATACTCGTTGTTTGAACTTCTCTTTGTGTCTGTAGGATTTTGCAGTACAGACACAATAGCCTGGTTCAGTACTGAACTCATTATACTGTCTGCAAAACCGACATAGAATAGAAGTTCATATAACACAACCAGAAGATGTGACGTTTCACTGACTAAATTGTCATATTTATCAGACAAATGACTAGTCACCGTGGAGAACACCAGCATTGACGTACGTAGTGTACACGATGGTAAATAATCGACCAACATTTTTGGTTGTACTATAATGTTATGTACACTAAGGTAAAAATTGTGTGACGAGATGGTAAACAGATTATAGACCAAAAAATACACAAAATGGTAACAATGTACTTCGTTTAACACTTGGTCATAGATTTGTGAAAGTCTGTGGCTGCATCGTCCTTGTTAAGTATTGACCATATGTGGCATGTCTAGATGGCTCGTTAACCATATGCACACCCCCGTACGTGATATGTTTATATCAGTAAGCTAACATGGTGTGATGTTGATATCAGTAAACTTACATGGTGTGATGTTGATATCAGTAAACTTATATGGTGTGATGTTGATATCAGTAAACTTACATAGTGTGATGTTGATATCAGTAAACCTACATGGTATGATGTTGATATCAGTAAGCCTACATGGTGTGATGTTGATATCAGTAAACTTACATGGTGTGATATTGATATCAGTAAACTTACATGGTATGATGTTGATATCAGTAAGCCTACATGGTGTGATGTTGATATCAGTAAACTTACATGGTGTGATGTTGATATCAGTAAACCTACATGGTATGATGTTGATATCAGTAAACTTACATGTAATGATGTTGATATCAGTAAGCCTACATGGTGTGATGTTGATATCAGTAAACTTACATGGTATGATGCTGATATCAGTAAACTTACATGGTGTGATGTTGATATCAGTAAACCTACATGGTGTGATGTTGATATCAGTAAACCTACATGGTGTGATGTTGATATCAGTAAACCTACATGGTGTGATGTTGATATCAGTAAACCTACATGGTGTGATGTTGATATCAGTAAACTTACATGGTGTGATGTTGATATCAGTAAACCTACATGGTATGATGTTGATATCAGTAAACTTACATGGTGTGATGTTGATATCAGTAAACCTACATGGTATGATGTTGATATCAGTAAACTTACATGTAATGATGTTGATATCAGTAAGCCTACATGGTACGATGTTGATATCAGTAAACTTACATGGTGCGATGTTCATATCAGTAAACTTACATGGTGCGATGTTCATATCAGTAAACTTACATGGTGTGATGTTGATATCAGTAAACTTACATGGTGTGATGTTGATATCAGTAAGCCTACATGGTGTGATGTTGATATCAGTAAACCTACATGGTGTGATGTTGATATCAGTAAACCTACATGGTGTGATGTTGATATCAGTAAACCTACATGGTACGATGTTGATATCAGTAAACTTACATGGTGTGATGTTGATATCAGTAAACTTACATGGTGTGATGTTGATATCAGTAAACCTACATGGTGTGATGTTGATATCAGTAAACCTACATGGTGTGATGTTGATATCAGTAAACCTACATGGTGTGATGTTGATATCAGTAAACCTACATGGTGTGATGTTGATATCAGTAAACTACATGGTACAATGTTGATATCAGTAAACCTACATGGTGTGATGTTGATATCAGTAAACCTACATGGTGTGATGTTGATATCAGTAAACTTACATGGTGTGATGTTGATATCAGTAAACCTACATGGTACGATGTTGATATCAGTAAACTTACATGGTGTGATGTTGATATCAGTAAACCTACATGGTACGATGTTGATATCAGTAAACTTACATGGTGCGATGTTCATATCAGTAAACTTTCATGGTGTGATGTTGATATCAGTAAACTTACATGGTGTGATGTTGATATCAGTAAACTACATGGTACAATGTTGATATCAGTAAACTTACATGGTGCGATGTTCATATCAGTAAACTTACATGGTGCGATGCTCATATCAGTAAACCTACATGGTGTGATGTTGATATCAGTAAACTTATATGGTGTGATGTTAATAGCAGTAAACTTTCATTGTGTGATTATATTAGTAATATCTGCTGCTGTTAGATCACTGATACTTACCACTTGTGGAGTTGATGTTCATATCATCTTCTGTCATTACGTTTTCAGTGGGCTGTAAGTACACCAATTAAGCATAAAAACAAAGCTAGATTTATAAAAATACAAATATCAACATCTGCCTATATATGGAACATCATGTAGAAGTATGCTAAGGATTATCATTGCCATAATTAACTTATACATATTTCCAGAAGTTTTCTGGCCAGATAATTATGGTGTGGTTATTATCTATGTGACACAATGTAAAGATACAGAATTTAGGGTTCAGTTAATACATAAAAAATGTAAGGACAAAGTATTATTTTACAGAACGGATAGTGTTTCCTTTGATTAGAATGACCATACCTGTTGATCCCTATTTCCTGGTCCTGGGTTCGGTTCAATTCCTTGTGCACGAAGAAGGAGAGCAATAAAAGTAACAGCTCCCTTTCTGTCCATTTTATCATGTGTCATGCCACATCGAATACTGGCGATCGCTTTACAGAGGTATTCAAAGTTTGTTAGAAGACAATTCGGAATTCGAGGCACAAACTGCCCGACCCGTGCGCGGTACACTGCCAAATCCACGCCCATCGTCAGCTTAGAAACAAGGAAATAAAATATATACTTTAATATGCCCATTTGCATTAAGTGGAAGTTGTTAAATAAAAGGAAATAACATTAGTTTCATACTATTTCAAAGTATACAAATTTTGGCAGGAGGTGCCATATCATATTTGTCACCACTATCATAACAGTACCTGGATATTTTTTCTCCATCATAAAAGTATCCGGAGATACTTACCTGTACAAGAATAATATGTTATTTTAAAATTTAAAGGTTACAAATATTATACCCTTTCTAGATTTACTTGTAGGTGCAGGGGCTGGGGATGGGAATGATAGAAGACTGATCTAGAATATCAATGAATCTTACTGTTTAGCAGCTGTTCAGAATATTGATATATAGAACAACATGAAAACTATTATCCTGTGATTCTAGGAAAAATTTATTGCATACAGAATTATACATACAATCCTTACCAGAAATGATGAAAGAAGGCATAAAGTATAGTATAGTAAAATTGTAAATACTGATAATAGTAATTATCGTATGTAAATGGGGAGGATGCATTTCTGATAGCTATCATATATGTATCCAACATACATATTGATAAATCCCCCTTGATATTTCCTGGTGGCCCTCATATATGTATCCCCTTTTATATATACGATAAGTCTACCCCGGATACTTCTCTGATGCCCATCATATATGTATCCCCTTATATGTATGATATAGTGTATGCAATGAAGGATTACTGTAAGTATAATTCTATCTTGATTATATAAGGCAAATTCCATACAAATATATTACGCGCCTTTATCAAAACTAAGATTTGATTTTAAATATCTGTGCTTAATAAATTTTAGAACTGCCAGTCATCAAGAATTTGGCTCATATATTTGATATACATATTTTGTACACATCCATACATTATACAAATTTAGATAATGAAGCTGATGTTTAATTACAAAATAAGAAGAAAACAAATCTTAGTAGATAAGTTTGGTTCATCAGTGTCTTTATGTACAGTGTGATAGACTGAAACACAGGTAAATTTCCGTGTACCCGCCAGGTCTCCTCTCAGGCAGATGTGATCCCTGCCCTCCTGTTATATAATACATGTACTGCTTGACCATAGCCAGGTGTCTTTAACTAATTTATTAAGTCACCATGACACCTTGTATGATGTTAGTGAAAAAAGATGTTGTGGGAGGATACAAATACTAAAGGAAGGGATACTTTCATAATGGCCAGAAAAAGTATCCGGATACTTTTATGATGGGGGATGCAAATATGATATGACACCGATTAAGTAGTACTGGTCAATGTGATTCCAGGTTTTTCACAGACAATAGTCATATCTCACATCCATCAGTAGATCTGGTTTTAGTCCCTATAGCATATGTATATTATCATATCTAACATCCAACAGTATAGCTGGTTTCAGTCCCTATAGCATATGTATATTATCATATCAAACATCCAACAGTAGAGCTGGTTTTAGTCCCTATAGCATATGTATATTATCATATCAAACATCCAACAGTAGAGCCGGTATATTTTAGTCCCTATAGCATATGTATATTATTATATCAAACATCCAACAGTATAGCTGGTTTTAGTCCCTATAGCATATGTATATTATCATATCAAACATCCAACAGTAGAGCCGGTATATTTTAGTCCCTATAGCATATGTATATTATTATATCAAACATCCAACAGTATAGCTGGTTTTAGTCCCTATAGCATATGTATATTATCATATCAAACATCCAACAGTAGAGCTGGTATATTTTAGTCCCTATAGCATATGTATATTATCATATCAAACATCCAACAGTAGAGCTGGTTTTAGTCCCTATAGCATATGTATATTATCATATCAAACATCCAACAGTAGAGCTGGTTTTAGTCCCTATAGCATATGTATATTATCATATCAAACATCCAACAGTAGAGCTGGTATATTTTAGTCCCCATAGCATATGTATATTATCATATCAAACATCCAACAGTAGAGCTGGTATATTTTAGTCCCCATAGCATATGTATATTATCATATCAAACATCCAACAGTAGAGCTGGTATATTTTAGTCCTCATAGCATATGTATATTATCATATCTAACATCCAACAGTAGAGCTGGTATATTTTAGTCCCCATAGCATATGTATATTACTATATATACCATCCATCAGTAGATTATCATTTTATTACTTTTTGTTACTGAATCACATTTGTGTATTGTTCTATAAATGTAAATCGATTAATTGGTCACTTAAGAAGTCCTAATGATATGAACATTTACCTGTTGCGTAATCAACTCACGACTTTACTTCCATTTCCTTGAAAAAACAACATTTTAGCTATTCATATGCTAGTTACGTGCTATGTTTGGCTGTTGCAAGGAAACAGAGCTATGTACCCTCCATAACATTCCAAACTGTAAAGGGTGAAGGTCGGTTTAGCGTTATTTGGAATTTCTTCAAATTATTGTACTTTCACTTTCGGTTTTGAGATATGGAGTGGTAGCAAATTAAAATGTTATTATAATCATTCCAGCTGGTATAAGTGTAGCTCAGAGAATATTCCGAATTTCATACAAAATGATTTAAATACATCAATACAACATGTTTATATCTCCAGGATATAACTTATACAATGAAAACAAAAATTAACGCAAGCTTGTATCAGTTCTTCTAATGTCTAAAAATCAACTGTCGTAAAATATTGTAAAATGATTATCATACATTCTTTAATTTCAATGGAATTTAATTCATCGACTTGGTATTTTTCATTACTCGGATATTTAGCAGAAGGATTTCTAAACATCGCAACTTGAAATTATGTATTACTTTTATGAAATGATATTTCAAAATATCTTACTGAAAAGTTTGGCGTTTCTTTATCGAAAGAGACGCGTGGGTATGTTTATATGCATCTTTCGTGTGATTTTGTGTGTGGTAATCGTGCCGTTCAATAGTTATAACCAAACAAAATCCTACAAAAACACACTTGTATTTCATTCCCGTTGTCGATTCAAAATCTGGTATATCTCATTACTTTAGTATGTAAATACAAACTTTTTTTAAACGTCACAACTTTAAATCCTGAATTAATCCAATGATAATTCAATGTACCATTATGTTTTTAAAAGGATGCAAAATGTTTATTACAAACAATTAATCATATCGATGTTAACGATTTCGGGAAACAATGAATAATTTCATTAGCATATAAAGTATTATACTACAGTTGCATTGTTTTAGATAGTTTGCTATTTTCAATCGAATAAAAAAAATACAATTTCACTTTTTTTTCTCTTATAAATGAAATTTCGAAATATTTACTATAAAGGATGGTGCTATTCTACCTAAATAAATACTTGTTTATTTTTATATGTATCTGTAATGTGATATTAAGAGAGGCAATGTGATAAATTGAATCCACAATCATGAATAGATTATCAATGAATATCAAAACATCAAAGCATACACACAATCAAAATGGCATATCTCGTTATAGTGAAATAGGTATCGCTAAAATTTATGTACCTTAAAAGTTCATGTGAATTGATAATTGTACATAAAAATCACAAACAACTTTCTATGCAGACATTTTATTTAGATTATCAATGAATATCAAAACATCAAAGCATACACACAATCAAAATGGCATATTTCGTTATAGTAAAATAGGTATCGCTAAAATTTATGTACCTTAAAAGTTCATGTGAATTGATATTTGTACATAAAAATCACAAACAACTTTCTTTGCAGACATTTTATTTCAATCTGAAAAATAAAATAAACAAGACACCTTATCTTATTCGATATTAAAATTTCGCTGCTTTTTTCCAAAAAAAAGCAAATAAATTGAACAAGACTCCATAACATTTGGATCGTAACATATCACATTATACTCATGCAGTTATTCTTATCTTTTAATAACTAGTGGTAAACTGCCGGAGGTGCCTATTCAATATATGTATATATGACGAGAACTAAAATTTCGTCATTGCTTACTTAATATCTCTTAAAAGTGACAAATAAACAACGGTTTTCTTTAATAGCAAGCAAATACTGGTTTCTTTACAAAAGGAACTACATTCTTTATTTTTCAGAATTATTTTTAGATCGGTTTGTTTTCGGGCTTTAGGATATCAAAATGATGAGAGCTGAACTTTTAGATAGGATAACAGGTAAGCTATCATGTGATATGCTATATATTACACATGTCTAAGCAATTTAATCTTAGGGAGCCTTTGACAAGCTCAAGAAAAAAATGTGACGAGTTTCATAAATTATGATCCTGTTTATCTTAAGACTGATTATGCAGATAAATATTGTAGAAAACGTCAAATTGGAAGTACTTTCGCCTCTGTATCCATGATCTCTACTGTTACGTCACGATGCTATCTATAATTTTGTGACGTCATTTCGTTATTAAAAACTAACATCAGAATAGGTTTAAATTGCACACGTTTAATACGCATGAAAATAGCAAATGGATGTATTCGCTGAATCAAGACAATCCTGTCATTAACATAAATATTCAGCGCAAACAGATACGACAATAAGATCATCCATTAAATGAAATCAATACCCTTACTTATTTTGTGCAAGATATGGCAAATGTTAAATTTTATGGATGTTAATAATATCTTGATGTAATGAGCTGATTCCCAGTATTATAGACCAATCAAATGAATTATACGAATCCAGCTGCATTGGGTTTTTTTCTTATCTTAAACCAACTAAATCAGAAGAGGTTAGAATTTTAAAATGTAATAAAACACTGGAAAAATACATTTTCCCCTTGTTTACCTCAGTCACACATCTCACAACCGTTCATGAATGCTAGGTTTACAATGAATACTAGAGAAAATTCAGGTCATATGTACAAAAACATACATAATTAAGAAAAGTTAACGAGATATGAAACGAAAAATTCAGTAATAATCACCTACACACATCTTTATTCATAGAAATGCGTGCATTACTTTCAATGATGCCTCATATGAAATAAAAAGCAAAATAAATAAAAAAATTTACAAGACAGACATAAAAATAAGATCAGTAACAGCATTGTTGTGTTTAATGGAAAGCAAATAACACTTCATTACAAAAACACATCAAGCTGGCAATACAGAAAAAAGTTGAAACCATCCTTACCTAGATCATTTGTATTAAAAGATTGTACAAAAATTAAATAGACAGAATCACAACTTTCAATGCAAATTTACTTTATATAGTTTTACAGATAAAAAATCACATGAGAACAGTTCTTTACAGGGAAGTTCTATCGTCCATGGTATTGTACAGGACAAACCATATCATAGAATATTACATAAATGGAGCTCAAAATGGTTCATCCCGTGTTTCGAGGTGTTCAAGTAAAAGCAATGCAATGAATACTCGTTCAGTCATACTAAACGATTTAGAATAAATCGATTTATGTATTACAATAAAAAACATTAAGTCAAACAAACATGAACAACAGATTTAAATGTATATTATTTTCTTTCCCGAAAAAAAAATTATTCGTAAAGATTGTGAAAAATCTACAAAAACATGTTAACATGATTTAACAAATATGATACAAAGGTAAGGCCCAATGTCACGCAGTAAGTGTGAGATAAACTAATTTTGTCGTACCCAAATAATACATTTTCGATACTCCTGGGGCTTCGATAACTTTCGTTCTCTGCACCCGTGAAACATGTTATGACAAAAATAAAGGTACATGTTATTTGATTGGTACCAGGAGAAAAAAAAACGACCAATCACATGCTGATATACTCGTTTTGATGATTTCAAAGTCGCAACACCCATCTTCAAAGTCAATACGATGAACTGTAATGTGATCTCGAAATTCGTTTGATGAACATCAAAGGATCACACTAGTCTTTTGTCTTGTCCACAAGGTTTAGCGCATGGAACCTTCAATGTTGACATAACATGTTCAAGATGTGCACAGAGCGAAAGTGATCGGAACCCCTGGAGTATCGAGGACGGTTCAAGGGGGTGCAGAGAGCGAAAGTGATCGTAACCCCAGGGATATCGAGGATGGTTCAAGGGGTGCAGAGAGCGAAAGTGATCGGAACCCCTGGCGTATCGAAGATGCCAATTATAGGAACACCAGGATACCTTCACCACTCACCGTGTAGTTAGTGTATATTTTGATATCATATTCTTAAGATCGCTAATGAGATTTCATTTCAAATGAGATTTGATGAAAGGAGTCTTAGATTTTGTTTTATGCAAGTCTTAAAAGTCTTTATTTGTGCAAGCCTTTGCGAGGAAAAATAATAACTTTCAAACCTCGTTTAAAATGAAAACTTACTTGAGATCTTATAAATATGATATATACAAGATGAGTTCTATACAATCTCATATGAAATGAAAACAAATCTGAGATATGTTTTATCACGTAACAATGAAAGCGTATATTTTGAAATGTTCAAAGTAAAAGTGTGGATGACAAATTCAAGCGGAGGCAACTTTTTGCTGTGGCTTTTCCAATTCATGATGTATTACCATTGTCCATATTATGACACCACCGATTTCTGACTGGCGCAGCCAATGAAAACCGTTCCAGGGTATACAACATTAGTGACTTATACACAATAATACTGGAGTGAATTTACTGCATAATAAGCTGATTATGTGATATATACGATATGATATATATTTACCTTTACAGCGTCATTATCGTCCGATTTCTAACCACGTATTGTATAATAAAACAAACTGAAGTATAGTAACTGGATATCACATTACAGTCTAGAAACTTAAGCACATTATCTAATGCATTCTGGTGATGACATAGCATGTTATTGAGTGCACACTAGTGGCACTAAAATGACATTTTTAATGCATATACATTCTACTGATTGGGTATCACAATTTTCAGTATAGTCAAGTGACAGGATAACATTATTCAGTACAGGATATCATTATGTTCAGCTAATTTACTTACAACCAAGTGACAGTAAATTAGTCATCATGTGCAATTTTGTCATACATGTCAGCGAAAGAAGCAGTGCTGTCAACAACTTTGTCGAGTCTTGCAGGATTAAACATTCTAATGATACAGCTTTCTATGATGTTTTCGTTAGGAAATTTAACTGATATCATGTCAATCGATATTCATAATATATGCCATATATACAAATATAATAATGATCTATGTAATGCACTTTTCCCCGTCTTACAATGTATACTGTCTTGTCGTCCCATCTTGCAGATGATAAATAGTTGCCTGCCTTCCTCCATTGTATGTATTTATATCGTTCATGATACATTTATATAACATAAACTTTATGACACGACATCAAATTCCACGTGTTTTTAACAGACTGTCTATAAAGATTTTCTAACACACAAGCTGTTGGATGTATTCTTCGACTTTAGGTTCCGACAGTTTTCTAGCCTTTTCCAACGCATTTCTAAGTAGTTCCTGTGACAGAGAAGTGGAACCAGAGAGAAGGAGTCTGATGATAGACAGGCGGTGAGATGGTTTACATTTCTTATGTAGAATTTCTGACAAACATCGGTTGGAAACTTCTCCTCCACATCTGAGAAGACAACCAATAACTCTTACATCACCTAATCTTACAGCGCTCAACAGGGCGTCGTTCTTCTCAATTGCATCCCACTCCCTTGCCCTCAATACAAACTGTACTGCTGGAAGCCTTTCGGTTGTTTTCCACATTTTATGAATAGCGTTCTGTAGGCTTTTGCCTGTAAATTCTGCTCCTCTTTCATGAAACATGGATACGAGCTGAAAATGTCCAACTTCTAAAGACTTCTGTAAGGCATTGTCCATCTGCTGTTTATTGTACTGACGGGACTTCATCATATAAATCACTAAACCGTACGTATCATACGCCATATTTTTATCAACAATGGCGTACTCTAGACTTTGGTCACTGAACATGGCTCCGTGATCATGTAAGTAGAATATCACATCAGTATACCCAAGTTTCACAGCTTTGTCCAACGCCTTCATCAGCAAGTCATCCGACCAGTCTCTTGATTCCTGCACTAGGCTGACCATTTTCAGTCTGTTGTAGCTCTGGTAGTTCCGAGTGTTATCCATAGCATTTGATAAGCTGTCATTGTCGCATGGAATATTCATCTCGCGAGTGAGGTGTTCAACGATATCTATGCAACCTTCTTTTATTTCCTTATTCAAGACTATTGTAAGCTCATCTGTCATACCTTCACATTTCAAAAACTGTATTTTTGTTTTCTTTAACTCTTGAACCTCTGGTAGGTTTAATAGAATATCTTTGTCAAGTATTCCTGATATTTCCGGAACACCCAAAATTGCGTAGATTGAAGGGCCATTTGTTTCACATGCAAATTGAATGGCTTCAGCAAGCAAATCAGGTGACCATGTACGAGATAGAAGAATGATCTTCAAGAGCCTTATCTGAACATGATGTTCAACATGCCATCCAAGAACATTCAATAAACTCGAATCATTGAACTGTCCTCCCATAGTAAATAAGTACAGAGCAACATCAGACCTACAAAGGACTAAAGACTCGTGTAAGGCATCGCTTAGTTGGTCTACTGACCATTTCTCTGACTTTCTCACAAACTTAACAGTTTTGAGTGTATCACGTGTCCTTCTTACTGCAGCTAACAGTGCACCGCTTTGGAAAGTTCCTCCATTGTTCTCCAGAAACTTCACTGTTCCAAGTGGTCCCCATTCCACTGCAACATTAAGTGCTTCAGTAATCTGTCTTGGTACCCATTTATGTTTCGAGAAAACAAATGAAACTGTAACAGGAACATTTTCTTCTTCTTCTTTTTTATTTCCATTTAACATTTCAATAAGGAGTTGGAGCTCTTCTTCAAAAGTCATTTCTTCTTCACTTATTATCAGTGGATCATACTGTCGTTTGGATACATTTACCAATGCATCTGCCATAAACCGTGCTCCACCTTCAAAAAGGATTTTTATGGACGCATATGAACCTGACTTAATGGCTTCGTCTAGTGCATCATTAAGCTGTGTTTGTGTCCAAGACACCGTTTCCATTATCGTTCCAACAACATCCTCAACTCCCACGAAATTCGTTCCTGCCTTTCTCACAAAGGCATCATGAGACGGTTGCCCACCTGCTTTGATTAGAACTTCTAGATGGTCTGTTTTGTTAAGATGTATGGCTTCGGACACCATCGAGTTTAGTTGCGCTGTATCTACATTTGACGAGAAAAGTAAAAAACGAAATATGTCCAAATTACAACTTTGTAAAGCACGTTTCACTATTCCCCCGTCCATGTGTCCCAATATCCTTTTAACTGCAATAGCGTCACTTAATCTCTTATGTTTTGAGTTCAATATTATTTCAAACAGATGATAGTAATGCTCCTGCAATTCACAAGTCTGAAATATAGCATGTAATGAGTCAAAGTCCATTTTCTCTGCAGATTTTGCCATGTCTTTAGGACTCCAATTGGAGAGATTTTTTATTTTCTCTATCATGTATGTTTTTTGTTGTTTATATTGACTCCATAACAATTGTACTTTGCACATACTTGCCGTCCTCTCAAGAGTATCACACAAGTCACCTGGAGTGTTGTCGCTGATAGTCTCATTGACTTCAGACTTTGTCCAGGTATTCTTTGACAACACAAACTCTACCAAATTGACATCGTTTGAACTAATTGCTAATTGAAGACATTTTGTAGTGCAAAATGCTCCATTGCTCAGCAGAATCGACATTGATTCTGTGTTTTTATGTTCCAGAGATGACATCAGAGTTCTTTGTAACGCTCTTGTGAAGGCTAAAATACCGTTCTCTTTGACAGTGAGCTCATCAACTTTGAACTTAAAATATGATCGCAGAAAGAAGACATTGTTTTCACAAGAGTCTAATAAAGTAGAATTAGCCCTGAGGAAGCCTTTTGCGACGTCGTGTGTGGTGGTGATGTACTCAAAAAGACAATCCGCAAACTTTTGATTACGGAACCTTGGGAATGATTTTAATGTTATTCGATTGTAATCATTGTCTTCCAAAATCATCTTGCACATTCGTTTTACAAGATGATGGAAGCTATCGGGAGGCACGTGCAATGTACACATATCAGGTTTTTCAGCTCCCGAAACATCAAGCTGTTCCAATATCACACGGTTGCTACACTTTTCCAAAATCAATTCTGGGTTTTCTTTTCCGAAGACAAGACTAACGCTGTCTGCAATTGATTGGTGACCAAAAGTGAACACTGTATTTTGTCTGGTTAGATATGTTCTATCTAGTGCATTCAGTCCGTCTTTGAGCATTGCCAATACATTTCCAGTATGTATGACGCCACAAACCTCTGCTAATACCTTCAAATTCTCATAATCATCTTTTTCCATTTTTAGACGATTTAGCTTTCTGCTATCTAGGGTTTGGTCATTAAGGAAACAATATACTAGCGCAAAGTACTTGTGAGGTTCAGTGAGTCTCATTCTCTCTATCTCCTCCGTGAGCATTCGGAGAGGATTTCTGAAAAACTTTTCCCCTTTCTCAAAAAATGTGTCATTGGTAAAGAAGAGATTACAAATTTGAGCAAAACCTATAGAAATATTTGACGGAAAGCGACGAATTTCATGATATGTAAGGAGCATGGTAGACATAACGTGCCCGCCAGCCTGTCGTTGATTAGAATGCTTATTGTAGATATCTAAACGTTCGTTATATGTTAATTTGTGGTCGACAGTCAAATCTACGGTTTTCTTTTCAGAGAGAATATGGTCACTTATCATTTCGCTCAATACACCTGATTCTCGCCTGGCATCTTTAAGTATATGCGTGCGAGAAGTCATTACCAAACAAACATTACCCTTGTGTAAACATTGTAATATTCTATCAAAAAATGGTGACCATCCATTCAAAAGCCCTGTCTGGTAGTTGGTTTTCCCAAATATGTCATCTACAAATACTACGATATCATCTTTGTCATTGACGACGTCACTCCAGTCCTGTGGAACTGTGATAAGTACGGGTGTTTTACAATTGATAGATTCGTCAAGGTTGCCGTCTCTTAACTTCTTACATATTTCTCTACCCAGAGTTGTCTTCCCTTCTCCCGTTACTCCAGATATGACAACCATATGGTAATCCTTTATACGTTCGACAACTGCTTTTTCCGCTGCTGTCCTCGTGACCAGTATATTGGCTGTTTCTTCGATGTGTCGTTTTAACATTGTTTCGGCATTATCTGGAGGAAAACAAACCTCTTATTTACTAACACAGAAAATTGATACCAGAGTTGAATATATGCACTAGGAATTGAGAGTTTTTGTTATTGAGATGTTGAACAATAACATGATGTAGAACATTTAACTCCTTACAATTAATAAAAGGAAAAAGGCATGTAACCCCTGGATTATTTATATAACTACCATGATACACGCTTGTGATATGGTGTTATATATACGACATAACTACCATCATGATACACGCTTGTGATATGGGGTTATATATACGACATAACTACCATCATGATACACGCTTGTGATATGGTGTTATATATACGACATAACTACCATCATGATACACGCTTGTGATATGGTGTTATATATACGACATAACTACCATCATGATACACGCTTGTGATATGGTGTTTTATATACGACATAACTACCATCATGATACACACTTGTGATATGGTGTTATATATACGACATAACTACCAACATGATACACACTTGTGATATGGTGTTATATATACGACATAACTACCATCATGATACACGCTTGTGATATGGGTTTATATATACGACATAACTACCATCATGATACACGCTTGTGATATGGTGTTATATATACGACATAACTACCATCATGATACACGCTTGTGATATGGTGTTATATATACGACATAACTACCATCATGATACACGCTTGTGATATGGTGTTATATATACGACATAACTACCATCATGATACACGCTTGTGATATGGTGTTATATATACGACATAACTACCATCATGATACACGCTTGTGATATGGTGTTATATATACGACATAACTACCATCATGATACACGCTTGTGATATGGTGTTATATATACGACATAACTACCATCATGATACACGCTTGTGATATGGTGTTATATATACGACATAACTACCATCATGATACACGCTTGTGATATGGTGTTATATATACGACATAACTACCATCATGATACACGCTTGTGATATGGTGTTATATATACGACATAACTACCATCATGATACACGCTTGTGATATGGTGTTATATATACGACATAACTACCATCATGATACACGATACATTTTGTTTCATTTGTTGATATTACCTTCAAGCAAAATTCTTTTGGGACTTTTCTTTTTCAATTTCGGAGTGGAATGAACTTCACTTCCATTTGCTGGTCCTGAAAAAACATCAAAATCTTAGTTACGACATGTAAAAATTTAATATTTTTCTGTAAGCACCACCAATTCATCAGTTAAACTTTTATTGTAAGTGAAAGACGAACCGCTTGTAGTAATTTTAGTGATAGTATATTCATACTTATATATTATTACTCCATTAATGTATAATGGTACATATAACACTAATTTCTAGGTATTATGCATTAATTGATATTCAAAGATCTAGGCTGTAAAAGTGTTATTATGAAGCATTATTGAATACATTTAACATTGGACAGCTGTAACAGGTTCGCTGTAATAATATTATTATAATAATATAACTATATATATATTACAATATGATATGAGTATCTACACACCGGCATGGATTACAGTCTGTTCTCCAGTATTTACATTCTCAGCGCGTTTCACTTTCATATTTTCAACATTAATTTCTTCTTTATAGTTTCGATTGTCAACATATTGGAAGACAGCCACTGAAACATTACATAGGAAATAATCAAGATTTGCTTATTTGTGTATCCTGTTATCGTAATATCATGTATCGATGAAATGTTTGAAAAGAATAAAATCAGCGCGACAAACGTATTCCGCTATCGTATCGCCTGAAGATGACCGTTAGGCCTGAAATTGTTAACGGAAAAGATTTGTCATGTTGATTTTATTCTTTTCAAATATTTCATCGATACACAAAGCATCTTTGAGTTACATCTATATATATATATATATATATACACCCACACATTATAACATTCAAATACAACAATGATTCCTACACAAACAGCAGAAACTGCAATCAGCGCTATCATAGTCTATCTGTTCTGTTTAAGTACTCACATACTCTATACTCTCAATTGCCCTGACTGTTCTGTTTAAGTACTCACATACTCTCGATTGCTCTGCCTGTTCTGTTTAAGTAATCACACACTCTCAATTGCCCTGACTATTCTGTTTAAGTACTCGCACACTCTCAATTGCCCTGACTGTTCTGTTTCAGTACTCACATACTTTATACTCTCAATAGCCCTGCCTGTTCTGTTTAAGTACTCACATACTCTCAATTGCCCTGCCTGTTCTGTTTAAGTACTCGCACACTCTCAATTGCCCTGCCTGTTCTGTTTAAGTACTCGCACACTCTCAATATCCTTGACTGTTCTGTTTAAGTACTCACATACTCTCAATAGTCCTGACTGTTCTGTTTAAGTACTCACATACTCTCAATTGCCCTGACTGTTCTGTTTAAGTACTCACATACTCTCAATAGCCCTGACTGTTCTGTTTAAGTACTCGCACACTCTCAATATCCTTGACTGTTCTGTTTAAGTACTAACATACTCTCAATAGCCCTGACTGTTCTGTTTAAGTACTCACATACTCTCAATAGCCCTGACTGTTCTGTTTAAGTACTCACATACTCTCAATAGCCCTGACTGTTCTGTTTAAGTACTCACATACTCTCAATAGCCCTGACTGTTCTGTTTAAGTACTCACATACTCTCAATAGCCCTGACTGTTCTGTTTAAGTACTCACATACTCTCAATAGCCCTGACTGTTCTGTTTAAGTACTCACATACTCTCAATAGCCCTGACTGTTCTGTTTAAGTACTCGCACACTCTCAATATCCTTGACTGTTCTGTTTAAGTACTAACATACTCTCAATAGCCCTGACTGTTCTGTTTAAGTACTCACATACTCTCAATAGCCCTGACTGTTCTGTTTAAGTACTCACATACTCTCAATAGCCCTGACTGTTCTGTTTAAGTACTCACATACTCTCAATAGCCCTGACTGTTCTGTTTAAGTACTCACATACTCTCAATAGCCCTGACTGTTCTGTTTAAGTACTCACATACTCTCAATAGCCCTGACTGTTCTGTTTAAGTACTCGCACACTCTCAATATCCTTGACTGTTCTGTTTAAGTACTAACATACTCTCAATAGCCCTGACTGTTCTGTTTAAGTACTCACATACTCTCAATAGCCCTGACTGTTCTGTTTAAGTACTCACATACTCTCAATAGCCCTGACTGTTCTGTTTAAGTACTCACATACTCTCAATAGCCCTGACTGTTCTGTTTAAGTACTCACATACTCTCAATAGCCCTGACTGTTCTGTTTAAGTACTCACATACTCTCAATAGCCCTGACTGTTCTGTTTAAGTACTCACATACTCTCAATTGCCCTGCCTGTTCTGTTTAAGTACTCACATACTCTCAATAGCCCTGACTGTTCTGTTTAAGTACTCACATACTCTCAATTGCCCTGCCTGTTCTGTTTAAGTACTCACATACTCTCAATAGCCCTGCCTATTCTGTTTAAGTACTCACATACTCTCAATAGCCCTGCCTATTCTGTTTAAGTACTCACATACTCTCAATAGCCCTGCCTATTCTGTTTAAGTACTCACATACTCTCAATTGCCCTGCCTGTTCTGTTTAAGTACTCACATACTCTCAATAGCCCTGACTGTTCTGTTTAAGTACTCACATACTCTCAATAGCCCTGACTGTTCTGTTTAAGTACTCACATACTCTCAATAGCCCTGACTGTTCTGTTTAAGTACTCACATACTCTCAATTGCCCTGACTGTTCTGTTTAAGTACTCGCATACTCTCAATAGCCCTGACTGTTCTGTTTAAGTACTAACATACTCTCAATTGCCCTGACTGTTCTGTTTAAGTACTCACATACTCTCAATAGCCCTGACTGTTCTGTTTCAGTACTCACATACTCTATACTCTCAATAGCCCTGACTGTTCTGTTTAAGTACTCACATACTCTCAATAGCCCTGACTGTTCTGTTTAAGTACTCACATACTCTCAATTGCCCTGCCTGTTCTGTTTAACTACTCACATACTCTCAATTGCCCTGCCTGTTCTGTTTAAGTACTCACATACTCTCAATTGCCCTGCCTGTTCTGTTTAAGGACTCACATACTCTCAATAGCCCTGCCTGTTCTGTTTAAGGACTCACATACTCTCAATTGCCCTGCCTGTTCTGTTTAAGTACTCACATACTCTCAATTGCCCTGACTGTTCTGTTTAAGTACTCACATACTCTCAATAGCCCTGACTATTCTGTTTAAGTACTCACATACTCTCAATTGCCCTGCCTATTCTGTTTAAGTACTCACATACTCTCAATTGCCCTGACTGTTCTGTTTAAGTACTCACATACTCTCAATAGCCCTGACTATTCTGTTTAAGTACTCACATACTCTCAATTGCCCTGCCTGTTCTGTTTAAGTACTCACATACTCTCAATAGCCCTGACTGTTCTGTTTCAGTACTCGCACACTCTCAATTGCCCTGCCTGTTCTGTTTAAGTACTCGCACACTCTCAATTGCCCTGCCTGTTCTGTTTAAGTACTCGCACACTCTCAATTGCCCTGACTGTTCTGTTTCAGTACTCGCACACTCTCAATAGCCCTGACTGTTCTGTTTAAGTACTCACATACTCTCAATTGCCCTGACTGTTCTGTTTAACTGTCTCATTTTGAGTTTCTCCTGAATTTTAATCAGTACTGATATTATGAGCTTTTTTCATATAAAGATCAACCTGGAAAATCTCTCAGTGATATTTTCACTCTTGGACGTTTCTTAACCCAAATGGATATGTATAAATGATTCTGATTGGTTTAGGTGAATAATGATATTTTCAATACAAGTTAGGTTTTTGGAAAATTTTGTTAGATATTTCTTCTAAATGCCTACCCCTATCTGGGGAAGAGGACTTTTTATTATAGTTTGGACATGTAATGGACGTGATAAATATTGTGAGAAAGTGTCTTCTACATACGGTGTTTAAACATGAGCTCTTGGTTCCAAAGATTAAATGAGTTGTTTCCCTTTGATCATATACATTCTACAGTCCATTCCAGTTAAAATACCATTTCAATGAAGTTGGTTGAGTAGTACAATGAAACAAAATTTCATTACACTCCATGTACGTATGTAGTTCACATGCTCATTGACTAGGAATTCAATTATATTATTAGTTTCAAAGGATATGTGGAAGACTAGGAACTGGCTACTTGCCCCAAGATTTTTTTTTCGTAAAACAGCTCAGATAGATACTTATACTTGCTTATCCCTTTGTTTGAAATTAGAATCAGACATATCTATCTGATATATATAGCGCACAAGGGGTCTTATTGTGGGAGGAAACAGGAATACCTGTGGAAAACCCATGTGGTCGGGCAGGTGACCCCTTACCTTTTCTTATCTATCTGAACAAAAGTGAAATGTTCAATTTCATTATCATTTTTTATATTCTAGAAATAAAAAGCCCGGGATAAGGTGGTGGGTGTTATTTTTCAATTAGTCAAGCAGGGAATATAATTTCTCCTATTTTATTGTTTACTACTTTGGTGTTGTGTATTTGAACGATCATGTCTATGATATTACGATATAAATATATATATATGGATACTATCTATAAAAACGGAACCAAGATCACATTAACCAATGCCCTGTAATACACTTTGGAACTGAATCATAAAACTGTTTTCCCCGCTTAGAGGCATATTAATGACAGACATATAATATATGTTTTAATTCATAAATAGAATTGTCCTATTGAAATAGATAAAAGCAAATATCAGTAATAGAATGCCTTACTGAATGTCTGGTAGAGTAACTACATAGTACTTATACACATATACAATGGATATGAAACGTAAAACGATATTTGGGTAGAAAAAAAATGTACTCTGAAAAGGTATTGTAGATTAGATGTAGTTCCAGTTAAATTCTATAAGACGCGTCTATAATTAAATTCAATACTGACATAATCGATTTCATACATAACAGTTAATCAGAATGGAGGCTAATCAGAACCCTTCATAGTTAATTTTTTGTCTGAAATTCGGCATTATCTTTTACTTTTAAAAATACTGACTCGGACAATAAATACGAAAAATTATTTATCAATATTATTGATTAACATTGAATACCATCACATAAATTATGTATTTTAGATGCATCACCTGGAGTCACATTAGTTGGCATGGCAACAGCTCCAGACTGGCCAGGTATGGCTACTGCAACTGCACCCTCACTATTTGGACTGTCTTGGTCACTAGGATTGCCTATCGGCTGTAGAGACTCCATTAACTGCCGTATCCCCTCAACACTTTCTGGATTTACGTTAAAGCCTGATAATTATAAATGTGAAAATTGAAATGAAGTTTTCAGAAAAAAAAACTTTCAGTCTTTAAATTACATTTGTCTTCACTTGTAAATGCCAATACTCAAGATAAATTATAAATACGATAGAAAGTGGTCTTTTAAACAAACACAGTTTTAATTTTTACTATGCAGCTACTGTACTAGAGAAAAGTAGAGCCAATGAGCCTTCACGATAATACGACTTTTATAATATTTAAAACCAAAAAACATTGAAAAAGACAATATTAATATGATGTTGTGCTAAATTTGTCAGTTGATTATCGAAAAACTGATGGCAAAAAATAAAAGGCTTGTCTCTGTAAATGAATTGACAAATTCGTGGCCTTCTTTGGACCTTTGTGTAAAAGGCAATTCACGAACAATGACATTTTTGTGAAAGGCAATTCATGAATAATGACCTTTGTCAAAATCCAATAATAAAAATAATGTCATATTGATAGATATTAAGTTTTATTCCGATAGAGGATTGTACAAAAGACGAGTGAATAGCAATTCTATATACAATGTTACTGAATTGTTAACGATTGTTTCCTGGTTGTCATCTGTAGTCATTTCCAGGCCGTGTATTCAGCTCTGAGAATAATTTGTTTTCCTCCATTTTGCTAGTATGATATTTTTTTATAGATTTGTTTTACCCTTTCAGAAGTCTTAAAAGTTGATTTTTATTGCCTTTAGAAACATTGTCCGTTAATTATATACTTTTATAACGATTCGATTTCATCAATGATATTTAACCATTGATACTATTTCAGTTGGCATTCATGAGCGATGTGAATGCCAACAGAATAAGGGCAAATTACACGAAGTAAGTCATTGCTTCCTATGAATTATGCCTCTATCTGATAAAAGTAGTGCGATATTTGTCGTTTTTGATATTCATTTAGAGGAAACCTCGATTTGTTTACATTATCTCCTATATTCCCATGTCGTTAGTATTTGTACCAGGGGACATACCCCCTACCTCCCCTCCCCCACCTCTGGCTGCTAATGAGATGGTGATATAAAATTTTTGTAATTTCATAATTAATGAAATATAGAGTGATATATCGTATGTTATGAAATTGTAACTAATATAACTGTAAATGTAACATATTTACCCATCCTGATGTTAGTATCACCTGTGTCTTCACTCTGTTCATCTGTAGACGACTGTAAGTATATGTAACACACATATAAGAACTTGTGACGATCATTGTATCCGACAATGAAAAAAAAGATCAAAACAAAACCATATGACTGATATAATACTTGAGTTTGAGAACAGTAGACAAAGTTACTACGATGTCATTTTATTTGATGTTAAGGCTTGTGTAATGCAACATGGTTTTTCTTACGAGCATTCCCACAAGTTTATCAAAGTTACACCGACCTCGGCAATCACACATTCAGATGATTGGTTTTAAAAAAAATTCTTAAACATAAACTAGAAGTGACAGAAGATTAAAAATAACATACTTGTTGATTTCTCTTTTGTGGTCCTGGGTTAGGTTCAATTCCTTGTGCCATCAACAGTAGTTCAATAAATGGAACAGCCCCATCTCTGTTCATCTTGTTACATGTCAAGGCTCCCCGGACACTGGCGATAGCTTTGTACAGGTATCCAATGTTTGTTAATATACCATTCACTGGTCGAGGCACAAATAAGCCTACCCGTGCACGGTACACTGCCAAATCGACACCCATCGTCGCTTTAAAACAGGGTTCAAGCTCAGTTTATTCCAAGTGTAGCATAGCATATAGAATATACAACAAAAAATATATACATAATAACATCCATGTTTACAAGATGGCGGAAGACACATACTGAATCAAATGTATATATATTATCAACAACACTGATAAAAGTAATTGTTGACACAATAACAGTGTACGATACAACAATGTGATAACAAACATTCGGAATTGATATTCATTTTCGACGAGGCATACTCAATTATTTTCATAAGTTTCTCAAGGTTTTACATTTTTACTAGCAGATAATTTAGTTAACTTGTATAGAGGGGCGGCAGTAAATATACGTCTTAATATTAGATATTCTCAATTTTGATTAAACGGAACATAATATTATTAAGTGAGTTTCGTCATCCCTTTCTCTTCTACACTATCATGCAATTAGCACTACCTTTGGGTTCTAGGTATAGCATGGTTTCTACAAGTTTCCACACACATATTAGGAGCTTTTTTCATAAACTGAGTAATAATATTATAAAATTTGAAACTCAAAGTCAAAGACAAAACTGCGGTTCAAATATATTAACGTGTTTATAAAGCATACACTTAGAAGAGTTTACAAACTATTTCTTATCTCTTGGATAAAAACATCACGTCGTCATGGATGCATAAAGACAACAAACATAATGTTATTACACTTATTCAGGCCAAATTACTTCATCGTCTATGACAAACTAAATCGAAGCCTGCTATGAAAAGGTCAACACTTTTTTGCAATGCTTGAAGAGTCTTAATCTTATCCGACGTGATAGTATGGTCTAGATTACACAAAGAAGGAGTGTTATTTAATCGTTTGGCCAACAGCGGTTGTCAATTTAAGTTATAAGTGGCTAACCCTAACCTTTGGACCCTATCTATTATATTAAAGTATACGTATCTGCCTTGATTTCGAGAAAAATGGTGCTTATCTAATAATGATAGCATTTACGGTTCCAGATTTAACTTACCCTTTCTATCTCTCAGTTCCTCTTCTTATAAAACTTAACATGTTTAGTGGCCGTCCGTATTCAAAATGGCGTAACGTACCCTGATGAAAATATCCAGGCTGTTCTGAATTACGGGAATTCCCGGTACTTTCACTTTCGATTTCAAATGTACATCCGTCTACAGTAATACAAAAAAAAGGCGGAAAGGGGGTTTAATAGTAACTCTATCTCTACTTACAACCACCATGGTGTCGTTTACTTCCTTAATAACAAGGTAACAGATGTTTAAAACAGTAAACAAAATATTTACAAACTTTGAGATAGTTGATGTTATACGTGCAAAGGATACACTGGGTATTGTGTGTTGGTTTGAGCGTTGTAATCTATCACGTTATCATAAACAAGTGATTCGGTTAATTCCTTTATTTCTATTTTACCAAAGGTCAGTTAATCTTGTTTGCATGTTTTTTTTTTTTTTTTTAGAGAGCGTTCCTCTCGAAATTCTGCCGTATTAAGAAGAACAAAATTTCGAGAGGAACGTTTTCTACAAAAAAAACCCAAAACACGTGCAAATAAGATTAATTAAACCGCCCCCCCTCCCCACCACTTTAAACTTTAACAACAAAAAACCTCACATCTTTATTCTAAGTCTATACAGAGTACATACCAAGCAACAAACTCCCCAATAATTTGAACTAAAAGAATACTTGTTGTTCAGCTTATAACCTTGCCTTTTTTCCTTTACAAGCTTCTTGAAAGAAGATAATCAGTTTACATTTCAGAGCCAAAAGCATGTTATATAAAGTCATATTTGTGAAATGTGATATTGAAAGTAAGAGTGATATACAACACAGACACAGAAAATAACACTCAATATTTAGTCGTTTATAGTAAAATGTAATTGCTTCTAAATCTACCTTTCCATTCAGCTTATGTAGAGATCACAATGTTACCTTGTACAGTCGAATAAAACGTTTTGGTCCCGACCATCTTCGAATGACGAAGCAGCTGTATGATATAATTTATATCACTGTTTGATTCTACTATATCTCATTCTATACTTAAAAGATCAACTTTACCAATAATTTGATATTTTACGCTGTATTAGCTGAGAGTGTATTTAATTCTAAGAACAAGCATGTTTTCAGTTTGAATTATTATATTATCACTATATTATTTATCAAAAAATATCATTCAGTTTATCATTTCTCTTTGACACTGGGGTCAGCTATCAATGTGTCACATCCGGTGGCCTGTTAACATCATATTCATTTATTAATGTTAAAAATCAAACAAAAACAAGACCTGATTGTTGTTGTCTTTGTAGCAGTGATTTGACAATAAACACGATATTACAGGGTCATTCTGTGTTAAGTCGATGTTGAACTCGGTGTTTCTTTCTTTCTTAGTATGTAAACAATGCCGCTTTGATCATAGGTATGTTCCTCACCTTTGACAAACTCAAAAAAAAGATGTCAAAACTCCGCGCTCCTGTATAAAATGTCCAGTCTGGTCTTCCCGATCACCACTCCGGCCAAGATCAGGTTGTCCAGTGTTCTCCTGTCACCTGGAACCAAGGTAAGTAAGGGGTGATTTTAGTTTCTTTAACGTACAATTAACATCTTTGAGAAAATCAATTTCTGTTCAATTTTTTTTACCATTTTCATATAACCATTAGATAAATAAAACGTATTCAAAAGGATTTTTGTCTTGGATAAAAAGAAACCATAGACAATAGATATATATATCGGTATGTTATTATCATCTGGTTGTAGTATGTGTATACTTTTAAATGACGTGTAACAGTGATAAACATAGATAAGTTTATGTTTATACGGGTATAAAAAAAATCAGAATACGGGTACAGTTGAAACCCGTTGTCTCGAAATCGCTTGAGTCGAAATTCCGTTTAAGTCGAAATGATTTTCAAGCCCCGATTTTTTTGTCTTCTATATCTTTGTAATTTTAGTTCGGATGATTCGAATTTCATTGAGTCGAAATTTCGGTTGAGTCGAAGTGATTTTTTCAGTCCCTTCAATTGTAGAGCTAGAGAAAACTCACTCGTTGTATATTGTGAACCATGAAAAATGTTCAGGTTGTCAATCATCCCGATCCGGGCTGTGATACGATTATCTTACATAATTCCATCATTTAACAGGTTTTTTTTGTTTCAGATGAATGCCTTTCTACATGCATCAGTTGCCACAATTCTCCTGGTCGCTATTGTAAACGCTGGTATGCTATATCTTGCATCATCATAGGAGATATGTTAATAGATATAAATGGCAGGCTTTACATATAGCATAGGCTTAAGTGAAAATATATCTCACTTTAAAACTGAGTCCTGTTAGTAAAACATATCTATCTTTTCATTTAAACACTGTAGCTGGGATCATTTAAAGAAAAGAAATCTCAGAGCCATTTTTCTCTGTAGTAGCTGAAAATCTTTCGTAAATGATATTTACATGGGAATCGGGGTCGAACTGAATTACTTAAAAGTAAATAACCACATCATTGATTTCGTTGTATAGGCGCTTTAACACGGATATTTTAGGACATATAAATTAAAATCTCAAGCGTTTTCATATCTATATGAATGGCATATGACTAGTAACGTGAAAAAAACATAACTGCAAATGTTGCTTCAGACAACTAACTTATTCGCGAAAAAATTCTAGAAAATCGTCAAACTTATTTTCGCGATTTTATTCCATATTTTGTTTTGTACTAAAAAAAACCTCTGTTCATTGTTCTTAATATATTTGTCACACACAGCATGAAATATCACCGTAAACGACAACAAAAATACAGTTTCAGTGATCGTATCGTTGGTGGTAATTTAGCATTTCAGCCACACAAAAATATTGTATAAGGAATATGTTAAATGTAGAATTCCACAAATTCAGATAATATTGCTTTTTTACATATAGATACGTTGATTATTACCGGTTGTATTATTCAAATTTTCTTTAACATTAACATAGAAAAAAAGTATTATCAACTCCACACCAGGCAATTATCAACGAAATTTAAATACTGGTACTGGAATTATTCTTTACTGGAATTAACGACATCATTAACTAAAACTAACATGTGACAATGCGAATATCTACGACAATATTGATCAAGAATTAACAATGACAATACAAGCGTCTACGATACCATTATTTTAAAAAAACCATCGAGAGAGACTAGTATTTAATACCGGATCGCCATTGTGATGTACAATATCAAGTTACATATTTCTGACGCGCATTAATATGCCTAGCACTTACTTTGCTATTTACCCTGTTCGCTTTTTGGAAACGTTACATTACTTAGATAGATCTGAATTTACATTGTCTTGTCTTTACAGTAGATATAATTTGTACTAATATATTTTCCCCATATTGTCTACGTGTACACGATGATGTAAACTATCCTGAACGATTTTCTTTGTTTCATCGATTTTGAAATTGATTAAAGATTGTGAAAACAATTCTGTTATCACGTCCTTTTATTTTGTTAAAGGCGGCAAGGGAGGAGGCCATGGAGGCTGGGATGATTACGGACCGAGAGGATATGATATGGATGGAATAGGCAGTGGATATGGTGGATGGGGAGGCAATTACGGCGGAATGGGTAGATATGGTGGATGGGGAGGCAATTACGGCGGAATGGGTAGATATGGTGGATGGGGAGGCAATTACGGCGGAATGGGTAGATATGGTGGATGGGGAGGCAATTACGGCGGAATGGGCAGATATGGTGGATGGGGAGGCAATTACGGCGGAATGGGCAGATATGGTGGATACGGCGGCATGGGCGGTGGATATGGTGGATACGGCGGCATGGGCGGTGGATATGGTGGATACGGCGGCATGGGCGGTGGATATGGTGGATACGGCGGCATGGGAAGCGGATATGGTGGATGGGGAGGCAATAACGGTGGAATGGGCGGTATGTGGAGAGGCAACTTCGGCGGAATGGGAAGTGGATGGGGAGGCAATTACGGTGGAATGGGCAGAGGATGGGGAGGCAATTACGGCGGAATGGGCGGTATGTGGAGAGGCAATTACGGTGGAATGGGAAGTGGATGGGGAGGCAATTACGGAGGAATGGGCAGTGGATTCGGTGGCATCGGCGGAATTCGTGTGATAGGAGGTGGAATGAGAAGCGGAATAGGAGGAAGCAAAGGAAAAGGTAAGTGAAACATTTAAAAATAATTTTGTGATTTAGCTACTCACCAATGCGCAGCCATTAGAATTTATCATCCTCAAGATGTAATCGGCTTTCAAATGCACAGCTAAATGAATCTAAAGGTTACGTTGCAACGATCAAATATTACGTTATAAGGTGATACCATTTCACAAAATTTTATCAAATAATCACAGCTAAACTGGCCGAACTACCGGCATGGTACACATCTTGATTTGATTGCGTCATCTAGACACTTATTGTATAGTTAAACTACTAGAAGACCACAATATCAGAATCAAATTAAATTATATTTTCTATTTCTAGTCTGGTAACAAATAGAGTATTATTAGAATTATTTAATTGTAGAGAGAGAGAGAGAGAGAGAGAGAGAGAGAGAGAGAGAGAGAGAGAGAGGAGAGAGAGGGAGAGAGAGAGAGAGAGAGAGAGAGAGAGAGAGAGAGAGAGAGAGAGAGAGAGAGAGAGAGAGAGAGAGAGAGGGAGAGAGAGAGAGAGACAGAGAGACAGAGAGAGAGAGAGAGAGAGAGAGAGAGAGAGAGAGAGAGAGAGAGAGAGAGAGAGAGAGAGAGAGAGAGAGAGAGAGAGAGAGAGAGAGAGAGAGAGAGAGAGAGAGAGAGAGAGAGAGAGAGAGAGAGAGAGAGAGAGAGAGAGAGAGAGAGAGAGAGAGAGAGAGAGAGAGAGAGAGAGAGAGAGAGAGAGAGAGAGAGAGAGAGAGAGAGAGAGACAGACAGACAGACAGACAGACAGAGAGAGAGAGAGAGAGAGAGAGAGAGAGAGAGAGAGAGAGAGAGAGAGAGAGAGAGAGAGAGAGAGAGAGAGAGAGAGAGAGAGAGAGAGAGAGAGAGAGAGAGAGAGAGAGAGAGAGAGAGAGAGAGAGAGAGAGAGAGAGAGAGAGAGAGAGAGAGAGAGAGACAGAGAGAGAGAGAGAGGGTAGGGGATGGGGGTAGGAGGGTGGGGGATGGGGGTAGGAGAGAGAGTTAATCGTATTTTTGTTTCTTCAAAATATCCTTCTAAAATGTATTAATTTGCTTAACCAAATGATCATCTACAATTTAAAACGAAAGTGCTTATATACTGATCAGCAAAGAAAATGAAAGACAACGCAATATATTATGAACAGAGTGGACATTTGGAGATTTTATGCTGGTTTTCTCTGCTGTAGACAAATAAACTTATGTGTTTGTCGGTTTAATATGGAATTGTAATTAGATTGTAATCTTTAATTGCAGGTAGTTATTAAGGTGTTGATGACGTCATATAAATACAGGATACAACCGCAATGTTACGGCAACAGTGCAAGTATTTAATTTTTATATAATTCATTACAATAAACCATTTTTTTAATGAAAATAAACAAATTTTGAGTTTATCTGTTAACAATGAGAATGTGACCGAAGAAGACGAACAAACTGACAAAGATTTAAAAAAAAGCAAGACAATACATATGTGTCAAAGGAATGACAAAGAAAGCTGAAAGAAACATCGAGAAAATACCAACATGTCAACATGATCGTAACCCAAACTCAAAATCAATAAAACTCGGGCAAAATACGAACAAAAGAAAGATTTACACGGACACTTCTGAAAAAATTCAAAGAGAGAATAAGACAATATGTCCCGGAAGAGTAAGCGTCTTCTGCTTCATCAACGACACCCACCATGTAAATTTTCGTCAACCCAAGTAAATAATACCGGGTTCTCAAATGAGAACAAGGCATATAACAACGAAACTAACGCGCAAACTTAAGAGCATCAAACACGTCCAGCTTCTCATCGTACAAAGAAACTGAATATTTCTCATCGAGATCACCAAGACGTCCATAAGACTTCTCCATATTTTTCATCAACCTGCATAAGGAGACAAGATGTTCCGGAGAACGATACCAGCCAAGTAACTGCAATGTCAAGTATTGTCATGTATTGTCATATCTTCATCAACTTGCATCTTTCGAAACCCGGTGTTGTTTCTTTTTATGTAAGTTGTAGACGTCTGTCTTGCATATCGTGACACGTGTTGGAAGCAAAAAACTAAAATGTCAAGTCAACTGTGATATTTTAACACCATAAGTTGGAGAAGCAATGTTGTTACCATCTACAAAACGGGGGGAAATGAAATTTTGATATCATCACGCTTGGTGAAAAGAATAAATAAAGATCGAAGTAAAAGGCTGATTTTAACTTAAGGTATATTATTGATATATCTAAACGTGACTTTAATGTAATTGTAGCAATTGGCTATGACTTTCTTGACCGTTCTCATAAGCCATTTGATAAATTCGGCTTTGTATGGAATAATGATGAAAAACATTGGACATGAGTTGGAATACTTAGTTCTCACGAGTAAGTGAAATCTTCCACAAACTCCATTAAAATATTGTCCAAAAATATTCAAAATATTCAAATTATTCTCAAACTTTTATTCTCGGTGTACTTCACCTTGGTTTTAGACGTCAACATGAGTTTTTCATTTTCTCTAAATCTTAAAATCCAACTTCTACAATAATGAATATATATATGTGTGTATGGGGCACCAAAACTTACACTACCTTTCTCGATCATAGTATATATCTTTGAATTTGTGTTATGTTCTAAGTATGTTATGTCATTTATGTAATATTTGTGTCTTGACAACGGGGCAGGTTGCCTCAAAAATTTTATAATTCACATGTCCGTACTGTCGTTATTAATTCAATGATCATATATCTTATTCCAGTAATATGCATCCATCGAACATTTGTTCGTTAGGATTCAGTACCAATATCGGACCATACCGTCGATATTAGATTTATATTTTATATACATGTATATGACATCAAAATATTAAACATATATGTAAGGATTTCAAATTCATCTAATATGATGTAAATATACGCCAAATTTAATAAGTTTGGTAACTAAACTTTCTACAAAACGAAGTTAAACGTTGACGTCAGCGCCAAACGAAAAGTAACGTCCTTGATTCTCTTCTAATAGCTTGTAGAGTCGAGAGGAAAATGAATGCACTTTTTTTTTTTTTTTTTTTTAAATCCACATATGTCCAAATATTTTCTGAATATGTATCCATGCTGTACTTATGTTATATAAACAACACAGAGATGAATTTATTATAGAAATATTTATTATATTTCATATTATCATAACACGTGACTATAACATAGTTTCCCTACTTCTGAAACTTATACTAGTGTCTATATTACATGACAACCGGCACTGACTCGTGTAAGAATAGGCTGAAAAAAAACCCTTAATGATCTCTTTGCGGCACCAAATCTGTCGAACTGGTGTCAATGAACCACTTCATTATTGACTGAAAAGGAGATTTAGCAACATGTAAAACGAAATTAGTGAAACTTATGGCCATAGGATACTGGGTAATTCAAAACTAGATTATATACATTTTTTTCATTTTTTAATATGAAGTCGTTGAATCTATTTTTACATTCACAGTATTTCAACTATTTAGCCTGCAATTTAGATATGAATATTAGTGTAAACAACAAACAGATGTTAAATACGTTGTTAGCAATAATGAAGATCAGTGTAAATATTAATGATGTACTTAGAATTTAAGTTATGAATGTTAGCACATCAATTAAGGCATATTTTAATTGATATCAAACAAAACATTGTAAACAGAGTCTCTTCCTTCTATTATGGCTGTTTTCGACGGACATAACCAGCCATACCCTTAAGTCCGAACAAGTCCTCTTATTACCCCAGTCTCAGAAACAATTGACACAAAGAATCAAAATTTAACAACAAAGAACAATGTGTTAATGAGAAATAAAATTAAAACCCTGATTAAATGATTATATATTAACACCGAGTGAAGTGTAAAGAAGTGCATAAAATTTCAAATATAATTAACAAAGGTATTGTGAACAAAATAGTTCAGACTAGTGAACGAGATAAAAAAAAGAATTAAAATTACGTAGAAATATAATTTGATAGAAAAGAAAACTATGGAATCAGAAATGATTAATAATATTAACAAAATTATATCTCACACCACAATCTCGTACGACGCTGTAAAACACTACAAAAATACACAACTAGGAGTTTGGACCTTGGCCCAGCAGTACATACCTATTTAATGCTAGTGAAAACACTAAGTCAACTTTTAAATGAATTGATTAATACCAGATGCCGATAAACCGAATGTCCAGACGGTCAGTTTTATACATGTCATTAACAGGACAATTTTTATAATAACATTATTTCTGATGCTACATCTAGTAGGTAATCAAACGGTGAGTGTAAGACTGCCTTAGCCACAAGTTCAACCTGATACATACTAACTTTTCTAGAACAGGTCACATTTCCCACAGATGTATCTATGTCGGGGTAGGTTTTTTTTTCAATAAAAGATAAAATAATCCCCGAAGTTTGAAAAGTGTTGAAAATATTATATGAACAAAAATTACACGACAAAACATTAATTGTACTTTGTATATTAAGTACCCTCCGCACGCGCCCGTATTCCAAAAACATTAAAATATCCCGAAACCGCTTCCAACAATACATGTACTTATATTACAGTATGTTTACACATAGTTTTAATTGTTATAAAATCGTACTATGACGACTACAACAATATCAAACTTAAATATTTGAAATATTGTGAGAATCACACTTGATATACACTTCAGTATAAAGTTGGAGACAAGGCTAATCATAAAGTTATTGTATATCACTCACTGCCTAATTAAATGACCCAGTGTGTTTTGATGCCAAATTTTACAACAGCCAGAAAAAAAATAATGTGTTACCTACATCATATCAACGACATTAGCCATCAGTTTAAAGGCCATTTGGCAGCATCGGGGTTTCATAGCATTGCTAACTCTGTATTTTCCCTTAAAGTACACTCATTCAGCACTTTTTGCTGGAGTTGGAGCTTTCTTAACATCGTTTTAAAAACTCAACTTTTATATTCAATTGAAATTATCCTAAATTCATTGAAGTTTTATATAATATACAAGTTTTAAACATCATAGTAATCTATATTTAGTAGTAATCCTCAAAGGGCATGTTTCCGTGTCTGTTGTGTTGATGAGTAACGCCATAAACCTTGTCTCTCTGTAGATGTCCAAATACGGAATAAACTGGCTTTCTGTATTGTGACGTCATGAAGTTTGAGAACGGGTACAGATTTTCTTCACGGGGAAGTGAGAGACGGTTGATACCACGTGCTCGCGTGGCCTCAGTTGGAGGTCTGCCCTGGGTGAGGTATTTAGGAGATACTGGCCAGTCTTTGCCATCCTTAGACCACCGACTGATAGCAGAGGTACCAACATTGTACTGCCATGGCTGGCTACAGGGCTCGTGTCTATCTGAGCGTTTGGGCAGCTCCCGACGCTGGAGTGTTGGGTACCCGTTGTCGTACCATTTGTCGGTCCAATGCTGGGGAAACAACGGTTTATGAATAATTAATATCACAATTTACGTAACACATCCACAAAGTTATGGGACTTGTATATTCACTTAACCTTCATTATCAATATTTAAAAAAATATATATTAATTAGCAGTAACAGATAAATTCTTTAAAAGATCCAACATGTCGGCCAAAAATTCTTAACGTAAACTATCGCTTCACAAGGTAGTAAAGTATCTCTATAACATGCATGTAATCTCAATATAAAGCCACGTAAGTATTGTCACGAAACAATATATATATTGCTGTGATATATTTATCACATCGACGTTCACGTTATCACAACTATTTGACACTTTCAACTTGAGAAGTTCCGAGTTTCCGGTCCACACATGACATACAACCTGTAAAGACATAAGATACACCATACCTGGTAAGAAACTCTCTCCCTCTTCAGTGTAGTGTATTTGTCTGGACTCTCCCTCCTACAAAAGACGTATCACACGTTAGGACTGAAGGCATTACAAGTACAAGGTATTATGTATCTCTAGAAATAAGATAGGTTAGACTGAGCTAATAGTAAATAAAGTGTACTATCAATAGTTTACATCCTTAGGGGAAAGGTCATTTATCATCAGATACGTGACCTTTCAATAAAATCAATATAATCATCATCGACACAGTAGAATTAAATCGGAAGAATCTTACTTGTAACATGAAGACTTTACGCATACGTGAAACTCTTACCTAAGATCACTGACACGTGCAAGAGATAAACATATATATAGTTCAGCTATAGAAGGAACATTCCAAATAAGGTAATAAATATAAGAACGCGTTTTTATTTTCGTAACCTTAGCATCAACACTTCTCTAAAACGTGGGAGTCGGCAAAATAACTTTAAATTCTAGGATGGCAAGGAATGGAGTCATGTATGACATGCCAAGTTGTCGTTTATTCCTGAAGCAATATTGGTCATCTCCTTAAGCAAATTTATCTGATTTATTTGACAAAGAAATCCATTTACGGAAATAGTATATATTTTTTTACAAATTAGACGTGGCATTTACTCGTGTATCATTTAGTACATCTCATTAACTAACAAATATGTTTATCAAGAAATAAGAAATCTCATAAACAAACAAGATTTTTTTGTATTGAATTCAATATTTTCTTGAATAAATTAGATGTTTTATTTAGTATGTACCGGATCGACATGTCTCGATGAATAAATGAAAACTTGACTAGAACTAAAGGGGAGGGGATAGCTGGAATATTTGTATCGTTGGAGGGAAGTTTGACTAAGCAAATGGGAGATTTATGATGGACGAGTTTCCCAGAAATTTAAGAGTGACGTCCGATGCACGAGACAAACCGGAATCCAGAGGAAGGGTGTGGAAGCCAGCCACCGGTGCATAGAAAGTAGGCAATAACATTATGTGACACATTATTGTAACCCTGGTTAAGTACTAGTCGCAATCAGCTTAGTAAGCCAGGGGTCCCAGGTTCGATTCCCAGCGGAGTCATTGAAATTAATAATGACCTCTGACATAATGGCATTTGGCGCCCATGTAGGGATATTACCAGAAAACAATTTTTTTTTTTGAAAACAATTTCATGTACCTGTTTACATTATTATAGGTGATTTAACTTCATATTCCACCAGAATGACCGGTATAACCTATACATATGATAGGTCAAAATACTTCATGCTACATTTAAAGTTAATATTATGGATTCTTGCTACGGGTAGGAAAAACTTGATCTGACGTGCTTTAGATAACACACTATTCTTTAAAACTTCACTACAACCATATGTTCAACCACTCGATAAGAAATCTTTCCAAACATTAAAAGAAGAAAACATTGTGATGTACTAAGGATATATACATATTTCACTACATGACGTCAGCATCCAGTATTAATGTAACGCCCACAAAATCCTCAGTGGAATTTCACATGAAACTTCTGCTAAGTATCATAATTCCATTCCACATTACGACAAAGCTTGCCTTACTGTGTGATTTACAAGCTGGACAGACAAAGCTTGCTGAGAATAAGTAATAAAGCTTGCAAATAGATTCAACACTGAGTGTGTACAACCTGAGTTGTTTTAAATCTTATTATTTTTCAATGGATTTGATATTGATTACATAACATGTAAATGTCTACCAGATGCCATTTTCCATTTCCATAATCGGGATGAAGCATTTCAAGGAAGACAAGATGATTATTTGTATCTCAAGTAAGTTCATTAATAAAACAATGCTGATGTCTCGCACGTATTCGCGGACGTCACTGTGTATGCTCACCTGTATCGCTCTAAGTGAATCGATCTATTCTTAACGAAAGTATTCTGAATCCAATTATGTGCGCGTGTAGCACATATCATACATAGGCATAACGTATTCTTATCCGTTACAGATATGCATATCTAATGATATATACACAGTTTACATGTATGTATTTGGTATTTAGAAAGAACATCGTCACACGATTAAACATTTTTTACTGACCTGAACATTTCTTGTGAGCTTGGGTACCTTGGAACGGTGGGTGGATAGTTGACATGGTAGGGGGCTTTAGCCTGATGGCCGTTGAAAAACAAAGTATCTCCCATTTCTTTCCGGTGTATATAATTATTTCTCTTAGTCCAGTTGCCACCCCTGTTTGTGTCGCTTACAACGTTAAAAACAGCAGGTGCCCGTTATAGGTGGACGGTTAATTGTACGATTTCTACCCGTTATAGCTTATATGTATTAGTTTTTTTTGATAAATGTTTCTATATACGTAAATGAAAACTATAGTAGTAAGCTTATGTGTAATCTTCGAAAAATCACAGATGATGCACACTTGTCGAACGGTAACCAAGGATCAATTTACTAACGTTGCTAAGGGAAACAGACACATCCTATTATCCGTCTCTCGTCATTGCTAACACAGAGCGATGTGTCAACAGTGGACCATCATGAAAAGATAATCAATAAAACATAAATAAAACACTAAAACAAGAAAAGTTTACATATAATTATGCTATATTGGCATTAATCGTTGAAGACCGACTTCGTTATTGTGGTGTAGGGTATAAGCGGCCTCCTGTGTACCCGTGAAGATGGCTTCCACTGCCCAGTTTTTGTCTATACCAGCTAGTCAACCTAAGCTATGGTAAGTCTGTTCATCTAGACACTTATATAAATACATGGTTTGATCCCTCGAGGTATTGGCCATTTAATTATTTTGCTGAATAAAAAGCATCCGTCAATTTCATATCGATAGATCAATATATCTTTACAGTAATACAAGGACAAAACAAGATACCTTCCAGTACTGAATTCATGAGTAAACACCGTAGCACTTGAAAATTTGAGTTCAGAATAATGTTCAGACAGTATGAAGTTATATTCACAATCATTTACTCTACACTACATGTTACTGTAAAATGTGCAAAATTTGAATTATGTGATTGAGAGGAAGATAAATGAATAAACGGCGGGACTTGGAAGGCGAGTTCCTGGTTATTTTCCCTTTCCAATGAAAATGCATCGTAGCTCGTATTTTTCATATATTCACGAAATTACAAGCTTTCCATTATAAATGAGAAGTAACCCTGAGTATGAGTAATATTCTTGGAATTAAATTTTACCCACAATACCTTGTCCATGGCTACCTATTAATGTCAGGTATAAGCATGCAGAGTTTTAGCTTTCATTTGATTGATCGAGATCAGATGGCTTTATCTAAAACGAAGGAGAACCCCCTTGGGGTCCAGTTCCACTAGCACTGTTAATACAAAATTGGGTCTCCTAAATTCATGACTGGTAGCAGTTTGGTATAAAGCTCACAACTCTTTTGGACCATGTAAGCTTAAAACATTAACTCTTTGATTAAGCGTATTTGTCAGAGAGATTGAAATAATTAATGTGATTGTCATCTTACAGAAGAACAGTATAATTTCTTTTGATTATTTGAATTTAATCACTTTTAAAACACATATTTGTCTGTGTTTACACAATGACATCTTAATTTAATTGACTTGGTATATCAAGGATACTAGCTCTAAATAAAAGAACTTTTTCAATTTTATATGCATGTTTAGCTTAAACATAGTTTTCTGGACCCCCCCCCCCCCCATTTTTTTTACAGTTTGAAATACAATTTTAACACTGGAGATTTCCATCAACACTATATCAGTTACTCAAACTTCTTAATGGTATGGATCTGTAAAATGGAGAAAAGCTTGTATGATAATATGTGAAATATACATCCCTGGAAACAATGAATGATTTAATGGTAACATGGATGACCTTGTCTATTTCTGCAAACAGGCAGGCTGATCTCTATTCCTGGAAGAGGTACCACTCTAGCAGCCCAGATGTAGCACACGTAAGTCAACATTCTATATAACAATACAATAACAACTACATGGAAATGTTTACACGTTTGGCTTTCAATTTAGATAAGGTTTCGTCATCTCAGCACTGCTCTGTATAGAAAACATGTCCATTTGCACTTTTTACTTGACAAAGGAATGTCTTCCACAGTTTATAAATATTAGTCGAGTACAAAACAAATTTTAACTGTATTTTTCCTATTGACATTTGTTTCTGTTTATCTATCATATTTGACAAGCTTTTCATTCACTCCCAGTAAACAAATAATAATTCTGTGACCTGTTAACAGAAAGGCTGGCAGAAATGGGGTGGACCTCATCCTGACTGGTACGCAAAGAAATCTTCCTCACAGCACCCGGACTGGTTCAACAGGAACATCAACACCATCAGAAGATGTACGTACACACCACACATTACTATTGTTTTTACATTTGTACACCAAACTGAAGGCTGAAATAGAATTTTTCTTCATACACAAAGTTTACTCTTTATAGTGAGGTTGATACGAAAGCCTTGTTCTACATACTTCTTGAATATCAATTATACAGTAATGTAGAATATTATAATACTGTCATATTGATGAAGTATTACAAGATCAATGGAGTTAAGTGATCTTTGGTCACATGATCCATGTCCAATGTGTAAAGATAGTATTGTAATACACTTCTCTTCAGCTGCTGTCAGTAAAAATATCAGAAAGTTTAATGATGCAACAAATTGCCTAGAATTTACTAACTTGATGTAGTCATCGTCACTGTTGATAATTACATTTTTTCAAGATATTTGTATACCGCACTTGATATTCATATGTGTGAAGGTTTCATAGAGAGATTTTTTAGTTGTAGCATCACTGAGTAAAATCTGAAAGCTGTTAGCTAATTATGACTCAATATCATATATATCTATATATACATACAATTTGTTTAACAGCTGACTACAAGAAGGTTAACTGGCATTATGAACGCCCCTCAAAGCCTACAAGTCGATCACATGATGACTTCATATCCTACACAAATGAGGTGATGCAGAAGGATGTTCTACACCCTATGCCCCATAACAAGTCCTATCAGGGAAGATTCACCTTCAAACAGCCATACCCCATGGAAATTCCCATGCCTAAATGGGGCCTGTATAACCCGCCTCACTATGAGGAGCCAATCAGAGTCGACCATTTCCCACCAATCAAATATGATGGATATAAATGATAGGAAAAAAAAAGCAAGAGGTTTTGACAATTATTACTCTGTGTTGTAAGGAAGCAGGTTATTTATGATCAGATATCAAAATGGCGTCTGATTTTGTCAATGTTTGCAAGTATGATATTTAATCATTGTCAACCTGCTAGCCTTTGATAGTTTTTGTTAGGTTAAGTAATCGTAAATAATGTTCAGATCATCATCTAAGTTAAATCATTCTATGGTGATTAAAATAAACAGATGAATTTATATTAGATAAAGAAACATTGTCAAAGAATAAAAATTGAAATATTTGAATGTCTGTTAATTTTCATCACAGAAATTAGGTATAACCCCTCTTCTTTTGTTTTAAAAATACTTGTTTATAACAAACATAAAAGATTTGGGAATCTCATGTCTTGCCCCTGTGATCCATAGAGGATGATTTGAACACTTTCTGATTCAATAGATAAGTACTTGTAGTAAATCCAGCACAATGAAGTTCTAATACAAAAGTATATATTGTATACGAGATATTCTCCTGTAAGACTTTAATGATTTTTCATCATAAACGTCAAAGTTTTATCTACAATAGAAAGAATTTAAGATGATAACAAATTTCTGAAATGGGTAATTAAATGTGGATATACACAAACAATGCTTACCACTCTGTTATTGATCTTTGCTATATTAGTTTTGTTGAATTGTTATACAAATGTACACGGTATAGATGCCGTGATAATTTGTAAATTTTTTGTGTTATACTTTTTTTGCAAATTATTGAGAGTTTTGTTGGATTTTTCAGCTTTGAGATTGAATGTGAAATTTGTTATATCAACACAAACTGGGCTTAAAACCATGAAAGACGAAACAAGGTTGTCATTCATCACGTTATCAAATATCTATCGTGATAATTAAATAATTTTTTTTTATATATTTTGAAACTGGTGAATAAAGGGAAATGCGGCAAAGACATTAAACACTTAGAGCTTGATGAAGAAAATACTCGTACATCAGTTTGTAATTTTCTACCCGTGATTTGTACAGTACTTGATTTCCAGTCTCTAACTAAATTGTATTGTGTTTCAACATACTAAGACTAATCCCAGTTATTGATGATAAATACTTTATATATATTTCAAGAAATTTTGCAATTTTCAGAGAAACGATTGTTACAGCTTAAGAAAACCCAGCAGTAGAAGACATGTAATACAACTAAGCTCAAATTGTATGTCAAGTGTTATATATCATAAGTTTGGAATTGCAATATTATAAGAAGCCTTTTCTTATATGACATGTTTAATCAAGGTATTTTTCTATGATATATTGTCAATGACATTAATATATTATTTCAGAAAATAATTGAATTTTTCAATCCCTTAAGCTGCTTTATGATCTTCGAAAGGATATAAGAAATCTATGTCTATTTGGATGACAATGAAAAAATAGGAAAACAAGAAAACTACATTCCCATTCATAAATATCTTTTCTACAATAAATAAAAGGTTGTACCCTATAGCCTGTTATTTGACAGGTTGTTCCTGTGTCTATAAGTAACACTAGGATGGCATTCTACCTGTATCACTTCTCTGCATTGTTTGATGTGCACCTGTTAATTCGTTTTCAATCACATCTGTCTTGTTTTCTTGTACCTAGTCTAATCATTAATATACTTTTTAAATATAGATTTATATTTTATTTCTATTAATATTTAATAATTTTATTTCTATTTGTGTGACTATCTATTCATCTTTTCCTAATTATGTTTACAATTACTATATATACTTATATAATTAAGGTATTTTTATATCTTTGTTATTTTTGCTATGTTATTCATGTAAGCCAGTAGTAACCTCTTCTCATTGTTTCAAAATTTAAAAAGTTCTGGTCCATAATTAACTGTTTTAGGTCCAAAATGAACTGTTTTAGGTCCAAAATGAACTGTTACAGGTCCAAAATAAACTGTTACAGGTCCAAAATAAACTATAAACCATATATTGATATAGAACAGAAAAAAAGAAGTTGTGACCCGTTTTTTATATTTATGAATGGCATGGTGATAATAGAGAACCTTTGTTACATTTTGATACTGTTTTGTTGAGTTTTATCATCACACTGTATTGGTAAATGTTATTTTTTACATCTGACTTTGACATTTAAGTGTACTGTGCAGCTACAAATTGTAAACAAAGCAACACTCAATATATACCGTAGTCGATTTTACTGGTCAATGTATTTGGTCAGTGTGCATCATGGAGGCATTTTTACAAACACCCCAATACCCCTGCTTCTTATTTTTTTAAAATTATGATAAGTTTTTATTCACCCTTAAATTCCCCGTTTCTTCTTTTGGTGTCATGAAGGAAAACAATATGAAGCAGAAATTTTGCTATGTTTTACAACTCGAAATGTGTAAATTAAAAAATGTTTCATAAACAAGCTAAAAATTAAGATTGTCATTGTTGTTATAGTTCTGCTTCAGAATGAATAGGATTTCAGAATATGCAATATATTTTTTATTTACAAATGTAACATTTGTTTTGAGTTCTGAAATTATTTGTAGAGAACATAAATTTACTCTTAACTTTGTTAAACTTTAAATTTTACTAACACTTATAGAACATAATGTTTAATTTACGCACTGTGGAGTGACTATGCTTTTATCATGTAAACCTCTGTGCTAAATTTTCATCTGTCTGTGATAAAATTACCAGTCATCAACCCTTCAATGTAACAAATGAGAGTTTGTTTTATTTTTGGATTTCATGATAAAAGGAATTAAACGATTTTATTTTTTTATCACAGAGGAATTTGAACATCTTTCGATGTATGTTGATTGTCAGTTATACTGTATCACTTTGTTTTGACCAATGCATTTTTTGTAAGCAGTATATCTCCAAATACATTCTTTTATCAAATAATTGTGGTTCTACCATTTTGGCACTATCTAATAATTTTGATAAAAATATATTTAAATAAATCAACTTTCTATGCACTAACTTTAATTCAAATTTAACTTTCTTTTTCATCTAAAGCCATATTCTTTAAAATACAGTAAATGTAGTTTTGTTGTGTGGTACTAGGTAAATATAGGTAGATAAGACTTTTATAATTACACATCCTAGAAAATTCACCTGGCAACTGAGGCAGAACCATTGTTATGTGGAGTTGTGATCCACAGTTATTAAGATATTATGGACAATTAGAAACCAATTATTCATAAATTGCTTTATATAACTTGAAATCATAAAAAAAAAATAAACAGTGATTTTACTGAAAATATTTGTCTTTATTTTACAATCTATTGCGTTTAACAATTTTACGCGGATGGATGACCTGGAATTAACCATTTCAATTCAACATCCAGTACATTTAAAAGAATTCAATGGATAGGTCCTAGAGGGACCTTGGCTTCCAGAGGGTAACCATCTTTTACCAGGTATATTCTAGAGACTTTCTGAATATTGATAACGTTCAGGACAGACTTGATTTTCCGATAGCTTTATTTTCCTGTAACCAGACTACATTCAGGACACTTAACATCTTCTCTAGTGTAAGAGATGAGATATACTTTAGTATTTTGGGCATTGAGCATCTTTTCAACAGTAGTGTAATTTCCAGACCATTTTCAGATCTTGACCAATAGCAGTCGGCCAATACTCAGGCCTCTGTCTATACCTTAAAAATATTCAAGACAGTGACCACCTCTCTTCCTCAAGGGGGTCATCCCCAATAAGGTAATCGTCACATTCAAATCCGTCCAGCTCATTAACGTCCCATTCATTGTCGGACGTAATTTCTGCTCCAGCAGCCATTACAGACTGATGACACAATGACACAGGTTCACTCTGGCCACCACCCTCCTCCTCCTTCTCCTCCTCCTCCTCGCTGCTACTGTCAGCTGTAAAATCATATCATTGGTGTATTATCACGGAAGTAAAACAGTTAATATACAGTGTATAGTAGAATCTCTATCACTCAAAATCTTCAAAAACAACTGTTTCTTATATGCAAACAAATACTTTGGATGATACAGATTCAATCAACGTGACCAAGTTGAAGGTACTTCTTACCAGTTTCTGTTAATAAAACGGAAATAATATTTTCATGAATACAGCTTCTATTGTGAAAACAAAGGATAGTGGCAGAGATAATATCCTTAACTATGTATGCTACAATAAACCCAGAGGATTAACATATTACCTTTGACTCAAATTAAATCAGACTGCATTTGTGTTTGATGGGCACACTTCTAGTCACAAACAGCATTAGACATTATGAAAGTGGATGTATTGCAAGACAAGGGCTATGTACCAAATAAAATTAGTAAATTTTTTAAAACTCCATACGAAGGAAGTCTAACCTGGTCGTAACATGATCTCACGGTCTGCCTTGAGGTGAGGCATTGACAGGTTGTACATATTGATGGTTACACTGCTTCTCGATGTATCAAGGTGTTCTGGCTCCGCTGATGTTCCTGTGTTGAAACAACAGCATAACAATCAGTAAACCATCTATTACAGTACACCAGAATGTTCCATCAACAAAGAAACTGTATGGAATTCAAAACATGGAACAAGATATTCTATTTCTTAAAGCACAGAGTTAGTACTTATTTGTGCTTCTAGAGAAAATTCAGAGATAAAGTACACTGAGCAATGAGGTTCATAAATTTGACTTCATCAAAATCTCACAGACTTATTAACTTACAGAATTTTAACAAGGATTCAAACATGTATTCTTTTAATTCACTTTTTACTATCAAAATTTGGAACATTTCAAAAACAGTTTCAAATTGCAGAATATTTATCCTCATTTTACCTTCTTCGTAAAAATTCCTGTGGCATCCTAAATGCTTCATGAAAATATCTCAAAGAAAGGACAATTTATTGTTTTTAACTACCGACTTTTATTCATACAAATCTTCAGTCTAGAAAGCTTCAGACCGAATTCTTTAAAATCCTGCTCCTTCTTTAGCAATGGTTGGATTTTAAGAATTTGCTCTTTTTCCTCTATTTGGCCCTTCTGCCCCTGGGGGCTGAGAACCACTGTTTATACAAAATTATATTCCCTTTATCCATGATTGCTTCAGTCCAAATCTGGGCTAACTCTTTATACAGAAGATGGAATTTTAAAAACTTGCTAAATTTTCCCTTTTGGGCCCCTGTTCCTTGGTTCCCTTTCCCCCCAAGGATGCTTCAGACTGAATTTGTCAAAATGTCAAAATACATTCTATCTTTCATGACTAGTACTGATTGTTAGCAAAATGTTGATGATGGATGTCAGATGGATGTCACACCATGACATCAGCTCACCAATCCTTTGGACAAGGTGAGCTAAAAACAATACATGGACTGCAGAACTTACCTCCAAGGACTATGGTGAGAGGTTTGGAGTTTTCATCCATACGTGTAATTATAAACCTCTCCACACTATGGTTACTAATATCAAAACACCCACTGAGATCCACAAGTTCCAGGCCATAGCAAAGGTCGGCAAAGGCCATCATAGCTAAATAATGACAGGTTGACAAACTCAAAAGACCATCTTACACACTGTTTTGCAGGAAACAGAAATGGAATTTCAGTACTGCATTCTGCTGTCACTTGAGTTTACCTACATCATGTATAATTCAATGTCAAATTTGAGAATAACAGCAAATATAATACAGAAGGAGATCTCTTATTCCTACCCCCCAACCCCCTAACCCCTCAAAAAAATCTATAAGTCAGAGCCAACTGACCTTAAAGACTGTCAATTGGTAATATATAATATTTAATTATACTGTTTATATAATGTACCACTACAATAAGCACTTGAGTATGTTAAAATACTGTGTTAACCTCCCATCCATCTACATATATACAAGTAATGAGCTTATTATATAGAGTTCTCTATGGATCACATCCATTAACCATGAAATTTCAAATTTTGCTGGTCTCTTACAACAAAACATTTCTATAGCACAGCTCATGGATTTCCATTTTCACCGAGAGAGAATGCTTCTATTGAAATCCAAGAAATTGTATATCAAGAATTTACACCAAGAAAGGAAAATAAAAAGGATTTGCTGTCCTCTCTATCACTGCTTTACAAAAATGAATGACCACAAGTTAGAGAATGCATGAGGTACACGTGTATACCCCAGACAATGTAACAAGTAAAGCTGGAGGTGGACTGAATATAGGGCAGTGTTAATAATGAGGTGAAAATTTTAAGTCGTATTATTCAACTCACTGCTATATTAAAACTAAGTAGAAACAGTGACAAGAAAAACAAATATTTTCCCGTAAACAGTGGTGCATTTAAGTACCTCGATCAGTGATACCAGAACAGGTGCGGGCCACCAGTGATTGTAGCTTCCCAGAAGTAGCGAGCGCCTCCACACAACTATCACTCACCTGTAGGTCAAATATATATCACAGCTATACAATTACAATTGTAAATCAAACATGATATCTAAATGATTTATAGAAACACGCCTGTCTGTATGTTAAGATGTGACTACCTGAGACAGGTAACTGGTGTTTAGATAAGACAGATTGTGTGACTTATGTGAGACAGGTAACTGATGTAAAGGTGAGACAGATCAGAATACCTGTCTGTATGTAAAGGTGTGACTTACATGAGACAGGTGACTGATGTTTAGATAAGACAGATCATGTGATTTACATGAGACAGGTGACTGATGTTTAGGTAAGACAGATTGTGTGACTTACATGAGACAGGTAACTGATGTTTAGGTAAGACAGATCGTGTGACTTACTTGAGACAGGTAACTGATATTTAGGTAAGACAGATCGTGTGACTTACGTTAGACAGGTAACTGATGTTTAGGTAAGATAGATCATGTGACTTTCCTAAGACAGGTAACTGATGTTTAGATAGGACAAATTGTGTGACTTACATGAGACAGGTAACTGATGTTTAGGTAAGACAGATTGTGTGACTTACATGAGACAGGTAACTGATGTTTAGATAAGACAGATTGTGTGATTTACATGAGACAGGTAACTGATGTTTAGGTAAGACAGATTGTGTGACTTACATGAGACAGGTAACTGATGTTTAGGTAAGACAATTCATGTGACTTACATGAGACAGGTAACTGATGTTTAGGTAAGACAGATCGTGTGACTTACTTGAGACAGGTAACTGATATTTAGGTAAGACAGATCGTGTGACTTACGTTAGACAGGTAACTGATGTTTAGGTAAGATAGATCATGTGACTTTCCTAAGACAGGTAACTGATGTTTAGATAGGACAAATTGTGTGACTTACATGAGACAGGTAACTGATGTTTAGGTAAGACAGATTGTGTGACTTACATGAGACAGGTAACTGATGTTTAGATAAGACAGATTGTGTGACTTACATGAGACAGGTAACTGATGTTTAGGTAAGACAGATTGTGTGACTTACATGAGACAGGTAACTGATGTTTAGGTAAGACAATTCATGTGACTTACATGAGACAGGTAACTGATGTTTAGGTAAGACAGATCGTGTGACTTACATGAGACAGGTAATTGATGTTTAGGTAAGACAGATTGTGTGACTTACATGAGACAGGTAACTGATGTTTAGGTAAGACAATTCATGTGACTTACATGAGACAGGTAACTGATGTTTAGGTAAGACAGATCGTGTGACTTACATGAGACAGGTAATTGATGTTTAGGTAAGACAGATTGTGTGACTTACATGAGACAGGTAACTGATGTTTAGGTAAGACAGATCAGAACACCTGGTTAAGGCCTGTATTCCAAGATCAGTCACATGCTTGTAACAGCCAGAAATATCAAAATTACTGAAAATGAAATTGTTGACACATATAAAAGATAAATTTTAAAATGGTTTCTAATGTTTCTGATCATGGAAGTGTTGATTCCATTAAGATATCTTATCCATACAGAAATAATTAAGCTGTTTTTATAAAAAAAAAAAAAAAAACAACAACTTTGTTTTAACTAGTATAAATGCACAGACCAGTGTATGATAATGGTATCCTAACTTGCAGAACAAGTTTTAAAACATTTTTGGAAAGTTAACAAGAAATTCAATATCAAAGACAACGATACAATATCAGCTTAGCAGCATTGATACCATTCCCTTCATTATACAAAACGTGCACTTACGTGAGATTTGAGCATCCTACGGCACACTGTACTAAAACTCCATCATCTACAGCAGAATTCTGAGAAAGGCTTAATTCTTTCTAGAAAAAGATATAAAACATTCAAGCCATGTCGTAGATATGATTGTAGGAGATGTTTCAGGTAAACAGATCCAAAATCCGAAATAGTCATCAGACTTCAAGGAATTCAAACATGATTCATAACCCCCATGTTTAATGCAACAGAAAAATATATTAGGAGAAATTCTCGATTTTGGAGTCTTAATGTGAGTTAATTAAAATACTTGGTTAACTCAACCTTAAGCTTATCAGTGAGCACATTGCAAGTCTCCTTAAAGAAGATGACAAAACTAGGTGACAAACTGAAGGAAAAGAACATTGTGTCAAAGAGGAATCACAAGGTACAGAAATAACTGACATCAGACTATTTTCTTGTGTTGATGACAGTAAACACTCAGCAGGATATTTGTTGGTTTTGGAAAAAAGTTCTGTTAAGACACTATCAAGGAGTAAGAGATTTGTGCTTGATATACTAACCAAAAAAATTAACTGACCAATCTTCTTCAGGCCTGAAGATGTAACTGAAAATGGACATAAAAAATTAGTATAAAATAACAATGAAATTGATTAATTCCAGTGGCCTACATATGCAATTTAAATAAAAGTACCTTCAGAAAGGCAAGTATACCCAGTATGTCATGTCTTATAAACATTAAGTGGAAAGATCACATAAATATTCATGAAAGAAATGATGGCTGAGCTAATGTGAAGGTAAAAGGTCAGGGCAGTGACTTCAGGTCAAGAGGTCATGACCTTATGATGAAAGCTTTTATAGCATCACACTTTCTTAAACATCGTAATAAATGCACATACAGATATAATAGACAACAGTTGAAGCACCTTAGTTAACTATATTTACCCTAGTTTCAACAAAACGACTAGAGGTTTATCTTTAATTATGTAATTTGACCTCTGAACCCTACCCAATACCAACCAAGCCTCAATTCAAACATGGTAATGAAAGACAACGTTGAAGACATGAATGTTGAAAAATTGTCTTGTATGGTAACAATTTTTTTTAAATTAACAGGGGAAAAAAAAAAGAATCAAACTTATTCCAATTAATGTATGGCAATTGTGTTCTGTGCAGTTACGGTTTATATCCTCCCAGATGAACTAACACCATCACAAATGCTCATGGTCGTCTGACGATAGGACATGCAACTGTTTGATATGCAGCGATAGCATCTTATTATGTGTATGTCCAATATACCTGGCTCTACTAGTAAGTTCTCATGAAAATTAGATTTTGTATGTCATTCCATTTCAATTTCAGAATCGTCCCTGTATGAAGTTATTATCATCATAAATTAACATTAAGCATGAATTGAACAAAACAGGTTAGCCTAAGTAGGGCATCTGTTGTCGAAATTTAACAAATCTGTGTATATAAATAATTATGACATCACTAGGGTTATATATGCTGCCGTTTGTTACTGATGCTGGTCAAGGTCAAAAGGTCATATAATACATGTTATAGGAAAAGTGGTACTTTTTTTTATAAAACACTAGTAAAGCTAAATTAACAAACCTGCTGTATTCTTGTTGAGATAAAATATACTTACTTTGTGAATAACTGCCTTCCATATGTAGGACTTTCAACCTTTTAAGATTCTGAAAAATACAGATTAAAGTAATCTTATAAAACCACAAAGAGAAGTGAATAAAAGTTGTTTTAATGAGTAACCAGGAGTGAGCTGACTACTGGCACAGTACAGCGGGTACCTGTTCTGATGAAAACTTCACTAAAGGTGAATGTTATTACTTGTCAAGCCTTGACATGCTACCTCTGGCCAGGGTATTGTCTCTTATATAAGAGGTAAACTAGCCTCTCTATGACTGACATAGAATTTGATGTCAAAATGTAACTTAACATAAATATTACAAAACTGAGTAAACAGGATCAGCATGTTATAGCAATGATTACATCAGAGGCCTAAGACTGGTACAAAATTCTGGTCAATTATATAGCATTTCTTGCTATCAGTTCTTATATGATTTTAGGATATTGTCATAATGTTCAAGATTTGGGACATTTATTTTCATTATGTGAAGCATTTTTTTAACATATGAATTTTTTCTTTATTTTTAATATCATATTGGGATAAAAAGAGTAATAATTTATTAGTATGTTTGTTTATAGAAATCTCTCCAACACGTCTTTGTTAATACAGGGATTTATAACAAAACATAAATGTTAATATTATTTAAAGACCTCTCAGTCATTCCTCTAAATATACTGGTTAAAGATTGGTTTTTAAATGTTTATATTGTGGATCAGACTAGTATTATTACAAACTACTCCATCAATGTAAGAGCTTTACACAGCCAGATACTTTTCTTCTTCAAAAACATCAGCGTTCAATCAACATCCTCTCTTGTTTTAAGTAAAGAGTATAACTTACCTGTATCAAGTTGACGAGGCTTATAAGTAAAGAGTAGAATTTACCTGTATGATGTTGATGAGGCTTATAATTAAAGAGTAGAACTTACCTGTGTGATGTTGATGAGACTTATAATTAAAGAGTAGAACTTACCTGTGTGATGTTGATGAGACTTATAATTAAAGAGTAGAACTTACCTGTGTGATGTTGATGAGACTTTGGTCCGTCACAGATTTACAATGACTTATATATAACTCCGTCAAGTGTTTGCATCGCAGACAAATCTTTCGTAATCCCAAGTCTGACAACTGTTTGAAACAAAATTAATTTTGTTAAATGTTCTGTTCTACAAATTCATACTGAATAAAACTATACAGTTGTGGAATCTCTCAAATTTATGTGATGTGAAGACAATGTGAAAACTAAAAATTCTAGTTTGCCATCAGGGAACGAATCAGTAGGGGATTCCACTTATATGATATTGGAAAGAAAAGCAAAAAACTGATCCAGATCAATTAAAGTTAATGGATGAACATGTGAAAAGCAAAAAAACTGATCCAGATCAATTAAAGTTAATGGATGAACATGTGAAAAGCAAAAAAAACTGATCCAGATCAATTAAAGTTAATGGATGAACATGTGAAAAGCAAAAAAACTGATCCAGATCAATTAAAGTTAATGGATGAACATGTGAAAAGCAAAAAACTGATCCAGATCAATTAAAGTTAATGGATGAACATGTGAAAAGCAAAAAAACTGATCCAGATCAATTAAAGTTAATGGATGAACATGTGAAAACAAAAAAGAACATTTTAATACACTTAAACAAAAGAACATATTTATGTAAGAACACTAACCTTGGTACAGTGGTCCAGATTTAGGTACTTTACCGTTGTAGGAAGAGAATGGAAACACTACAACCAAAGGCAGTTCACAGTACTCTTAAACCAAGCTGTACACATTCAAATCAAAATACATACACTACTTCATAAAGACGTTTTATATACAATCGAGGCTTATTTAAAAAAATTCATAGATAAAAGCAGAGATGTCTTTGGGAGTATTGATTAACAACATACAGGGATATTAGTATGATCCTAGGGATGTTTCTCTACTGAGAGGAAGGGGTAAAGTTCAGGTCTTACATCTCCTACTATTCCAGCATTGTTCTGTACATCTACATGCTCCAGTGACTGACAGCCTTGGAAAAGCGAAGTCAACCTGCAATGAACACAAAACAGAAAATTGTGATAATGCAATTTTGTTCAAATAAATTGAAAATCATACCATGGTTTCATCGAATTTCAATATTTGAAAAAGTGAAATATTCTGTGTTGAAATGTCTCAGCTCAGACTACTAGATATTCTAATTGTGGTGTCTTCTTCAGAAATGAGGCCAAATAGGAATTTGTTATATGATGTGTTTCTTCTCAAATTAAGATTATTTGAATTCTCACTTCTTTACACAGAATTCCATGGTTTTCAACTTTTATTTCATCTTACCCTTTATCGCCAACATAGAAACTTCTTTCTTGGATAAACCCCTGTGTAAAGAAAAGCAAAATCATGCATGTAAATGGTTTTTTATTTCAACAACAGAAATATGCAAGACTACATTATACGAAATGATAAATTGTAAGATAAAATGTAGAAAAAAAAAAACAAGAAAATGGCTGAAAGAGAGAAATGCTCTTGGTCCCAGGCATATAGGTATCAGTTCAGAGGTTGTCAAAATGTAACATATGACACAATGGACAAACATGAGAAACACTATATGCCCCTGGGTTTTCCCTAACTTTCAAAATCATGCATTTTGACACATTCAATTGACAAAGAACCCTCAAAATTGTTACAGTTTTACTCTATATCATGTGTGTTTGAGTCTGAGAATCTGAGGGAAAACCCTGATGCCCCCATAAACTGGTTGAGGCAAAGATATAAAAATGACAGACAGAAAGTTGAATAAGTTACTCATAATTAAAACAGGAGAACACATATCAGTATTTACCCTGAGTTTAGGACAAGCTTGTGCTATGGTCCTAAGTGAAACATCTGTGACACTAGCTCCAGACACATTCAGCTCAGTCAGGTTTGGACAGTTGGCACCTTCAATAAAATAACAAATTTTTGCGGGTTAATAAAATTACAATTCTATACTCTCGTTTTTTTTTTTTTTTTTGATGGCATACATTCCCTCTATTGCCTTACAGCTGATCTTATTCATGAATGGTTTGAAAGAACGTGTATGTTGCAGACTTACCAATACTGTCAGCACACAGGTCACTGAGAAGTTGTGGGGAGGCAGAAAGGTCCAGTGCCCGCAAATAGACACCACATCGCTGTAACAGGCTGTTCAGGATAGAATCTGTCAGACCTAAAATAACAACATGCAGGTCATGAATTAAATTTCCTTATTAAAGATATTCCATAATCTTATATAATTATTTAAATTAATTAATTTAATTAATAGAAATGAAAAGAAATTCTGCAGTACAGAAGTCAGTCCTCATAAAGGAAAACATTTAAAGCTTGAATTCTACAGAGCTAATTCAAGTCTGTTATTATATTCAATTATATAAAAGATGACAGTGTAACAATGCCTTACAAGTTTTTTTCGTCTAAAATCTGGATCCAAGCAATCAAAATGGTCATTGTTATGATGATTTCAATTGTTCACCCAATGATCTATAATTATAACACAAAAATTTGGATTTATTTCTGAAATGCACTAATACTTCCTGAAAACCTGATTAAAACAGAGCCTTTTAATGAGGTGGACAACAACCTGAGAACAGATGGAAGGAAAGTAACACCTTGTTTCTCTGCTGCTTTGCCATAGCATGACAAAAACTGAAGATAGGTAGTTAAGATAAAATATCTTTCCATATAACTTTCTGATATTTTGAGCAAGTGAAAACATTAAATGATGGTAGATTTATTGACTAATGTACATTTCACATGTCAATCATAAACACTTCTTGAGAGAATTTTTGAAACAAGGAAACAACAGATAATTCTACATTAGCCAATTTATTTAATCTTTTCTTAATGCCTTTCAGGAAAGCTTCCTTAATAATACTGTTGCATTACATGAGAATTACTAGAAAGTTGATAGAATATTAGCCATGGTCTATTTAGTGACATTTTCTCTGTAGCCAGGTACTGGCTGCAGGTCAGTGTTTTTTCTCCGGGAACTCTGACTTCCCTCCACCATGCAGACCTGTTAAGTCCTTAAATGACTCTGGTTGTTAATAGGATGTAGAACAACAATAGGCTAAATTCCCTGTCTTCTAGTGTACAGGAGACAATGTAACTTATACCAGGTACAGTCTCCAAAAAAAGAGAACACAATCCATGTGCTTGTAAGAGTGATGCCCCTTGCATCAGATGGCACTTCAGTTTCTATCACTTTTGTGTTAAGTGTGGACTGTGATGGTGAGCTGATCGGGTAAGAAAATCTTGATACATTTTCTGAGGTACAACAAAATCTAAAAATTAATCCAGAGACTGAATTTGTTTACTCATTACTATAATGACTTCATTGCGGGATGAACTCTGGAAAATAATGTGAATCAGACAGCAAATTTGTCATCTATGGCAGTCTCGCCAGACAATGCTTTAGGAGAATAGTTCTCTCTAGGAAGTGCTTTAATAAAATAATAAACAGATAAGTGTTTTCTCTATTTATGATCACCTTCTTCCTTTTCTCAATATAGAAACATTCCTGTATGGCTCCACCAACAGGATTGATACATCGTAAATATTGCAATATCCATAGGCTAATGTTTATTTGCTTACATTTTGCGCAAGATTTATGTACTTTGACTGTTAAAATTTCTGTGTTCTCATGAGTTCTAAATAAAGTAGCTATAATTTAAAGTACCTTTAATGAATCCTTTGAACATGTGTCGGAATTGAAGCTTGTGTTGTCGATTCCAAGATTTCTGGGCTAAGTGGCGCCACCTTCTACACACCCTTTCAACTCTAACATGTTCTTTAACAGACAGAAAGGAGAAGATGAGCATGAGGCTGTCATCATACAGCCGTTGGATCGCACATTCTCCACAGGCATCAAGCTCTAGGTGTGACACATTTGGCAGTGTTACCTGTTGGAGAGAAGCACAGAATTGCAGCATTATCTATATATACTTACCCTTACTGTCAGGCATCACGCAGTAGTCATTGTTTAGTAAACCTTAACTATTGTCAAATTCACCATTGATCTTTTAATCTTATTTGATGACAACTTTCATATCATGAAGTTTTAAAATTGGATTTGATGATCTAAGGTGTTACTATGAATTAGAAAATCTGGTGAGAGGTTCTCAAGATATATATGACATTGTTTTAGAATGTGACACAATGGTATGACATGGACAACCCTACATGCTCGCCATAAAATGGACACAGAAACAGATTGTTTTAAGGCTTTTAGTATGGGCTGGATCCTTCCGATACACAAATACCACTCTCACTAACTAAAACCCACATATCACACAGAAACAAACTGTTTTAAGGCTTTAATTGGCTGGATCCTTCTACTCTATGTATACCACTCTCACTCTAACTATGAAAACTCATATGTAACATATAACAACTGAATTTAGATATCCTGTTCTCATCAGAGTTCTATTACTAATGAACAGGAATAACAAATAGCAGACATGTAACTTTTCAACGGAAAAAAAGTGTGACTAATATGTATTATTCCCAGAGGAACAAGGACTTTCTGATAGTAGGGAAATATTAATTATCATCAGGTTATCTACCTGTTCACTACAATGGAAGTCTGATTCACATGTATCACCATCCTGGGTCTGGGTTGGTAGGGAGGGAGGAAGTCGGGTCTGCCAATTAGCTCCTTCAGAGTATGATACACGCTTCGATTCTTCTGCAGGAGCGACTCGCATCAACCTTAAACATAGGTTACAGTGATAAACGGCGAAATAAAACCAAATCAATGAAAAGTTTTCCTACCTCAGGTTTAAACTCAATGATTTCATTGAAGAAGGAGAGAATGGGGGTTGGTTGAGGATGGTACTTAAAACTTCCTATTAAACATCATGCTTAATTTCATAAGTGCAAAATTTAAAAAATGAGACTGGACAGGAAAGACATGGGAAACACTATGTGCAACTCTGTAAAATGGCAAGAGTATATCATAAATTTGGAGTACAAGAACTTCTATTTTTTATAATTACACATGTATGTGATGCTGATTTTTTTCTTTTTTTATCAAACATCAAAGCAAGCTTTTAGAATCTTAAACTTTAAGTACAAGCTATCACAAACCTTCCATCTAACATTAGTTCCTCATCTGTAGCTTGCAATGCTCTGGTCATACTCTTCTTGTCTTGAAAGGTAACAAAGGCAATGCTGTAATATATACAAAAACTGTACAAGAAATTGTATTACAGTACAATCTAGGTAAACTAAAACGACATTGAACAGATACTTCTCATACTTGGCAATGTATTTTGATGAATTCCTTTGATAAAATTGTGTGTATTTATATATATATATATATATATAATTACAATTGTCAAATAGCTTTAATGAAAGTAAATTTCCCATATAACATTCTGGAATAGGAAAGATTAGAGGACATAAAAATCGTGAACTGTTATTAGATAGTCAGAAATCTATTTTACATTTATTTTAGTAATATTTTGTCACCTCATCTCAGATAAAGAAAAGCTGTATAAATTAGTGTTAGAAATAGAACAGTATTAAAGGACTCATTAGTGCACAATGGCAAACAAACATCTTATAGACTTGACTGAATGAACGTCCTGTTCTATTTTTTAGAAACATCAACCTTGACACCAGTGAATTGCTAAAATATCTATCAGAATACTTGTATTTGATTTCAGCACTTCACATTTCTGGATTAAGATGTTATCTCCTGAGTCAAAATTAGGCAAAAGGATGGACAAAAATTTCTAAAGGACAATTCCATACCTAAAACGGGCAACTAAAAAACAGGATAAAAATATCCACTTATACCTTAAGTTGTCCCCAAACAAAATTATGTGATATAGCAAGCTTATGGGGGGTATACCTGCCAATGGGACCATTTCTTCAGACAATCTGTACTGGTATAGAGAGGGTATACCTGCCAATGGGACCATTTCTTCAGACAATCTGTACTGGTATAGAGAGGGTATACCTGCCAATGGGACCATTTCTTCAGACAATCTGTACTGGTATAGAGAGGGTTACCCACCCACATGTCCATTTCTTCACACAGCCTGTTATGTTTTATGGAGTGTTACCTTCCCACAGGTCCATTTCTTCACACAGTCTGTTGTTTTATGGAGTGTTACCTACCCACGAGACCATTTCTTCACACGGTCTTTTATGTTTAATGGAGTGTTACCTAACCACGGGACCATCTCTTCACACAGTCTGTTATGTTTTATGGAGTGTTACCTACCCACAGGACCATTTCTTCATACAGTCTGTTATGTGTTATGGAGTGTTACCTACCCACGGGAGCATTTCTTCACACAGTCTGTTATGTTTTATGGGGTGTTACCTACCCACGGGACCATTTCTTCAGGTGGTCTTTTACAACATAGCAGTAATCTACTGTTCCAAACTGACTGAAGTGTTTAGTCAACTGGTGCTGCTTCACCTGCCAAAGTTAATGAGTAAAAATAACTTACATTCATATAATAATGAATATCAATCTTGATGGTAAAAATATAAATAAATTGTCAAACTTGTTTAAATAAACCTACAAATGTTTATATTTTGTTTTTTATAACAGAATCATATTCATATATACATATATACATATAGAAAAAAGTAAAAACACTGGAAAACACATGATGTAAAACATAAGCGCTTCCATCGTTTAACTTTTTTCTATATCTACTGGGCACGGAGAATTCACCACATTTTCAATATATACCGGTATATAAATGTATATATATATATATACTGGTATGTGCCACGTGAAACCATTTATGAAGCACAAAACTGTTGGATATAATTGAAAATGCTATACACTATATGTATTGAAAACACTTTTAACATCAGCAAAAATAAAATTCATTGTCAAAATCAACATCACCTACTGACACAGTCATCTTTCAGAATGGTTAGTATCTTGTACGACTATAACTGAGAATTAAAGTATAGATTAGAGGAAAGAGTATTTTCTGTCTTCGTCTGTGGTAGGTAAAACACTTCAATTTGAGTTATGTTCTTCATGGGGGAAAATATAACTAAATTACATCATTGGTCATTTTTCTATGCCTTGTTCTCTACAGTTGATAGTTATATCACTCTTGCCTATAGATAACCCAGGTACTATCCCACTGTAAGACATATATATGACAGCTCTAGAAAATGAACAATGACGTTTTTACCTATCCCCATATTCTTTCTTGATTGAGAATGACTATATCTTTTGGTAATGACACTGCATTGTGTAAGTATAATTTTGATATCCATCAGTATTTGATATTTACAGTTTTCAAAAGAAATTTGGTTTAGTTCTACTACAACATTGCTATCATAAGATCATGAACAAGAGCACCACAAAGCGGCATAAAATACGTCCGTGAATATCCAAAACAGTGAAGGGGCATAACTCTTAGCCCGTTCAGGAAATCACAATCTTAATATCATGGTGATTAAGCCTACCAAGTTTCATAAAGATCGGCAGAAAAATATTGAAGGAGATCTCCAGACAAGATTTCTACAGTGAAATAAACAAAGGGGCATAACTCTTATTCAAATCGTCTAATCAAAACCCCGTTCAGGAAATCACAATTTCATATCATGGTGATTAAGCCTACCAAGTTTCATAAAGATGGGCTGAAAAATGTAGGAGATCTCCGAACAAATAAAAGTTTACGATGGACACCAGATGGATGGACAGCGCCATACCATAATACGTCCGTCTTTCGACGGGCGTATAAAAAGTCAGTGTTTGTCCAAGTCACTTTTAAGTCAACTAAAAGCTGGTTTATTTCCCAGTGATATTTCTTTGATTATGGAGAACACATTACGAAAGACAGATCTTGAGGTTTATGCCAAATATATATAGTACACACATGTATGTACATGTATATGTTAAACAAAAGAAATTTCAATTCTGTTCCTATTAATTCAATTTTACACACTTTCCGTCTATACAACTCAAACACTTGGGTTATCTTTTTTATGTAAATGGAATAAGGCATAGCAATTATTGAACAAATAATGAACATGCCCTTATATAACAAATAACTGCCATAAGTGACCCAATTCAACAGCACCTACAAACTGATCCAAGTTTTACCTTTCTATCATTTGCTTAATAATCAACATAAAGTTACAAACCCTGTAGCTGATGTTTCCAACAAAGATTTTTCTCTGAAGGTTGAATTTGTCTCCATCATCACGACCACTGGGCGATTCAACTTTACCAGAACTCAAGTTAATATCTGTATTTTCTTCCATTCCTGTCAACACAAAGTGTGACAATTATAGAAATATTGTAGTGAAATCAAAATAGATTTTAACCTATCATGAGGCACTTTTTTCAGATGTACATGAAGCTATTTAAAAAATTAACTGTTTCAATATTTCTATTTTGAGATTTAAACAATCATTGAAACTAAATACCACCAATCATTCAAGCTAAATGCCACCAATCATTCAAGCTAAATGACACCAATCATTCAAGCTAAATGACACCAATCATTCAAGCTAAATGCCACCAATCATTCAAGCTAAATGCCACCAATCATTCAAGCTAAATACCACCTAAATGACACAAATATCTCTGATATTCTGATTTGATTCATATACTGCCATCGCATAGATTAAAAAAAGTTTACAGAAGGACCCCAACGGAAATAAGCGTATATTATTACGCTTTTTGAGCTATCCTTGGATAGATTTGTTTAACATATATATCAGTTGTCTTTATTGTGATTTTATGTTCCGGTGTTGCATGTTTTATTTATGTCAATTTTTCACCTTATGTACTATGTAACATGTATTTTATTTATCATGCTTTGTATACATTTGTGCAAATCTTTCCTGAATAAATTTATTATTATTATTATTATTACTAGTAAAGTAATGATTTTTTACTATGATAAACACTGTCACTAAAAGTGTAGCTGGGTTTAAGCACAGACTTAGATGTCCAAATCTGTTGTAAATATCCTTTAATGAATATTTAGGTCTCTGATGCAATTTATTCTGTAAGACAGGGACTGGGATTATGACCCACATGTGTCTTCCCTATATACGTTTTAAATTAATATTAACGTGTAAAAGAGTGTAACATTAATTGTTACGGCGCCATAGGTTAACATATAATCACCAAATATATTTTACTATGTTGTGTAAGCCCTGTAGATAGGGCGTCTGCTTAGTGGGACACGGGGTCAGTTTAACAACAAATTAGTTATATCTTTGTAGTTCTCGTTGGCCCCAAACACCATAATTTTGACGGTTACACATCTGATATACATATCAAAATAAAAATCGTTGTCATAACTCCCCAGTAGTTGTACTGGTCTAGTTCTGTAACAGAGAGGACGTACTGACTGTGTAGTGCCGACACCTTTGGACAAGCGTCATAGAAAATGGCAAAATGCATTCTCGTCATAACACCGTTGGTCGGGAAATGAGGAAATGTGGTTAATTGCTATCTAGAAATCTTTAGTTTATGATAAAGCAAACATAGATTCAGTATCGACAATGTTTACCGTATACAGGCCAAATCTCTCCATAAATTCGCGCACATATTTGACTTGATTATTTTCCCTTCAGTGCAAAAGAGTTAGCTAATTATCAGTAGTTATTTCCCCTTAATCGGAACAGTGAACGTAAGCTCTCAAGATATTGTATTTCCACTAACAAAGATGTAAAACAAAGGAACATAATAATGCAAACACAACTTGAGACCATAGATTACAATAGATAATGATGAAAAAATTCACAGTTATAGTAAAGCATTATAGATTTGTAGTTTAAGACGAGATAAATTTTAAGAACCAATTGTAACACGGCATAGACTCGCTCTGTTGATGTGTAGGGTACATACATGCTGATATAGAAAGCGGTAAGAATTGCCAGGATATATACTTATGTAGTGTGAGTTAAAACATTTCAAGGAAGCTTATATGACCTTTTTCCACAGGAAATCTCTCTAGATATCCTTCTAATAGTATGAATTAAGAATAGAGTGAACCATTAAAAATGTTAGAGTCATGATTTTGGAACATAAAATCTATAGTAAATTTAAACACTATAGCAAACTTGAAGGCCTCTTTACAGAGCAGCCACACGGAAGCGTCCGCTACTATACTTTCACATTGTAGCTAAAAATACATGAGAATATCATCATACCTTGTTATCATCTGATCAAAAGACACCGAATAAGATTTCATCTATAAACCATAATTCAAACTACTATAACTAGCAGAAACAACCTTGTAAATAATCCTTTGTAATACGTAAATGTACGAGAATTCTACGATGAATATTAAGCAGCAAAACAGACCTCTAAGAAAAAGGTTTTCATGTATCAAAGGACGGATGAAGGACCAAAAAAACCTCAAATCTGATGTTATTTGATGACGATCATCCCCAATATGGCTGTCGGTATGGCGACGGTGACCAACGCTTATCACGTAATGGCAAATATTCAATTCAGACCTCGTATATTAAATGACAAACATTGTAAGAAATCCTAGTAAAATACAAAAACTGCCGACAAAATAAAGACGGTCTAGAAAACAGCCTATGTACTTCAAAGAGTTGGATCTTAATTCAGTAAAGATCTGTTTCCAGTCATTCTCTACAAATGATAAAGATAGTATGCGTTTCCGCACGCATTTTACATACTACGTTGCAAGACAAATAATAATAATAAATAATAAAAAAAAATAGGTAGCAAACACGATGGCCATGTATACGCTCAACAGAGCAGAGCCGATGGCACATCACCACCGAGAAAAACCTACTGTTTGTGAATATCATTAGATTTCAAGGCTTCGTCATGTGAAGGTGAAATTCTACAGAGAAATCACAATGACTTTTTCACATAGAGTCTCCTTCGTATTGAAACACAGCAAACTTTAAACTATCTATTTTTATCACTTAAACATTCAAACAACCAAATACAAAAGAGCAAACTCACAACTAGCTTCAAACATTCGCTTCAAACATTCATAACAATCTAATACAAAAAAAAAAAAAAAATATTGGAAAGCTATTTTTAAATCGGTTACCGTCAATGACTACTGACATAAGGAAATGAAGAACATGTGTACTTGCAACTTCAAATAGAGTCTCTTATATTTAGACCTGACAACACCTGGTATCCTCACTTTGTTAATTCATCTGTCAACAGCCGATTTTTTTGCGGAGACCCAGATAATGGAAACAAGCATTTGGAATTCGAATCAAAAGACATATTAACCGTGTAATATGGCACATTAATTTCATCAGATTTCCCGTGTAGTATCTAAACATTGCTTTGGTGAGTGAGTGTTAACAAGAGTATCAATGAAGCTGATGAATGCTCTCCGAAAACGACTTTATTGGACACAAAATTTTAGTAAAGGGCAATAATTCTGTAAGTATGGGGTCGCAGGCCCTGAATTTGGTTTACTGAATATTTTCTTAGTAAAAAAATAACAAAGGGCAATAACTCTGTACTGAAGGGTCATGGGTCCTGACATTTCTATACTGCAACTTGCTTTTTTTATGACTGATATAGACACCACGTTTCAATATCATAGTTTAAATAAAGGGCAAAGTTATGCCCCAGACACGAAATTTTAACGAAGGGTAATAGCTCTGTAATTAAGGGGTTGCGGGCCCTAAACTTGGTACATTGCACATCATCTTTGTAAGATCAATGAATGCATCAAGTTTCATTATCCTACCATAAATGCAGGCAGAGTTTTAATTTACACAAGGTATTTTAACAAAGGGCAATAACTCTGTAACTGAGGGGTCGATGGCCCTGAATTCGGTACGCAAAACATTGTCTTAGAATGATCAAATTTATACAAAGTTGTGCTCAGTACAAGAGAATTTTTAGCAAAGAGTAATAGGACTACAACTGAGGGACCGAGTGCCCTGAATTTCGTACACTGCATTTTGCCGTAGTATGATCAATGCATCCACCAAGTTTCGTTATCTTTGTTCGAATGCAAGCAAATTTATGCTCCGGACATGCAATTTTAACAAAGGGCAGTAACTCTGTATATTAGGTATCGAGGGCCCTGATTTGGAACACGGTAAATTGCCTCAGTATAGCCAATGTATGCACGAAGTTATAAGATTCTTGCCTAATTGTGGGCAACGTTATGCTCCGGACACAATTTTTTAAACAAAGGGCAATAACTTTATAATTACGGGTCGAGAGTCCTGACTTAGTTACACTGCGCATTCTCTTAGTATGATCAATGTATTCACCAACCTTCATTATCCTTGTTTAAATGCAAGCAATTTGATGTTGTGTTGTAGAATAATAACTCTATAATTAAGATGTTGTGGGCCTTGAATTTGGCACACTGTACACACAAAGTCTTAACATGATCAATGTATACACCACGATTCATTACCAAAACTTAAATACAGGCAAATTTTATTTTATTTACAAACTTTCAGATTTCCAATCAATCTACATTGATTTATAAGTATATCATATGATTTAGTGAATATTGTTGGCTTGTCATATAGACGCGCATCCGGGTTGTTTTTTCTGTAGATACAAGTGCTTTGTAAAGCATTTAAGATAAATTTAACTTACAATCTCTAAACCTCATACTCTGTTTGTAATGTTCAGGAAGGTTTGGCTAAAATTCAAACCATAAACCATTTCTCAGATTTTGAAAAGCGGCATCGTGTTGTTTCATTATACATACTATGTATTCACAAGCGATGAGCGGCATTAGAGCTACGTAAAATGATGGATATGTAATTTGTCTCTAGCTGTCTATAGCTTACATTTATCAATATAAACCATAACTTGGCTAGTTTTGATTTCTGGAATAGCCAGGTCACAAGGCAAGCATTTGTCCCCAGACTAACTCAGGTCATCTGTCTCCGTTATGTCCCCTGGGTCACGGGACTTACCCTATACTGGTCACCATGCTAATACACACTACCACAGGCCATAGACATACGTTAAGATTCCAGGATTTAAAAATAATTTTTGAAGCATATTTCGATTTATATAAGAAATTAGAGTATAACCAGATAATGATAAAAAGAAACTTTACCATAGAGATGTTCAATCTTCTAGGACTCGTCAGTGATAATTAGGGTCTGAATGGTCAATACGTCGGATATTCTTAACATGTTACAGGATGAACAGAAAGGTTACAGGCCGAGGAACCGAAGTCAGTTGGCCTGGAATCATGCTTTTTCTTTTAAACACGTAATGGACATATACCTTTACAGTATTTAATTTGCTTGGTGTTATTCTTCAAGAGCATTTGATGATTGTAACATTAAAAAATCATCTACCATTGGTAAATAGGGACCTTTCTACACCGGAGATACAGCACAGATAAATGGGACTACATCTACCATTGGTAAATAGGGACCTTTCTACACCGGAGATACAGCACAGATACATGGGACAACATCTACCATTGGTAAATTGTAACCTTGCTACACCGGAGATACAGCACAGATAAATGGGACTACATCTACCATTGGTAAATAGTAACCTTGTTACACAGGAGATACAGCACAAATACATGGGACAACATCTACCATTGGTAAATAGTAACCTTGTTACACCGGAGATACAGCACAGATAAATGGGACAACATCTACCATTGGTAAATTGTAACCTTGCTACACCGGAGATACAGCACAGATACCTGGGACAACATCTACCATTGGTAAATAGTAACCTTGTTACACAGGAGATACAGCACAGATACATGGGACTACATCTACCATTGGTAAATAGTAACCTTGTTACACAGGAGATACAGCACAGATAAATGGGACTACATCTACCATTGGTAAATAGTAACCTTGTTACACAGGAGATACAGCACAGATAAATGGGACTACATCTACCATTGGTAAATAGTAACCTTGTTACACCGGAGATACAGCACATATACCTGGGACAACATCTACCATTGGTAAATAGTAACCTTGTTACACAGGAGATACAGCACAGATACATGGGACAACATCTACCATTGGTAAATAGTAACCTTGTTACACAGGAGATACAGCACAGATACATGGGACAACATCTACCAGTGGTAAATAGTAACCTTGCTACACCGGAGATACAGCACAGATACATGGGACAACATCTACCATTGGTAAATAGTAACCTTGTTACACCGGAGATACAGCACAGATACCTGGGACAACATCTACCATTAGCCATATTACCTAGAATGTCTTTGCCGTCAGTGCGTATTAATCGGGAGGTCAGTGACAGTAACCAATGGACTACTTCTCAATTCATTTTAGTTCTGCACTGGATTTGAAAAAAAGACATATGAAATCTGCTTCGGATGATATTTGAAATTAACTTTAAATTCCTTGATAACCTTTCATGGTCTTAGATTCGCCTTAAATAACATTTAAATGCACCTGTGCTGTTCTGAACTAGTTGTAAAGATATTGATTTGAGAGAGGAATGCAGTCCTCATTTCACCTTAAACATTATGCAATCTTCTATCTTCTATGTCCACTTGTCGTTGGGATAAGTACTGATTTTACACACTGATCACA